TTTCAATTTTTCTTTAACGGTTTTGTCATCAAGGTTACTATTAGCTTTGATTATTTCACGTAACTTAGCCTCCTTGTTCAAGTCTCTAACGGATGTATGGACATCATATCCTTGTTCAAGCAGCTGGATTAGACAATAAGTTCCTACAAAGCCTGTACCTCCTGTTACTAATATTGTTCCACAAGACATCTTCTATATTTCCTATCAATTCCTATATAAGAGTAAGATGTACGGTAAATTTGGCTTTATATTACCTTGTAAGTGGTAAAAGATCCAGGATTGCTTTGATAAATCTATACATGCTTAGTAATATTTACGGATCAATTCCGGGCTCGAAGCGATGCTTATCAGAGATGATAAGGCAGGGATAACAATACCCGATAATGAATAACTTTAATTGTATACACGATTATTTCTATAGTCGGTATATCAAGTAGTTGTTGCAGTTGAATGGGCTCCCAATTAAAAACTCTTCTGGCAGATTTTTTAAAGGAGAACACCATTCTCAGGTTCTTATGTTGAAAATCCTTTCACAACATTTGTTGATAACATCTTCGATAAAATAGAGGATAATCAAATAGAAAACGTCCGAATGAGCAAAAAATCTATAACCTTTAATACTAATTTTCGCCAATCTCTTATCTCTGCAAAGGTAATGTAAATTCTTAAATATGCTTCAATAAAAACTCCCTAGAACTAACTTTCTATGAAAACTAAATAGGATGCTCTATGAGGGCAATTGTTCAATTAAGGACCTAAAATAAAAGTTTACACCTATTGGGCATCAATTTTGAGTAACTAGGAATGAAATAAGTTTTTTTTATAGTTTGATGATAGCGCCCATACCTTCGCTAGCAACTACGATAATGATAGTGATATGAATAGTCTATAATCATGCATAATATATAATGCATTTTATAGAATTATTATTTATATGCTATCAATCCATATTCAACAAGCCCTTTGCAGATGCTAGAACTGATTATTTCAAGGAATTGGTTCCCAATTAAATACCCGCACAGCCTTTTCATTAGTCGATAGTCTCTTAGTATCTTTGGTGCCTTCTAATTCCTTAGATGGCACGTTTTTTGTATATTCAGCCGGCAAGCTTTCGATTAAAATCTTGGCCACATCAAATAGCTTAGTATTTCCATTATGAGTCAAGATAAATATACCTCTGAAGCTTGAACATGAACTTTAGCCACGTCCGTCACATCAATAGTACTTAGATATCTATGGCTACATCCATCAGCAAACGTACCGTTGAGCAAGTCATCAACAAATTTCAATGATGATGAATTATTAGAACTCTTCTTCAAAGGAGGCCCAAATATGTACCCTGGATTCAAAACAGTCAATGCTATTGGACTTTGAGCTTTGGTGTCTGCGTCACTTTGAGCATATTTTCAAGCTTCTATCTCAGCAATAGCCTTTGACTTGGCATATATTACATTGGTTCCATCAACATTAGTAAAATCGTTTTCGTCGAATGATTTGGAACGTTCTGCATGTCCATAACCTACGGCTGCGAAAGACGATGTAAGTACAACACGGTTAACGGACGGGAACGAAGTAGCAAACCTCGATANTGGAGTACATGATCAACACCCTGGAATGCTTCTGCCCATCCGTCATCTCTGGTAACATCGGCTTCAAACATTTTCAATTTTTCTTTAACGGTTTTATCATCAAGATTACTATTAGCTTTTATTTTTTCACGTAACTTAGCCTCCTTGATCAAGTCTCTGACAGATGTATGAACATTATATCCTTGTTCGAGTAGCTGGTTACACAATAAGTTCCTACAAATCGTGTTCCTCCTGTTACTAATATTGTTCCATAAGACATTGTTTATTATCAATTCCTATATAAGATTGTCACTTCTGGTCGATTTGGTCCCTTAGATTACCTGGTAGATATCCATGATCGCTCTGTTAGATGATGCTTAGTAATATTTACCGAACATTTCCGGGTTCGAAGCGGTCCTTATCACTTCTTTGATAGCTGTTTACTACAATTTTAGACAAAGTTCTAATACTATTCCCCTATTGTGGTATCCATACGTAGTGGCTAATAACGCAGCCTCCTAGTGTTGACACATTAAATCTCTACAACAGTTTCGTTGTAGTCTGTATTAGTATATATTTCATAGGGTAACCGGAAGCTTGTAGAGGGTTTAGCGGATTTCCTTGGCTTGTTCGTTTTCCATACGAACTTCGTGGGAGCTTTCCCTATTGCTTGGCTAATATAATGTCTTCCGGATGGCTTACATTACGCATCGTCTGTGGAATCAAGCAAAAAGTGAAAGCGGATTTTTTGCATTCATCAAACCTCATTGTATTCATATAGTCAATAGCTTTAAACAAGGAGAAATGTATACTTCCACCCATTCCTATTGCTGGAGTTGTTCTTGTTCTTATCGAGACGCTTCTTATGTGTCAATGGTACTTTTCAACTGTAGTAAACCCTATTAGTACCTGACTATAGGAGATACTAAAGACTAATGTGTTAATTCCAAAACTACAGAGCCAAGTTCAAGCTGCAGTATATATGTTGATACTCTATCGCTTGTGAAGTCATTTGATAACAATGCAAGGTCACGGTAAAAAGAAGAAGTTTTAGGTTCTACTTCGAAATCATCTGGAATCACTACATCCGATGCTATCCGACTGCCATTAACAATAAGACGTGAAACGTATTACTATTACCATAGTATCTGATAGTATCACATATTTTGTTATATATAGCTGTTAGCCATTACCTTGCACTTTCCCCATAAAGAGCAGCTTCCAAAAAAATATCCGATCCAGAATTTTCATATCAGAACTGCTCGCCGAAAATTCAATTGAAGTTCCATATACTGCTTTTTTTCAGTTTCAATTAGTACTTTAGCTATAAGTTCAGGTATTCGACTAGGAAGTTTATTGTACCACAATCAATATTTCTCAGGAAGCATTCACCAATACTACTAGAGCTAATTAAAAATTATGTCGGTAACACCGCAAACCTCAATAATAAAGCCAACTAAAGGTAACGTAACAGTTCAAGATGTTATGCTTTACATACCTAATTTGATTGGCTATCTCCGCGTGTTGACAGCGATTTTGTCATTTATTTGTATGAAGAATCGTCCAATAAGTACTTTGATTTTATATGGAATTTCAGGATTCTTAGATGCATTCGATGGCTACGCAGCTAGAAAATATAACCAAGGTACAAGGTATGGGGCAGTATTAGATATGGTCACAGACAGATGTGCCACTACATCATTAACATGTTTTTTATGTGTCATTTATCCTGATTTTTGTTTACTTTGGCAATTGCTAATCTCTTTGGATTTGGCCTCTCATTATATCCATATGTATGCAATGATGTCAAGTGGTTCTGCATCCCATAAGAATGTTGATGAATCTCAATCGAAGATATTGTCATTGTATTATACAAATAGAAATTTTTTGTTTGTTGTTTGTCTTGTTAATGAGTTGTTCTACGTGGCCATTTACTTGCATTACTTTGATTTCTTTTGGTTAGGTACTGTCCTAGTTTTCTTGAGTGCCCCAATTTGGTTTTTCAAACAGCTTGCCAACGTTATCCAATTGAGAGCAGCAGCTCTAATTTTGGCAACTATGGACGCCAAAGACAAATCTTCAAAGGAGAATTAAGTGACTGCAACCACTAAAGACGAGCGAATTTCTTGTGAAGCCTTTACCTACGATTCACGGTCATTGCCTAATAAAATGAACATAGCCTAATTATCGCTTGATTTTTCAACTCGTTCTATATATATATATATATATATATCCATAAATTTTATTTTTCTCTGTATATCCACTTCTGTCCTTATCATCGGGTGAATTTTCTGGTTGATGGAACTTGGTATAGTCTATTTTATCGAAATTTCATTTAATTAATTAATCATTCATTAGTAATAAATATTAAATCTATATCATGAATACTTAATTTTCTATTTTATTGCTGTTTAAAACAAATCCATAATCAGCTTCTTCTAATGCTCTTCTATGTAATTTCTCTAATGATTTTGTTGAATGTTCCTGGAGCTCATCTAATTGCTTCATATCAGCCATATCTTTTTCCAATTTGAAGCATTCCTTTAACATCTCTAAATTCAAAGATTGACGGAATCCGCTAATACTCGTGTTTAAAAATTTCAAAAATCTATTGAGTAATTGCTTTTCGCTTACCTTTAGTTTAAGTGAAGCTAATTGGTCTTGGGAACTTAGTTTAAAACATGTTTTAGCAAATTCAAAATATGCTATAGAAGTATATTCTTTGTTCTCAACCATAAGTATTTCCGGCATTATAGAACTTAAAATTTGAAAAGCATCTTCGTAACATTCCATATTATTTAAAATCGAAATTAATATGATTAGACCTTCAACAACTAAGGTCTTGAATCCTGTTTGTTTTCCTTGTTGAATTTGCTGAATTACTAGGGATATAGCTCTCGAATGCGCTCCGGACTTATTGAATATATGACATTTTAGTAAATTAAGCCTTATTATAGTATGCAAATTAGTTTGAGTCTTAGAATGTTGGGACTCGATACGTGATAAATTACCAGAAATATAAGTCAAAGCTTTCGAATAATTACCGAGTGCAGTTTCTACTTCAGCATTTAGATATATTATTTCAGCTTGGAGTTCAATTTCTTGGATTTCATTATTAGATAAAGTTTCCATAATTTTTTGTGCAAATTTGAATCGTCCTTTTCTAAGTGCTATCTTTACTAGCATTATTAAGGTCCGTAATTGCAATGTTTTATAAAGTGATTGATCTTTCTCTGTTTTATTTTTCAAAGCTTCTAACTTCGAATATGCTATTTCTGTGTCACCATTATAATAGTCTAAAAATGATTTTCTTATTTCAATTGATAAACTGTCAGTTAAGTTACCTGTTTGTTTGGCATAGTCAAGAGCAATATCTGTATACACATTGCATAAATGCGGATTACCGATTCTACTCCAAACAGTTGCAGTCATTTCAGCAGACTTTATAAATGAAGGTAGTTCGTCATTAATAGAAATATAAGTGGCCTTTAACAAGCTTTCAAGATACTTGTTCAATGACCCACCATTGTTCATTACATGTAACGTTTCAAAATGATAACTCATGGCATATAACAGAAGTGAAACTGTTTGGGTTTTGCTAACTAAAAAGTCCAACAAATGCTGTTCATTGTTATTATGATAGAAGGTTTGGGTATTCCATAACTCAGGTTTATTCTTCATAAAGTTAAATAGCCATGATAAAATGTATGTCAAAGTTGAATTATCCTTATTCTCTCGTGCAACAGATATAGCTTCCTGAATTGCGTCTAATGCTTTTTCATCTTCACCAAAAAACTGGTGTAAAGATGCCCGGGAAATCAATGCAAAGTGATAGAAATATTTCGAATTATTGGAAACCATGTAATCGAAATATTGATGTAACGACTGGAATGCACCTTGATAATCAAGTTCATGCAAACTCTCTAAGTAATTAATATAGTAATACGATGGCAAATTATTAAATGTGGTATTCTGGATCAGACATGTATTAGAATTAGGAGACGTCATTAATCTCATCACATCACGTAATAGTTTAGGAGTTTCGGTACCATATACCTCCAATAGACTTATCTGTTTATCTAATAAAACCTGTATATCATGCTTCGGGACTGGTAATAGTTTCAAATTAACGCTTTGAGACGACTGTGAGGGAGTTGGTAAGCTTATACCTAAGCTTTCATTTAATTGAGTTTTAAGTGTATTAAAGAGAATTTCATCATTTTTATTATTTTCGTTTATTGTACTCTCTTTGAGTCTTGACTTCTCCAATGCAAATGTTTGTTTCTCTAATTGTTTTCTATTAGAATCAACGTTTTCAAGTTTATCATTATAATGCTGGATGTTACCTCCATATGATATATATAATGTTCTGGAAGGCTCTCTATAATCAACAAATGCTTCATATAAAAGAAATTCTTCGTCAAAATGCAATAATCTAAATGTTGTTACAATCTTTTGTATGAATGAACCAAGCAATGATCTAGGCGATATAAGCTTCTTTATATCTTGATTTGATTCAGGCTCTTCAACTGTCACGGCTGATGATCCCAGAAGTATGCAAAATGCTCTTTTTATATTCGAATCCAAGCTTTCAACTGAGTTTATGTTCCACAACGCTTGCAACAACATTTCTTGTATTCCATTGGCATCCTCCTCGGCGGCTAATTTACTTTCAGCGGATCCATAGTTAGGATCAGAAACAATAGAGTGCTTTAAATTAAAACATAAGTCACGTAATTCGGGAAGTACCACTATCTCTTTCTTTTCATTGTATAATAAATCATTCTCTAAAAATCGAACTATTGTAGTTAGGACGGCTTGCAATCTATTTTCTTGTATCAAATCGGTACAATACAATACAATAAGAATTAATAACGAAATTTTATGAGGTGACAAGTCCTCGGTTAAAAGTAGTTTAATCCTACTAGTATTCAATGACATTTATATGTTATTGATTGTTTAAAGAACCGTATTGGATCAATATTTTTGTTTATTAATTTACGGCGCGAAACTATTACTTAAATATTTTGCATTATGATCTACAATTCTATTTACTCATCATCAGAATCGTCTCCAACGTCAATATCTGGTATTTCAAAATCCGATTCATCCTGTTCATTCTTATCCACTGAAACTGAAACTGAAGTCGCAACTGAATTTTCTGGGGTTGGAATAGTGCCTAAAGAGCTTTTGGTAACGACTTCTGATCTAGTAACTTCGGGCTCTGGTACAACATCTTCAACCATTTCAGATGTTTCTGCGAATTGAATTACCAGATCTGGATTCACATTAGTAAATATCTTTTCCTTAATCTTAGTATCTTCAAGCACGATGTTTGGGAGTACTTTTTCTGGTTGATCGCTTCCTCCATCAGCGCTAGACTCCGATACGTCAAGTTTACGACGCTTTGCTGATGATTCTGATTGTGATTCTTCACCTACATTTAATGATCCATCATTCTCGTTTTGTTCCATTTCTTCATCCTCGTCTTGACTCTCTTCTTCGTCATCTTCAATCACCAGACCTGACTTCTTGATATAGGTCGGTAAAGGTGGAAATCTTGGATTATTAAAAACACTTAAGAGTGGATCGTCACCTAATAGACTAGTAATAATCGGAAGCATCGAATTCTTTTCAAAGCCAGGATATAAGACAGAGTTTGTTAATAGCTGTTTTAATTCTTGGGAAATGTTTTGGTCCTTATTATACGACTTAGCAACGGTAGCTTCAATAATCATGTAACGGAAAACCCTATAATGTTGAGTTGGTGGTAAGTTAACCCTAGTTATAACAATATTTACAAATCTACGGGTAGCTTTAAGGGTTGACGATGGAATTGTTTCGTTGAACAAATGTTGGTGTGATAACAAATCAGATAATGGCACAGATTCCTTGTTCTTCTTTTTATTTTTCTTCTTATTACCATTTGCCTGTTGGATTTGTTTCTTGCCATCAGATACAGGTGAAGAATTAAGTGCTCTTTCTTCAACCAAGCAAAGGGCTACGTCGATAAATCTTATCAAAAGTGATGCATCGCTCAAACTTGAAACTAGTGATACGAAATTTCCAGTACATTCAAGCAATTTGCACATGAATATTTCATTTGATAACACTTCTTGGTAATCAATTTTCTTATTCGAAAAAGGAATTAATATCTCCAAGAATGCTAATATGTTATTCAAATGTGGAACTAATGATCCTTGGTATTTTATTGGCAATTCACTTAAAAGTTTAATGGAATTAAACTGGTTTAGTAAAGTGGTAGACTTAACTAATTTCTTCACTCTCTCGTCACGAATATCTTTTCTGAATGGGACGAATTTGGTACTGATAGAGCAAATAATTTCGTTAATTATGAGTACCAATCCGATTGGAACTCTTACACTAAATTGAGTCTCAGATAGTAAATAAGCCTTCATAATACTCAATAAAAGTTCAACCCTATCTGAAATTTGGAAAATGGTATCTGGTTTGTTTATATCTATTTCTAAAGAAGCAAACTTAAAACTCAGATCCAGGTCTTCGCTTTCTCTAGTCCGAGGTATTTTCTTGAATAAGTCCATTAAATCAGAATCGTCATTTAAACTCAAAAACTCATCATAAATAAGTAAGACATGCGATAATTCCTTCACAAGGTCTACTATATCACTTTGCCATTTTGCATCAGGGTCAGTCTTTTCAATGATCGGCAAAGTCGCCAAAATTTCACATATTAATTGCTTCAAGTCTTGAGGAAATGCGCTATAAGATTCAGAACTTAAGAACTCTATAAGCCTGTTGCGTAATTTATTACCATACGGTCTGAATGTAGTAGGATGCTTTCTGATTAATGAATTCAAAGACCTGAGAATCAAAAACGGTTGGTAAGCAATCTTTTCCATATACAAAGTAATAATTGTAGGTAACTTAGGTGTCAATACTTCCCTTGTAAGGGTTGGTTTCCCTCTAATTTGATTGCATAGGTTGTTTAGGCATTCAACAGTCGAGCTCAAAATTTTTGGGTCGATGGACTGATTGTAATTTTCTAAGATTTTCAATAATTGACTCATGAAATTCACCCCTTCATTGGCCAAAATATTATAATTATTACTCAATACCTTGATCAAATTAATTCCACACCATTTATTATATGATATATGAGATTTTGATAAGTTTAATGAACGTGATACTAAATGTTTTAAATCTGTCTTAGAAATATAATTCAACAATGCCTTATCATGATGCAAAGTTGCAAGTATAGGGACTATTGACTTTGGACTTGACTCTAGCTCTTCGAGTATAACATCTAGTGGTAATGACATATCTCCTAGTTGATTTACAACACTAACATACTTTAAGAAGAGACAATAATTTTTCAAATCTAGCGATGAGAGATGTTCTAAATCCTGCATATATTACGATTTAAATAATGTATAGCAGATTTTATATATAACGAATTAAATAATGAAATAAAACAACCGTGAATTTAGGCTTTATAAATAATGTCTGTAAATAATAATTGATCCCAATCACATAGTGAAAGGCCTCAAATTTTTGTAGCTTAAAATACACCTTCTAACAAGTTTCTAAAGCCAAAAGGTTCGTATAAACTACCTTCACCTTCAAAGAACTTAGACATGGACTCAACCCAATGCAATCTTAAGGAGTGCAACATAGCCGAAGTACCCTCCATAATAACTAAGATAACGACAGTTAAAACAAACCACATGGCAAACATGGCAACTGTCATGATGACCCCAAAAATTCCAGTCTTACCAAACGCACCTTCAATAGTCATAGTCCATAAAACAGTAGATAACTGAGCATGTGCTAAGGATAATGCCCACAATCTCAAATATGACGCTGTATGCGAAACACAATTCAAGCAAAATTCGATAGTATGAATAACTTGATGAATCATTATATCACCAAATGTGTGTGCCTCGTGTTCTTCTTCATCATCTTGGTTGTTTTCAGCGTCGTGTTCTTCTTCATTACCATCATTAGCTAATTGTTGATATTGATGAGCTTCTTGTGCGAATTTTCTTTTATAATATAATGGCTTTACTAATAATAACCATGGAACACAAACTAATGCGACCAATAAGAGGGACACTTGAACAGTAGATTGACCACTGTATAAAGGCTCATCGACTGTTCCGGGGGATAAAAACATTGAAATTAACATGTTCAATAAACCTGGTGGTTGTTTTTCAATTGCAAACCAATCAACTGACCATTTGTAAACGATACATAACGACAAGTAACCGAAAATTCCTTGCATAAATAATAAACCTGGAAGAAAATTTCCTATGATGTCAATCACACTTTTAAAGTGAAGGTAGTTGGTTAATGAGAAACAGTATGAATATGACATATGTAAATAACCCATTAAAATAGATAACTTCATTTTATAGGAATTGGTAAACAATAAGTTATTTTCAGCTCCGTGCCATGTTGGGTCTAAGCCCATGATGTATGTACCAGTACTTTTAGCTTCAACAGATTGACCGATTTCAAAATTTTCTGGCCATTCCCAACCCGAATTAAAAAGAGTCATGGATTTAGAAAAGATATCATTATACAAGAATCCAGTGTACATCGAAAAAAGACCCATTAATAACAATATGTAACGGCCTGTAAATGCCATGTCAAAAATTTCGTCTCTTTTCATTGCACCTATTTTCTTTTCATTGTAAACTAACGCACATGCCGCTAATGTCAAAATAATTCCATGGCCTAAATCACCAAACATAATAGCGAACATAAATGGGAAAGTAATAATAGTTGGTAAGCCTGGGTTAACTTCACGGTATGTTGCAATACCATAGGCATCACAAATATTTTGAAATGCATCTGTAAACTTGTTGGTTCTATGATAAGTTGGAGGTGTTCTTGAAGTCTCTAAAACATTAATGATGGTTGGGATAGATTGAGAAGCTGCTGAAGACTTAATGGTTGAAGTTAAGGTTTGTACTTCGTCACTTGGAATCCAGCCTTCTGCAATCAACGCTTTTCTCGAATCATCATAATTACATTTGTTCATAATTTGATATACTGCTTTTTCTCTTGCTACGATTTCCCACCACTTAGCTAAGTCTTTTGAGATAGCGATTAATTCGGAATTTAATGCATTTTCAGTCTGGGATAAAACAGTCGAGATATCTGTCAATTTCGACTCAACTTCTCTTAACTGCTCGGTTCTCAATTCATTTGTAGAATCAACCTTGTATAAATCAGCATCCAATGACTCACAAATCTTCTTAATACGTTCATAAACAAGAGACCCGTGAGAAAAAATAATAAATGAGTTCTTATCAACGTAGGAATTGCTCTCAACGTCATAAATTGGTTCCGCTAATTCTTCTGAATGATAGTACAAGTTACCTCTTAAAACTCTCCATAAAATTTGTTGCAACGTAAAAACTTTATCCCTGTTGATGACACCAGAAATAAATGTTGGGTCACGCAAGTCAGAAATACCACCGGATTCGAGTTGAGCTAACAATGCATCATCCCCTGAATCTTGTTGCGGACCGCTATTCGCTCCAAAGAAATTTTCAACACTTTGGATGCTGTACTTCAATTGCTTCAAATCTTTATGCTTGTGATATAACGACTCCGTGGAATCAATCAACTGAGAGACACGATCTTCCAACAACTTGCCATTCTCAACGTGGGTGTCAATCTCACTCTGTGGCACAATCGTTTGCATTTCACCCAGGTATGGATAAGTCTTGACGGAAATGTTTCTTTGGCCTAATTCCTTCTTGAAAAAGTTGTATTGTCTTTCAATTTCATCCAATCTTCTCAATTCCTTGACAAACGATCTTTGAAATTCATTTACCTTCGAATTCAAGTCTCTAAACTGAATCATGTTCAATTGACCAATTTCATAAACAATAGCCCTTGAAACTTCTGTCGGAACATATAATTGAACCAAAGACATTTCGGCAGAACCTACAAACAATCGTTAGTAATGCTATTCAATCATCCCTATGCCATCTATATACTCAAATATTAACATACGGAAAACCGCCTCTTCTTTCTCTGTCATATTGATTGCAATATATATCTTTTAGATTAAAGTGGCCCTTATTCTACTCTTCTTCTACTAAGGAGAAAGTCATATATGTTTCCTTTACAGGAGAGGATTGAGCACTGCTACTGGTCTTGGTGAATCCACGACTTCTTTGTTAGGCATTTTTGTGATCAATTTTGGTCCTACTGAATTGCAGCTAAGATATCTGGCGGTTATAGACAACGTCGATACATACGGCTTTTAGTACTGTCTAAGTGATCAACGCAAGCTAGTCATCCAGTATTTTATTCTGGTGAGCTTCTAGAAGCTTAGATATTTTCAAAATGCAGTTTCGCATATTCTTTTTCCTATGCATACGCCAGAACTATACACTAGCGCCAGCCAGCGAAGTAAGTAATCCCTCTATGGGTCGATATATCCTGTAGATCAGTAATGACCAAGCAACAGTCTGAGCTATTCCTTATAAAGGCCTAATCTTGCAAAACGGGGGTGGTAGAAATTGAATTGTATGCAGTATTATATATGAGTACAATTTTTTTCGTACGATGAGCATCAAGAGGTCCATGAATGCAACAGTAAACCGATACATTTACGGAAAGCAGTCTAAATTGTAAATATTGATTGAGTATGAGAAATTTGATCGTCTTGAACAAAGGACACATTTCTCCTGAATCCAAAACGTATCCAGATTTGGAGCTTATTGATTCAGTTTTTGATGTGGTTTCTAATAGTGTGACGTTTGCTTTATCGTCAGAGGAATCAGGAATCATTGAAGTACAACAATTCATGAAAAATGGGGAGGTATTGGTATTAGCATCATTTCCTACCGAAGGAGGTAAGATGCTTTCATTCAATCATTTTGTTGATACCTGTCAGTTGATATTTGTAATGGAAAATGGAGATATTGTTACTGGTACATATGACCCAGCACAACCAGATCCGGATACCACGATGGTTGAAATCGTAGGATCGATTGATTCAGGTTTATTGGCATCATCATGGTCTCCAGATGAAGAAACTTTAGCGATTTTGACGAGAGAAAATAACTTGCTCTTGTTGTCTAGATTATTCGAACCACTTAATGAAAAACAATTAAATCCAGATGATATAAAAATTACCGACTCCAAGCATGTCTCTGTTGGATGGGGTAAGAAAGAGACACAATTCAAGGGTAAAGGTGCAAAGGCTTTAGAAAGAGAAAAGGAAGCATTGAAACACGCAGGTTTGGATTTAAAAGAAGACTCCCCTCTAAGAGACCCTACGGTAGCACAATTAGAAAAAGGTACCATGTCGGAGTTTGATAATAGATCTGTGTCTATAAGTTGGAGAGGTGATTGTGAGTACTTTGCGATTACAACAGTTGAACCAGTTCTAGTCGAAGATACCCAAGAATTGTATGATAGACGAGTCATTAGAGTTTTCAGTAGAGAAGGTGAATTGGAGAGTGTTTCTGAAGCTGTGGATGGATTGGAGCACAATTTATCTTGGAAGCCTCAAGGCTCTTTAATTGCATCAACTCAAAGACATACCGATGAAGACGGTGATGAAGTATTAGACTTAGTTTTCTATGAGAAAAATGGTTTGAGACATGGTGAATTCAACACCAGATTAAACCCATTTGAAGAATCCATTCAAGCCCTTGAATGGTCTTCAAATAGTGAAGTTTTGGCATTCCAATTAATTGATAGGGTTCAATTATGGACAACCAAGAACTATCATTGGTATTTGAAACAGGAAATCTACGTAACTGAAGATGATTCCGCAAATGAAGTTTCGTTTATAAAGTTTCACTCTGAAAAGCCATTACATTTAATGATTGGAACGCTGAAATGTGGAATACTAGTCATTGATTTGGCCTATAAGATAACCACTGGTCCTACTCAGTTAGGTAATGACATTGGTATGACTTTAGTTGCTGATGGTAACATTGCGAAGATTACTCCGTTGTCTGTTGCAAACGTTCCCCCACCGATAAGTTTTAGAGAATTGGAACTTGAGGATAATATCACCGATTTAGCAATCAGTAAATCTAATGAAATCTATGCTATATTAACTAGCAAAAATGATATTTATATTGCCCATTTACCAATTGAGACAATGAAAGAGGGAAAACATCCAAAGATTGTTAGCAAAATTGATTCAACTCAATTTATCGGTCCAGGAGAATTCGCAAAGCAACTAGCTTTTGTCGCCGATTCTACGATCGTTGTAGTTGTTGATGTTGGAACTTATTCAAAGGTTATTGAATTTGATATCCGTGATGATGTTGCTTCGCCTGTCTTTAATGACTCAATCGATTTTTCACCAAAAGTTGTGTTATTAAAATCACAAGCTGACTTTGATGCGGTAGCTTTACAGACTATCGATGGTGCTGTTCACCAATTAAATTCTCATCAAGATATCAAGGAGGTCAGTAGATTTCCACAGTTATGTCGTGATTTTGAATTAGTTGTGACGTCTTCCAACAAAGAAATGGAAGATAATGAGCCTGTAGTAACGGCTTTCGGTATTTCAACAAATGGTAAATTATTCGCTGATTCCAAGCAGGTCGCAACTGCAGTGACTTCATTAAAAACGACGGAATCACATCTCCTTTTCACTACTGCTCAATCACAATTATGCTTTATTCACTTGAAATCAGCTACTGGTAATTTTGAGTATGATATTTTCCAAAAGGCTAATGACAATAACGAATCCTCAATTGATGAAAGAGTGAGACAAATTGAGAGGGGTTCAATTTTAGTAAATGCTATGCCATCAAAATATTCTGTTGTATTGGAAGCACCTAGAGGGAATTTAGAAGCTATTTGTCCTAGAATTATGGTGTTATCAGGAGTTCGTAAATTCATCAAACAGAAGAATTACAAGGCGGCATTTTTGGCATGTCGTACTCACAGAATTGATTTGGATATTTTGCATGATTACGATCCTGAATTATTTTTTGCTAATGTTGAAGTATTTATTAATCAAATAAAGAAAGTTGAGCATTTGGATTTGTTTGTTTCTTGCTTACATGAAGAAGATGTTACGTTAACCAAATACAAAGATACTATTAGCGAGTCTGAGAATATCACTACGGGGTTGAAGTCATTGCAATTACAATCACAAACTACTCCTATGCAAAATGATGGTAATAAAATGAATAGGGATAAGGTACAGAAGAAGGACCCTAAAGATTCCAAGGTAAATAGGATCTGTGAAAAGATACTATCTGTATTATTGAAGCCTGAATATTTTGAAAAATATTTGCAAACAATTATTACTGCATATGCTTGTGAAAATCCTCCTAATTTACCAGATGCATTACATTTAGTGGGTGGCTTTAAGAGTGTTGAACAAACTGAGCAAGCTGTAATACACTTGTGCTTCTTGCAGGACGTCAATAAGTTGTATGATACTGCATTAGGGTTATATGACGTTAAATTGACCTTAGCTATTGCTCAACAATCTCAAAAGGATCCAAAAGAATACTTACCATTTTTACAAAACTTGCATACACAACCACGGTTAAGAAAACAATTCTTGATCGATGATTATCTCAAGAACTATGAAAAAGCATTAGACTGGTTATTTGAGATTGGTGAAGAATCTCACAATGAATTTGATGAATATGTTGTCGCTCATGAATTATATAAAAAGGCTTTGCTTATTTACAAGTATGATAATGCAAGAACAAATGATATTTTAAGCTTATATGCATATTATTTACATGACCAACAAAACTTCAACGAGTCTGCATTAACTTATGAGTACTTGAGTGATTTTGAAAATGCACTTGAGAACTACATACTTGGCAAAAAATGGAAAGAAGCATTAACAATAGTTCAAAAAGCTGAATATTCATCAAAATTGATTTCCTCTGCTGAACAATTGGTCTCTTCTTTGGCGGAAGAACATAAATACGCTGCTGCTGCCGAAATTGAATTTTATTTCTTAGGAAATATTGAAGAAGCAATTAAATTATATTGTAAAAATTATTTCTATGAGGATGCAATTTTGTTAGCAGCTAAAGAAAACAAAGAAGACTTGATTCCCTCTATTGTCGATATTCAATTGAATGAAGGGTTCGGAACGATTGCTGAATTATTGGCTGATTGTAAAGGCCAAATGACTTCCCAATTAAGAAGATTAAGGGAATTAAGAACTAAGAAGCAAGAAGACCCATATTCATTTTATGGAGCTCCAAATGACGATTTAGATACCCCTGATAATGTTTCTGTGGCAGCATCGGAAACTTCAACCACTCCATCTTTTTTTACTAGATATACTGGTAAAACATCTGGTACGGCCAAGACTGGTGCATCTAGAAGAACTTCTAAAAACCGTAAGAGAGAAGAAAGAAAGAAAGCTAAAGGTAGGAAAGGTACTATTTATGAAGAAGAATATCTTATTAGGTCTGTCGGTCGTTTATTAGAAAGGTTGGATCAAACACAACCTGATGCTATTAGATTAATCGAGGGATTAATAAGAAGGAGCATGAAAGAACAAGCATATCAACTTCAAAAAAACTGGATAGAACTCCTTGATTTCTTAAGAGAAAATATTGATGAAATTCATAACATGAGTGAAAGAGATAGAGAAAGAATTGATGATAACGGTGAAGTATACTTAATACCTGAAATTCCAGTTCCAACAATAACTGATTTCCCAAAGAAGAATATTTTAGACTTTTAGTCCTATAGGCGATATATAGCTAGTTTAAAAAAGTATAATAATTAAAGCTTACCTTGTTCAACCCTCTCGAAATTCTTTAATTCGTTCTCAAGAAGTAGATCCCGCAATCCTAAAATAGTGTTTTTCAACCCATCGGTTATTGCTTGCTTCTTACCTTTATTATAGCACATATGTTTGTGTGGCATGTTTGTAGCCTCTCCCGTACCCAATTCATCGTTGTAAGTGCCATCTTTTAAAATTATACGAGCGACAACATTATACTTGACCGAATATTCGTTATTTTCTTCGTTAAGTTGCTCGTGTACCAAATGGGAACTAATAATCTCGGACGACCATCCATTGTAGCCAAATACTTCATTCGCCAAGTTGAAAATAACACTTGATGAAAACTTCAGGTAGAAAGTTGATCCAGAGAATCGTTTTGAATCTTTGGCGTTTTGTATCGCTTCCAAGCGTGCTTGCAAAGTTCCAATCTTTTTAAGAGCCCAATCGGAAGCAATTCCTTCGTTTGAATTATTCTCGTCTTCATTTTGATCTTTTTCCTCAAATTCAGACATATCTGGAAAAAAGACTACTGTCGACGGACCAGTAGGTTCATCGCCATACGCATCTTCCCAAGCGTTATTATTCATATTAATCGAGTAATACGTAATACTCAACTCAATGTTGTGTTTCCATTTAAAACACTAATTGTATGTAGATTTAATCGGGTCTTAATAAAGATTCAGATCCATTTCTATATAGGTTATTTGTTATGTAAATAAAAATACTCGTATTAATTCTATGAGGCTACGCGAACCCAAATTTTTCAGTTTCGAGTTACGTTAAGAATAATTCTGCTATATTAATTAACGAGTAGGATCGATTGTCTACCCAATTGAAAGGGAAATGGATTACTTGAATAGTATATTATCCCAGCAAAACCAGGTTCAGCTGGTAGAGGAAGCAATTCCTACTCTTTGTAATAGACTACAGCATGCCACCTTGTCCTCAGATAGAAGATCAGCTGTATTGGGATTAAAAAGTTTCAGTAGACAATATAGAGAGTCTGTTGTTGAATATGGTTTAAGGGCATTGATTATAACATTGAAGAAGGACTCCTCGAATCCTGTTATTATTAAGGCGATTTTGGAAACGTTACTTATTCTATTTATTAGAGGTGAAGGAGACGATGATTTGACTCGAGGATGGATTTCACAACAATCAAGACTCCAGAATGGAAAATATCCATCTCCAATATTGATGAATGATGGGTCCATTGATCACTTTTCTTTGTGGATCGCCGACGAGCTTACCCAAGACGAAGAGTGCATTTCGTTATTACTTGAGATATTACTGGAGAATGACAACTTCCACATTAGGTTATACACCTTGCAATTACTAGAAGCATTAGTATCAACAAGAGGGGAAAAAACTAAGGACTGTTTATTGAATATACCAACGGCCGTTTCTACTTTGGTTTCTCTCTTGAATGATTCACATGATCCTGTTAGAAATGAAGCCATTTTGCTTTTAATGGCAATCGCTAATCGTAATTTTAATATCCAAAAGCTAGTTGCATTTGAAAACACTTTTGATAGTCTTTTTGATATTATTGATGAAGAAGGAGGAATAAGAGGCTCTATTCTTGTACAAGATTGCCTAACGTTAATTACCAATTTATTGCAGTATAATGCATCTAATCAGAAATTTTTCCTAGAAACCCAATGTATCCCGCGTTTAGCTAAGTTATTGGGAGAGCCTGTTGAAGATGATGCGGATAGTGGTATGACGGATGAAAACGGTATGCCTATAGTTGCACCACCTATGGTATGGACGGAACAGAGACTACAGAACATGGTTATTGCCTTGGAAATATGTAGAATATTAGTCTCCGAAGACAATGAATCACTACAAGTTAACCAAGAGAAACTCTTTCAGTCTGGTGTTTCGTTTATCGTTTTGAAACTAGTTTTCTCGCCAGTAACAGCTAATGCAGTAAGATCAATCGCGTTGCTCACGACGGCAGATTTAATAAGCAGTAATCCGGATATTCAGTTACAATTTTCACAAATTGATGTGCCTTATATTGATCCGTCTATGCCGACTCAACTAAAGTCGTACGATAGGCCGATCCCTGTCACTGTCGCATTGCTCAACTGGACACTATTCATTAATTCAGTCCACGTATTTGATATAAGAATGGGTGCAGCATTGTGCTTACATGCATATTTTAAAGAAAATAAGGATTCAAAGTCAGCCTTTTTAACGGATCAAATAAAGGCCTATGCGGACCCTGAATATTTCTCAAATTTGGGTGACAATAAAGAAGACAAAACAGATGATGCTACAAAAGACAACGTCGTTAACAATGGATCTTCTAATAATGAAGTGAATTCAGTAGTTGATGAGAAGCCGCAAGATGAAAATACTATTCCTACGCCCTTTGGAAATATATTTGCAACCTTAATGGATTATGATGCTGATATTAAACTAAACCCATACAGATTATGGTTTGCCTCTATTATTTTGATCTATCTTTTTGAAGAATATGAAGAAAACAAAATCGCGGCGCAGAAGGTTTATACTGGTGACGAAAGTGCTGGTGAAGAAGTGATGAGTTCAATTCAAGCCATATCAGGTTTATTAATAACAACCTTAGATAATATGGATCCGCGTATCTCGATTGGTTATTTAATGTTATTAACTGTTTGGTTGTACGAAGATTTCAATGCCGTAAATGAATTTTTAGATGACTCGTCAATTATTAAGTCCATATTGGCATTCTTATCTAATAATTCCTCAGAGCTGACTGTGTTGGTTCATGGTATGGCTACAATTTTATTAGGTGTAGTATATGAATTCTCATCGAAAGAATCCCCTATACCTAGGCTTGAATTACATTCTCTTCTAGTTAAGGCAATGGGCAGAGATAACTATTCTTTGAAGGTAAGGCAATTTAAGGATAATGAGCTTTTCAAAAGTTTCGACGATGAATCACCCTTAAGTAATACTAAAGATCAGACCGGTTTGCCTGATGTTTACTTTGGAACTATTTATGTAAATTTGATCAAAGAAAATTTCCCTCGATTGAAGAGAGCATTATTTCATGACCCGCATGCCGAACCTCAGGGACATATATCGTTCGAGCTTTACGAAGAGTTAGACACAAAACATAATTTACTTAAAACTCAATTAGAAGAGGAGAAAGTCAAAGCTTCTGAGACAGAAACGAAACTTCATGAAGAAATTAATAAATTGAATAGAGATTGTGAAGACGTGAAATTAAAATTAGATAAAGCTTGTAATGAATTAAAAGAATTAGAAAACAAGCATTCGTCCGTCAGCGAGAAGTACAGCAATACCCTCAAAAGTTTACAAGCAACAGAGAAATCAAAGAAAGAGTTCGAAACTTCTTCTGGTAAATACTTCAAAGAGTTACAAGAAGCCTTAAAAAAAGTAGGGATCAGTGATGATTTGGTTAAAAGCTTAGAACAAAAATTAGAAAATTCTGAACAGGCTAGACAAAAGGCCGAAGATGGTATAAACAAAATGAGCAGAGAATTGTTTCATCTTAGTAAACAGAAGAAGGAATCTGATAGTAATATAAAGTCTCATGAAAAGAAAATTGACTCTTTGAAGTTAGAGATTGCCAACATTACCAAAACATTTGAAGCGAGAATTGAAAAGCTACAGAAAGCTAATGACTTGTTCAAAGAAAAAGTCGAAGATTTAAATAAAAAAATCTCTGAATCAGTATCCTATAATGAACACAGTGATAAAAAGTCTCGCGAAATGAAGGAGAAACTCGATGATGTAGAAGCAACTAATGAACATTTGATGGATAAATTAAGATCTGCTGCATCTGCATTTCAAGAGATGAAATCCGCTAAAGCTTCGTCAGATAATGAGATCGATAAATACAAAATTGAAATCAAAAGCAAACAGGATGAATTTAATTCATTGCAGCTGGAATTTACGTTATTAAAAGAAGAGAAGGAGAAAATTAATAAAGAATTTGAGTCTTTTAGGTTAGAATCGTCGGCTGAAGTTGGCAAACTAAATTCAACCATCAATGATTTAAAGTTAGCTAGAGACTCTTTGGATAGTAACCATTCAACCATTTCTAATGAATTTGAAGAATTGAAAGAGAAATTGTCACAGGAATCCAAAAGATACAGTAATTTAAAAATTGATTATGACAAACAGCTTGAATTATTGAAATCTGAAAACGAAAAACTTAAGAAAGACTTAGAGGATATAGGCAATTCGAAAGCAAATGCTGATGCGAAACATAGATCAGTTGAACATGAATTGCTGAATTTCAAGGCAAAACATACCAAAGTAAAGGAAGAGTTAGAAAAGTCATTAGATGCGAAAACAGCAGAGTATAATGATGTTATAGAAAAGCTAAAAAACAAAGATATCAGTATAGCTTCATTGAAAGAAACACATTCGAAAAAAGTATCAGAGTTAGATTCTGGTCATTCTAAGCTTTCACAAGAATTAGAGGCTGCAAATTCTAGATGCTTAGAAAATGAGAAACGAATAAAGGAACATTTGGATTCATCTTCTAACCAGGCTAATCAAATTTTAGCTTTAGAAAAGGCGAAAGGAGAGTTAGAGACTTCCATAAAAAACGTAGAGCGAGAAACCAAAAGATCTACCGATGAATTTGAGAAAGAAAAAGCCGAATTAAACCAAAACTTGACAAAACTTGAAGCTGAAAAACAAAAAGCTGAAAAGAGACTAGACCTGATGCAGACGGAAAAGGCAATTGCTGAAAAAGAATTAACCAATCTAAAACAAGTACTGGATGATAATAGCAAATTAGAAACGGAGGTATCCCAACTAAAATCAGAGATTACTCAATTTAAAGACGAACATACGTCCATTAACGAAAAGTTGAGTAGTAAAACTAAAGAGTTAAAAGAGAAGAAAGATCAAATTGAAAATCAAGAATCCAAACTCGAAGATCTTGCTAAATCTTTGGATAATGAAAAAATGCTTGTTAAGGATTTGAAAGAGAAGAAAGAGGCCTTGGAAACGCGAATTAAAAAATTAGAAAATGATATAACTTCTAATTCTAAAAGTTCCAAAGAAATGCAAACGAAGAATGAGAATTTGGAAACCAAATTAAAATCAACTGAAAAGGATTTATCGTCTCTGAAATCAGAATTTGCTAATGAAACCAAGATTCTCAAAGATCAAATAGCTGACCATGAGGTGAGTATTTCGGGTCTTAAAGCTGACTTAGATAAAAAGGTTCAGGAGGTGGAAAAAGAACGAAACATGTTGAGTGAAAATTCGGAAACAGTTATTAAAGAATATGGTGATAAAATAAAAGAATTAGAAAAGACACTTGGTATTGCGAAAACTGCTCACGAATCGAAGTTAAATGCAATGTCGAAAGAAAAAAAACTTGCGGATGAAAGCGTCAAATCTATAAATATTGAATTTGAAATCCATAAAAACAACACAAATGAATCTACTGCTAAACTCACAAAAGAAATTGAGTCATTAAATGTTAAATTAGAGAATGAAAAGAAACTTTCGACTTCAAAGCTTTCTGAGAGAGAAGCAGAATTGAAAAAGGAATCTGAATCCTTGAAGGCTACAGAAAAACAGCTCAAAGATGAAATTGAGAATCTTAAGAAAGAGAAAGATGTTGTAAATAATAATTATCAACTGAAAAATCTAGAGTTTTCTACCTTGGAAAAAGATTTGGCTTCTAAAGTAGAAGAAATAAAGTCTATTAATAAAGTGACTGAATCATATAAGAAGGAATCAGACGATGGAAAATCCAAAATTGAACGACTTGAAAAAGACCTAGAAGCTGCTCAGAAGTTTGGGGATGAAACTAAGGAGGAATTGGACTCCCTTAATCAAAAGATTGAGGAATTGAAGAGTGTAAATTCCAATACAGAAGAAACTTGGACTAACAAGCTTAAGGAATCTGAATCTAGTTATGCTGCTCTTGACGAACAGAAAAAATCGATATCTCAAGAATTGTCAGCTTTAAAATCTTCCGATAAGGCAGCTTCAGAAATGACGAAGCAATTGGAAAACGAACTTCAGACTTTGAAGGATGATATTGAAGAAAAATCGAAATCAAAAAAAGAATTAGAGGAGAAATCTACAACTCTTTCTTCAACGATTAACGAACTTGAAAATAAACTTGATGTCATGAGAAAAGAATTGGATTCTGAAAAATCTATAATAGAAAAATTATCTGCCGAGTTGAAAGAACATTCAAAACTGTCGGCTGATTTGAAAGAATATAAAGAGAAATTTGAAGAGCTAGAAAAGGACCATGAACAATTAAAGAAGAAATTTGATGCAGAAGGAAATATTCATAGTGAAAAAATGAAAGAACTAAAATCTAAGGTTGATTCCTTACAAGATGACCTGACAGCAGCAATCGATTTAAAAGATAAAATTGAAAGCCTCAATCAAGAATTAGTATCAACTAAGAGAACAAAGGATGATGAAATCAAAAAACTCACCAAAGAATTAGAGTCCACCCACACTTTAAAGAAAAATGAAAAAGAATTGAAAAAAGACTTGAATAGTTCAAAGGCAAATATATCAACGTTGAAAGAAGATTTAAATGTATCCAAGGAGAATGAAACAAAATTGAAACAAGAGCTAGAAATTTCAAAGAAAAATGAAGATTCATTAAACAAAGAACTAGAATCATTGAAATCTAGCCAGACAAATAAAGAGAGAGACAATAAAGACTTCGACTCTCAAAAGGCTAAATTTTTAGAAAGCGAGAAAAAGCTCAAGGAAGAGGTAGAATCGTTGAAAAAGAAATTGAAGGAACAGTCCTCGAGCATGGTACCAAGGTCAGAGTTGGATGACTTAATGCTACTCATGTCAGATATTGACGAGCATAATAAGAAGTATAAAAAACAGTTGAAAGCTTTGGGCCATGATATTTCAAGTGACGAAGAAAGCGACGAAGATGACGACGATGAGGACGATGAAGATGATGAAGATGATGATTGATATGTATTCTTCTCGGTGTGTAATTAATCTGTAATAATATTTATAATTATAGCGTCCTTGTAGATGAAGCGAATTATTTTTTCTCAGTGTGCAAGAAAAGTATTTTTCGATATAATCAAGTATCCTACAGATATTATTAGTATCCTTCTAAACATTTAGTTCTAGAAGACTGTAGTCCCATGATCCTCCTTATTGATTCATATGATTCGTTCACAAATAATCTTTCGCAGTTGATTATTGATAACACCGGTAAGGAAGTTATTACAATTCATAATGACACATTCAAACCAAATGAATATGAATTCTTCATGAAAGTATATATACCGATGTTTGATTACATCGTTATAGGGCCAGGTCCAGGGCATCCATCAAATATTGAAGATGTTGGTATCGTAAGGTGGATATTACATTATTTCGCCGAAAGAGAACCAGAAAAGGCTATACCGGTATTGGGAATCTGTTTGGGGTTTCAATGCTTATGCTTCGAATTTGGTAATGAGGTTAAAAAACTTGAAAAAGTCAGGCATGGTCAAATATATGATGTTCATCCTATAGCTCATAGTGGCGGTAATGACTTATATCCAAGTGGAGATGGAAACAATGATCCAAGGACCACATTTCCTAGTGTAAGGTATCATTCATTGTACGTTGATATTGATTCTCTTAGCGATGAGATAATACCGTTAGCATATTGTTGTGAACAAAATGAAGAAGATAATGGCCACTCCAGGGTATTAATGGCTGCCAAGCACAAAAATTTGCCTTTTTATGGTGTCCAATATCATCCAGAATCCATTTGTTCTTCAAAAGGTAATGAGTTGATTAGCGACTTCGACAGAATTGCAACAAATTATAATGCAGTTCTGAGGCAAGATTTCTCGATTACTAGAGATGGTGATAAACAAAAGGCTCTTCTTAATGAATTAATTAATAAGCGTGCATTGCATGAGACACTGTTATTAAAAGGTGGTAAACTTCTGTATAGTGGTAATGAAATTCCAAGTATTCACTTCAAGAAAATCGCCATTCCATTGCAAGATATGGTCACCCCTGTTGATATTTGCGAATATTTGCATGAGAGAGAGTCTAATTTTTTCCTTTTAAACTCTGCTTCAGTCCCTGGTGAGTGGTCAATAATTGGGATCCCCATAGAAGGACAATCAGAAATTATAACGCATTCTGTCGATGCAATTCAAGAAGTAACTATACAAAAATATAGATCTTCGTTTAATGAGACATTGCATTTGGAAACGTCAGAGAAGGTGTGGAATATAATTGGTGATAGAATGAAAACGTCATATATACCTAGAACTATTATTAATGAGTCTCTCAAAGATAGACCCTCTAGAGAAGCTCCATTCTTTGGGGGATTTATTGGCCTTATATCTTATGAAGAAGGACAGCATATACAAATTGAAAACCTAGAACTGCTTTGTAATTCACCAACTCCAGATGTCAAGTTAATCTTTATTGAAAGATTCATGTTATATGATCATATTAATAATGAGTGGTTCATTGGGTCAATCAACCTGAAAGCCGATGATAGTCATTGGTGTGATCAGTTATCTGAAGAGCTTGAGCATGTGCATAAGATGGGCAAATTACGATTAGATATCAATAAAGTACCAGAAAGTGTCAAAAACTTATGCAAAGAATTGGACAAAACTGAAATTGGCTTTGATTTTCCATCTCACGAAATATACAAAAAGCAATTTGAATTATGTCAAGAGTATCTTCATTCAGGAAACTCGTATGAGTTGTGCCTTACTACACAACTGAAAATAACATTGCCGTCGTATATTAAGCCATGGGATATCTATAAGGTGTTGACTTTGCGTAAAAACCCGTCTCCTTTCTCGTGTTTTATGCAATTCGAAGATATTGTCCTTGTTTCGTCTTCCCCAGAGAGATTTTTGTCGTGGAAAGACGATGAACAAAAGAATAAAATGATTGAGCTAAGACCCATTAAAGGAACCGTCAAAAGAACCCCTGAGGTTGACTTGAAAATGGCCAGCGAAATCTTGAAGACCCCAAAAGAGATGGGCGAAAACTTAATGATTGTGGACTTGATCAGACATGATTTGCATCAATTCATTGACAATGTCACTGTCTCCCAGCTAATGGCAGTCGAAGAATACAAGACTGTTTACCAATTGGTAAGTGTTATTCAAGGTGTGTTGAAACAAAATGGATACCATGGTATAGATATTTTGCACCATTCATTACCACCCGGCTCCATGACTGGCGCACCAAAAAAGAGATCCGTCGAGTTATTGCAAGTCATCGAAACTTTACAACCGAACGGTAATCCCGGTGGTAGAAGAGGTATTTACAGTGGAGTCTCTGGTTACTGGTCTGTAACTGATGATTCCGATTGGTCTGTGGTTATTCGCTCTGTCTACCATTATGTAGATGACAAAGAGAACCAAAAAGACAAAACTATCTGGAGAATTGGAGCCGGCGGAGCGATCACTGTTTTGAGCGATCCAGAAGGAGAATGGGAAGAGATGAAATTGAAGCTATCCAGTGCTTTACAAGCCTTCAAATAAACATGTAAATAGTGTATAGATTGATAATATAATGATGCTTGTATATGCGTCACGTGCAGTTCGTCGGTTTTTTTTCTCGTTCAATCGGTCGACAAAATTCATCTAATTTAAAGCAATATACATTAATTTCATCCAACAAAAAGCAATATAAACATGTCATTCTTCGGATTTGATCCTAGTGTGCCTCCACATGCTCAGTCGAGGGATAATGTGACAGAAAGTTACGATTTTCAGGATACATATGATGGATTAGGAGATGAGTTAGATGAAGGCGACGACGCTTTCAATAACGAAACATTCGGTGGAGGAGAAGTAAGAAAAGATTTCAATTTTGCCGGAGCAGGGACTAATAACCCAGCTGCGGTTCCGCAGCCTCAAAGACCAGGAATTAGTTATGCTGATGCAGTTTCCCATTCCAATGATGATGAGTTCATGCAAGATTTATGGGGCACATCCAATGCTCCACAAGGTCAACAACACGGTCAGCAGCCATCTGAAGGACAATTACAAGGAGCACCAGAAAAGAAGATTTTATCGTTAGAAGAAATTGAAGCTCAATTGACCTCTATTGATCAATCTCAGCAACTCCCACCTCAACCTCAATTTGTGGTACCAGGGATGATGCCTCCAAATCAATTTGGTGGCTACATGTTGCCCCCAGGAGGATTCATGCCACCTCCAGGTCAATACGGACAATTTCAAGGTGCACCATTAGGTTCTCAACAATTACCACCACAGCCAATTCAACCCTCTGGTCAACAAATTCCACCTCATCCTCAGGCACAACCTCTCCAACCTCAGCCTCAACCTCAACCACCTCAGCAAGCTGTTCCAAAGCAAGGATTACAATCTCAACAGGTTCCTCCCCAACCAATTGAACAACGTAGAGTTTCGAAGGTCGATCTTTCTCATTTCCCAGTTTTGGGTTCAAAAGGAGGTGAAACCTATCCAGCTCAGGGACAACAACAACAACCGCAACAACCACAGCAACAACAGCAACAACAACAACAATTTGCTAATATTCAGCAACGCCAACAACAGCCACATCACCAGCAACAACACTACCACCAGCAGCTGTTCTCCCAACCTCCAATTCAACAACAGGCTCAACAACAAGCTCAGCAATCTGACTTAACCCCAGAACAACAAGCCAAATTAGCTAAAAGACATGATAAGGTCGCTCGTATTATGAAGTACTCGGGTATTATGAACCCTAAGGACAAAGACTTTGTAACTCGTTTCCAGTTATCTCAAATTGTTACTGAAGATCCTTATAATGAAGATTTTTATGCCCAGGTTTTCAAAGTTGTCCATCCAAAGGTCAATAACAATCCTATGCAACAAAACTCTCAACAACATAATTCAATCGCGCAAGCTTATTTGGAACAAAGTGGCCATAGATTGGGAGGCCGTTATAAGAGAGCTGATGTAGCATTGCAAAGAATGCAACAGCAAGTTCAAAAGGCTGTCACTGTTGCCAAAGAAAGACCAAAGCTAACTCAATATGCAAGAGAAGGAGCTTTAGGTAAGATATCTTTTGGTAATGGTAAGAAGCCAAGACAACAGTTAGAAATTTTCAGCAAGGCTGCCCAAAGGGAAATTGAAAAGAAGGAGGCAGAAGGTAAGAAGGAAGGATCTGAATCTACTATAGCTGACTCCGATGTGGCTGATAAGGTTACTCCAGTTTCTAAAAAAGCAAGATCTCCATCTATTTCAGCACCATCAAAACCAACCAAGAAATATTCTAAGAAGGATATTATGAGTATTTTAGAAAATATTATTTCGAAACTTATGAATGTTGAAAGTGAATCAAGATTAACTAGTGATGTTGACACAACTGACTTATGGGAATCATTACATATATTAGATCAACCCTCTTCATCTGGTGATGATGAATTAGAAGTTAATCCTTTTATACAATGTTTGAATCATAATAAGACTTTGAAGATCTTGCCAAGGTTATTTAAGTTCTTATCTAGAGAACAGATCTTGACCATAGTTACATTGATAATGTCGAATTTGGAAAACTTGTCAGTTATTAAGCTTGGTTCCTATACAACCTATCCTGATAAGAAAGTGTCAGATTCAATTTTAAAATTGGTGGAAGCATATTCGTTAACGTTTTCTAAAGTTTTGATGAATGCAGCACAGGATTTCAAATTCAATGAAATTATTGGTTTGTTAGTCATCTTGATTGAACATAATAATGTTTCATTTGTCTCTACTACTAAGATCGGGTTATCAATTTTAACAACCTTATTGTCTCGTGCAGAATTGATAAGAGGTGAAGGCGTCATATCAGCAACTGATTTGTCGGAATGGTCATCTTGTTACGATGAGTTATTCACTTCATTAGAATCTCGTATAGCTGCAATTTTCCCACCACACCCAGAAGATGTCGACGATGGTTCATCAAGAGAGAATTATGTCTGGCAATTCTTAGCTACCTTATCGTTAGGTGGAAAGTTGAGTCACCAAAGAATAATTGTTGATGAAGTTAGAGACGAGATTTTCGGTGTCATGAATAGAGCAAAAGCTATTGATAATTCTGATTTAGCAAACTTATATAAGAAGCAAAACCTATTGAACAATTTGAATATGTATTTGGTTGTTATGGGATTGGTTGCAGATGAAAATGAAATCAAAGAATTACAAAGCTGATCTTGTATATCTTGTGCCAACGTTACAAGCTTTTTTAATATTTGATTGTTCTCAGCTTATATATTAGGATAAAATAATCATCTTCCTGGTTTCATTTCATCTTCCGAGTTCCAATTTATTGATCTTTTATTGTTGTTGTATTCTATAGATTAGGTAACATTGATCGCATATGACCAGTATATATTCATAATATATAATTTTTTTTTTCAGATATAACATATTACGCAAGCATGAAATATTCCATATAATTAAACTATTTCCTACCTTTGGTAATTCAAAGGTTGTTATAACAATTATGATTTATTATTGATTTTATTCATTAATTATATAAAAACCAGAATTTTGAAAATGATGCGAAATATTTAAAATAGTTGAAAAGTAATTGATTGAAGAATTATAATTAACGTTATTTTTATATAAAGATTTCCGTTTCGTGAGTAGCTTGTGATTAAATTAAATATGTAATAATATACATTATGCGGAAACCATCAACATAGGAAAAGAGGATAAAAAGAATTAAAGAATCTATAGTTATTAATTGGTTAGATAATTTCTTGATGAAATTAGCTTCAGGCATTTATCATCTGAAAAGAATTTGAAAAATCTGGAGTGGTCAAGTGAGAATCGAAAGACGCAATAGAATTGTGTGTTTTCATTGCTGACTTACTAGACCCAAAAACTTTCTTCAAGTTAGCGAAATCTATACTTTCTTCTTTACTTGCCTCATCGTCATTCAAAGTATTATTGGTCAAAGCATAATATGCATCCTTTCTTTGCTTCTTCTTTGTATTCTTCATTGCTTTCTTATCTAAACCGGTACAAAAGATCCCTTCCGGAGTAGAATGGTTTATTGTAGGAGCTATTGGAAATGTTCTATCTCTTATAAAGTTATTATTCAGGGCTTTCGTTGATTTCTTATAACCCATTGGAGACAAAAATGGAGATGAGGACGCTGCTTTAGTTATAATTGGACAATCCCGAGTCTTATTTGATTCGTTGTTATTATTAGGAACGCCTGATTCATATCCAACGGATATATCAATTGGAATAAATTTATTCCTCATTTTCTTTATTTGTGAAGATTCAATCTTCAGATTGGATTTTGTTTGTTTACTAGTTAGTAACTTGTTTATATTCCTTTCTTGTTGTAACAAATCTTTTAGATAGTTGATTTCTCTTTCATGTTTGCTGATAATTAGCTTGTGTTCCTGAACTAACAATGCCATTTCATTTTTATATATATCGTGGCTACCAACTTCAAAGTTACCTTTCGCAAGGTACATGCTTTCATGCTGTATACGAATATCCTTGTCACTACTTGCTGCCAAATTAATTTTATCGAAATTTAAATCATCTGGAGGGTTATTTGGAACAACTCTCAGATCAAGAATAGAATTTATCGGAGAGACCGGTTTGTGTATTGAGGAAGATGATTCAAGTAAAATAGGAGACCTGGAAACGAGTTTTAAGTTCAAGTTATTTGCTGGAGTTTTAAACACTTCAATATTAGCATCATTTATTGATCCAATATCAATATACTGTTCATTCTTTACAAAATCTAAGGCATTATTGTTTTCTGTGTCATTTTGTTTTGACAGTATAAATGAATGCTTTGAAGTACTATGAGATATGGCGTCGTCTTCAAACATTAGGGAATTGGCTTTTTCAAAAATACTTGAACCGGCACTAGGTGTTTCATTTTCCTTAGTACTATTCTTCGATCTCTGCTTTATATCTAAAGCATGATCAGTGATGTTTTCCAATTCAACTGTTGAACATTCAATGCTTTCTTCGTAGCGTAATTTTTTTTCTCTTTGTTCAACTGACATCTCTGATGTTCTCTCCATATAAGTGCAAATCTCGCTAACATCATCACTATAAGGTGAAAGTATTTCATCAATACCGTATTCATCGCCATCAACTGCTTTATCACTGTTTCTGAGTTTAAAATTTGCCATCTCATCTTCAGTATATATTCTTCTTATCGTTATAGGCTGCTTTCTTATTGACACACTTGATTTCTTACTCAGAAGACTGAATGAAGCCAACCTTCCAAAATAGCTTGGGGATTTTCTTAAGGGTTTGTTTGTTTTCTCTTTTATGGAGTTATTAGGACCGCTTCGCCGCGATAGTATGTGACTGAGAGCCATATTATGAATCTTTGACCGCTGAGTTACGTTATATTCGGTTTTAAGAGAAGAAGAAGAAGTAAATGAATAAGATATACTGAACTAAAGTGAAGCCACGGAAATAACAGTTTACACTCCTACATCTTTTTGGGTAAACAGGTAAAAATTACTTAATTAGTAAATAATTAACTTGCATACAGCCTGCAAGTAATACATAAAATGCTTAACAACACGTGCCCCGGGTACTGTATTTCCGATAATAGATGGCAGTAAATACGATTGGGATCATTCAGGAAATTAGCACTGCTAACGCGACTTTGCTTTGAATCTGATTTAACCAACAATAGAGACTCCATAAACCATTTCAGCTTGCTATCTACGGAAAGACTACACATACTATCTATAAGGTGGCTGTCTCAATAAGGCATCCAATTGGAACTGTTGAAGCTGAGATAGCACGCATGTAAATAATGGTAACGTCTGTATATTTGCGCTTGAAACAGGCTATTAGGAGTCAAGTTATAGGAATATTATGACTCTTTAATTGCTGCAATATTATTGTTTATGTTTAGTCTAAATCGAGTAATTGTGCTGCGCTCGAAGATAATCTTTGTTCATTTCTCACGCATTGTGGTACATAGTGAAAGAGTATGAGTTTAGAGTATATACGCAAGGTAATCTGCTAGCGAAACTTAGTGGGAACAAAGGCATGAGATATCATAACATTCAGGCATGAATTAATATGTTTTACATGCAATTGGAGGAATATTAGTATATATCAAAAATAGACTAGAATTCAGAGCCACGATGATTATTCCCTTTTTTTTTTGCCTGACCTTCTTGGTTATCCCGGAATTAGTTTATGTGCTGTTTCGGTTCTTGTAATATAATTTGACGTACATGTACATTATCTTTTATCTGGGATTGGCGATAGAGGATGCTGATGAGTTTGAGTTGAGAATGCGTGGTTCAGCTGGGAAAGAATTCCCTGCCTGCGCCGATTGTATTCATCAATTATCTATTTTTAGTCTATAAACAAGATGCCTGATATCCAATGGCGTATAGGATCAACAGCAGAAACACGTCTGTTACATGTAGATATGTGGACAATAGTATATGGTTAAGTATTTAGACAATAACAACACGCACTAAATACCTCGCTTCTCCATAATTCCAATATACTTTTTCGGACTTGGAGTTAGACGATTAGGTAACCAATATTTGTAATCCGCAATATCCGCTTGTATTTAGTAGATTATTCATTCTTATGAACGAATTCATTTACCCAATCTAATAGATGTGCTCGATCCAAGACGGCAAATTCTATTTTTCTTCTAATTGGGTACTTTACTACATGTTCTAAATGTTTTTTTTTCTAAATCCATTAATAAATAGGTAGCCATATTTCCCCTTAGACAACTGATTTCCATAGTAATTCACCCCATATGAGCGACTCGTTAAGGAACATGTTTTGCAATAACCCTTGAGATAGTGCATTTGGAGTCAAGTAGGGAGGTATAATTTCAGGTAGAAGCAGTTGGTGTAGAGATGTCAAGATAGTGAACCTGCACCTCAGACGTGAAAAAAAAAGCTCGCTATTCACCTGATATGCGATATGCCTATTAAATCATAACTACCAGGGTCATTGCAACCTCTTTATTCTGGTTCCCAAATGAATGGATATAATTTGGTAAGAGGAAGACGAAGAAGAAGTTAGAACCGAAGCTACTAATTAGTTATATGGGATAATAATCGAGAAAGTCTTTAACTATTCTGGCTTAAATTTCATCAGAGCACCTAGTACTTGATATATTCGACATAACCAGTTTTTGACATTTATACAGATAGATTTTTGAAAATATTGATAGATGGAGAGTTTCAGAATTCCCAACTCAACGAGTGATATTAACGAAAAGTTGCTCACAAATAGCGTACGTTCAGAGATAGATATGAAAGCATCAAACGGAAAACAAGCCGTACCATCTAACTCCGAAGCTCATCGTGGTAGCTATTCAAATTCCATCCCATCCAATTTTTATGACAAATTGTTCGAGGAAGGTAAAGTGTGGACGCATGGGTATCTTCACGGACACATTCATAAACATAAGGATCACACGCATATCCATGGACATATACACAACCACGATCACGACCATCATAATCAGAGTGTACAGGAAATAGAAACTGTTGATGATGGGTCGAGACACTTAGGGGATGGTTTAGAAACATGCAATGAGTTTGACGATTTTTCGCTATGTAAAGATATATTCTGTGGTGAATTAGATGACTGCTTTTATTTACAATGTGATGGGACCAAGGAGCAAGAGAAAATTTCATGTTCGAACGATTGCGTAACAGAAACCCTAGAACATAGTGGTAATCAGGATGATACGTTTGAGAAGAAGGATGGCTGTCATAGAGATGAAATGAAGTGTTGTGAGGATCCTAGCTGTTTGGATGATTCATCAGACTCGAAGGCCTACACTATTTGTAATAATCCTGCTTGCATGGAACCCGAGTTGGCCGATAACTCTTTTGATTGTTGTAACACATCAGAGAGTGAATTATATAACCATGAGAATAATTTATGTGGTCTACAGATGTCCAAGAAGCCAATATTCGAGAACTTGATCAGTAAGGCTCACGATAGTTTAGAAATCAATGCTGATACTGCAGAACCCGGCACGAAAAGACAAAGATTAACGCAGGACAAGAAACCTAGTAATAAGTACTTTCAAGTACACTTTCCTCATGTATGCCATCCTACACCGGAAATTCATGATGAACTCACCGCCTCTAATGACCAGAGCGGTTTAGCAACCGATCACCATCATATACATCAGTCATGCTTTCATGCATCAATACCGAACCTTGATAACCTGGAGGAGAACATATCAAATAACACACCCGACGAGAAACCAATGTCGGACTTTGATTTTTTCATCCAGTTTAATAATTTTAAACATTTGCTTGACTTACCCAAAGATAATGGACAAGGGACCAATAACAAATTATCCATGTTGGAGGATGCGGAAGTAGGTGAAGCTGGCCAACAGACAGTTACAAACTCTACATCTCCAACGTATTCATGCCAATGGGATAATTGCTTCAAGACGATCAGCGATGGAACAATTATGAGACATGTAATTGACCAGCACATTGGTCAAGAGTATAATATGAATGACAGTATATCAAAATCATCAGACTTTAAACCATATCAATGTGAATGGAATGAATGTAACTATATGGATACTGATTTGAATTCATTAATAGACCATTTGAATTGTCACAAAAGAAACGAAAACTTGTTTGATGATAATATTAATATGCTAACTCCTAGTTCTACGGACAAATCAAACATCCCGTCGCCAAAAAATCCAATTCTATCGCAGTCAAATCCAAGTCCTGTAAATGATATCAATATAACTTCGATTAAATTTTCTCCTCAAAAAAAGAATAGATCTTGCTGCAGCGAGAAAATAGACCCACATTTTACTTGCAAATGGCAAATTGGAGTCGATGGCATTACGGGAGAACCAATCGCATGCAATAGAATGCATCTTTCTACCGGTGACTTGCATACTCATTTGGTAGACGACCATATTGGACTGGGTAAATCGAATTATGCTTGTAAATGGGTAGGTTGTGATCGTCACAATGGTAAAGGATTCCGTCAACGACAAAAGCTTCTAAGACATATTCATATTCATACGAATTTCAAACCATGTAAGTGCGACATTTGTGGATCTACCTTTGCAGTCGACTCAATGTTGAAGCAGCATTTGAGAATTCATTCCGGTGAGAAACCATTCACATGCTCTATATGCGGCAAAAACTTTGCGACTGGTTCAAGTTTATCGATCCATAATAGGATACACACGGGTGAAAAGCCTCTAGTGTGCAAATGGCCCGGATGTGGAAAGAGATTCAGCGAGAGCTCGAATTTGACAAAGCATATGAAAATACATTTGAAAGCTTTCAACTGTGAAATTTGTGGTGAGCAATTTGATAAGAAGACCAATTATACAAAGCATATGAAATTACATAAAAAAGATGACTCTATAGTTAATGTAGCCTCTATCAAGAGTGAGGTCCATGTTTAAATAGTATATATATATGTGAAATATATGAATGTCGCATTTAAGTTGAACGACATTTGTTGATGCGTGTAAAAACCGAGAAAATATTTGAAATATTTTTCATTATGGAAGCAGTACTAATAATCAATAGTTAAGGTCAGTCTATTGATTTTGCTATTAAATATTACACAACGGTTTATATAATATGAAACCTTCCAGAATCTCATTAAAGTCAGTTAGGCCACCATTACCAAAGGCTACTGTCAAGCCATATCAATTCCCTCCTTTAGCATCTATTAAAGCCGTAGACTTGCCAAATAATGGCTTTGGAATCAATAATTATTCTATTTGCAAAACCAAATATGGACATTGGCCAGTATATAAGAAGGTTCAAAATACTAAGGTGACCACAGAAATTAAGAGAATAAGGGGTGATGTTGAACAGTTTAAAAATGATTTATTACAAGCACATCCAGAATTAAAGCCGGAAAATGTCATGGTGAACAAAGTGGCCGGTTATGTTAATGTGAAAGGTGACGTGGTCGAAGATATTAAACAAATTTTCACTGAAAATATAAAAACCGTATAATGGGAATTAATTAATTGCACTTATTGTATATATCATAGCTTCATTTCGTATCTCTTTAGATTGACATATGTAAATAAATTTACTTGTAACATATTACAGATTATTGTAGGATTACACTATTGTACATTATAAATAGAAGAATTAATATTTCCGGTAAAATAATCACATATCAGAACCAACTTCTGAAGATGGCGTACTAACACTATCAGAAGAAACAAAAGCTGCTTGACGAATTGCAACAATCCAAGGATCATTCAACAATTCGACCGCACCTGGCCTTTTACTAGGATCATGTTCTAGACATCTTGATATAAACTCCCTTCCTGGATCGCTTAACTGGTCTGCAGAAGGTAACTGTGGCTTATGACCTGCTGCGATATGATACATTATGGCCCACTCATTGTCGAGATTAGTCCAAGGTCTGCGACCAGTAGCCATTTCTAAAACACAACAACCCAACGACCAAATATCAACAACACCATTTCCTGCACCCGATGCACCGGTTATTACTTCTGGAGACATATACATAGGAGTACCAGTCATTGAATTTAAGTTAGTTCCATTCAAGCTGCGGCCCTGGTTTGCACCACCACTACCACCACCAAGAGTTCTTCCGCTTGTTGCAATCACCTTTGCAGCACCAAAGTCAACAAACTTGATAACTCCGTTATGGTCAAGCAAAATATTTTCTGGTTTGATATCACGATGAGCGACACCAGATTGATGCAAATAAGCCAAACCTTCTAACATTTGTAAAGTATAGACTTGTATCACCATTTCATCTTCTATACGTCCATGTGTTAACAATCCCGCAAGCGAACCACCTTCACAGAACTCCATAAAAATGTAAACTTTATGGCGATGAACTTCAACACCAAAATATTGAACGACATTAGGATGGTTTAACATTTCCAAAATGGTCATTTCATCTTTAATTGAAGGTACAATGTTTTTGACGGATTGACTATCGTGGAATCTTATTTCTTTAACTGCCATAACACCGCCAGTATCCAAATTGACTGCCGCATAAACATGTCCAAAAGTACCTCCACCGATAAATCTACCTTTTTGCCATCTAATTGAAACGCTAGAAAAGGAAGATGCTAATAGAGTAACGAATTGGTATTCCAGATCGGTAACATCTAAGACTCTACCAATCGACTGTAACTGTTCTTGCAAGTCTTTTCTATAATTCTCAATCTCTTCAATTTCTCTCATGACATCTTCCCTGTATGCTTGAATAATGCATGCATCATCAGCTGAATTTTCAATCCTATGCCTTTGAGAAGACCATTTCAATAATTTCTTCTTCTCAGCTTCGCTGGATCTTGCACCCATGATATCGAAATGAGAAATAAGCAACGACATACAACGAGCAACCTTCAATTTTAGCTTATAGAATTGTTCATCATTCAAAACCAAAACGTTAAAGCCTCTAGTCATATCCATGGCAAATTCCAAAGCCAAAACACACGATCTAAAAGTCCTCCTATCAGTTGGTATACAATCATCACAAACAAAACTAACCCATTCAATAGAAAGTTGAATAAGCTTCATAATAACCGTAGACTTTCTTGAAGAATCAAGATTTTTAACTGAATTCTTACCGAAGTCTTTTGCATAGATAAAATAACTATTGATCAATTCCTGACAACTACTTTCAGCTGCCAATTCTTTACAATTTGCTCTTACTTTCTTTACGGAATCCAAAACTGACAATGACATTTTAAAGAAGACTCTGTTGATTTTAGTTAACTCATGATGTACTTTTGCCAAGGAACATCTTTGTTCAACTTGTTTCATCACACCACCCACTAATATGAAATCGTTTACTGTGTCCAAAAACTTATCTTTAACCATATGCAAGCTGCCATAAGGCAATTTTGTAATCATGAGTATTTGTCCTACTTTAATGTCGGTAATAGGTACATTTTCTAGATGAATAGTAACAATATGACCTTCCCAGACGATTGGCTTAGGCGGACATAATGCCAAGACGTACCCGAAATCACTTGATTCGTTAGGAATTAAATGATCAATTAGGTCTGGGTGTTGGTTAGTTTCCCCATCTTCATGTAATTGAAGCAGTTTCAACAAATCAGAAAAGTCCAGGTTAGCTTCATTTGGATCCGATCCAATGTAAGAACCATTAATAATCCTTAATATTTCCTGTTCATTACCTATTAATTCGGCACTTGCAAAAAAGTAAGTGCCCTGAGTCTCCACTGTACCAGTGTATACTAAGAAATGATTAGTTGACTTCAAAACTTCGAGTATATTTTTAGTTCTATTGCTGGGTGTTGATGAAAGATCAAAAACTAAGGAATTCGTAAAGTCTCTAGAAATTTCACCAGTAAATCTTGCCAATTTACGACGCAATTGCCCAAAGTTTTCTGTAGTCGAACTGTACCATCTGATTAGATCAGAAGAGCCGGCAGATTTAGCAGGAGGCGTTCCTATTTGATTATTGAAGTAGGCCAATAGTCTATGAATTAACTTCAGTGTTAATACGGTTATGTGCTCAGCAACAACGACACTTCCCCCATCAATAAGGTTACCTAACCATTTAAGATAGTTCCACGTTTCCTCTAATTCTTCAGGTTCTTTGAAAGTTCTGAAATTAGTAGGTGATCTGGAACTATCTAATAATTTTTTGTTTAATAATGCAAAGAAATATTTGACACATTTTAAAACTACCTTATCAAACTCCTGATTTTCAGAATCAAATAAATCACTTAGCACCCATGTCTGACCAACATCTAGTCTACAATATTCAACAATACCCAGTTTTACTTCCAAAGCTATAGTGATGTAAGATTTGAAATCATCTATCATTTGATCAATCATCATTAACGTAGGATTTTGCAATTTTTTGGCGTAAACTAATCTTACGTTTATAATTTCTTTAATCAACTTCATCGGTATAAGACATAACTGAATCAAGTCATGTATATAATCAGGTAGTTTAAGCGTCTCAAAAATATGTCCCAATCTCAAGTAAGTATCCTTTGACTTAATCATCCAGGGGGCTAATGGGAAAAATATACGCTTTTGGAAAATAGAATGAACGTCCTTTTCTTTCATGAGCCTTTCAGCTAATGATTTATTGTCTTCATTAAATATCTTTTTTGTACTTGTTGGGGTTGTTGCTTCAGAAGATGGTGCACTACCGCTCTCACTTCGACTTTTTGTGATGTCCATTTCATCATTACCTATCCATACTTTTAATGAGTCAGTTTCTCTTTGCATCGCATCCGTGATAGATAACCAAGCAGTTAAAGCATCAATACGATCTTGGAATTCAGCAGTTCTACATACTGGCTTCTCATTTTTCATGTCTTCCAGGGTTCTCCATAATTCGCAGCATTTATCATATCTATCAAGGATATAAGATACTTGATTTCTAGGCGAATTGTTCTCTGGGTCATCATGATTTACTTCAAAATTTAAAATTTCATCAAATAACGCATCAGCAAGGGTACGACGATATTCAATAATTTTTCTTTGATCATCTTCTGTTCTATTAAAAAGCTTAGCGTGAATACCGAACCATAAGTTCTCTTTATATGTTGCATGCAAGAATGAACTTTGTTCATTTTCGGGGCTATTCTTGTTGATAATTTTGGTCTTTTCAGATCTCACCACATCACCTGTAAGGACAGAAGTTAACATCGATTGCCATTCAAGTCTTTCTATCACTGCAGGATCATCTGCACTATCCGCATTCAATTGAGTGATATTTCTGTTTGGATTGATATTGATTGCATTTTTGCCATTCTTCAATAACGTAAATGCTAAATTGTAGTCAATTTGGTATTTATCATCGTCCATATCAGCCAACAAGTCACTGTGACCATTTGGATTGGTCTCGTCCTCGTCTTCATCTTCATCTTCATCATTATTGTTGACCTCATTCTCTTTCATTTCCGCGCCCGTGATTCCCTTGGTATAGTAGTCATCCACAAACTGGTTTTTCATCTTCTTTAAATAAGCCTTTTCTTGTGATAAATACTGCTTGTTATTATTTTGTAAATTATGAGAGAGAGTCTGGGTTATCGAACGAGAGCGGGCCCTACCCCCAGTAGAACTCAATGTATTATTACCGGAATTATTATGACTTGTCTGCCTCTTATTGGAACTAGGAGTTAGTAACGAATTTGGATTGGCATTGGCGTTATACGATTCATTTATCGCTGTACCAGAGGCATTATTATTTCCATTACCACCTGAGCCCCATTTAAGGTGCGATGAGTGTATCGGAGTAGCCATATTGCCAGCCGTATTAGTCGGCCCATAAACTGAATTACCAGATGAATCATTTCTTAGCAATGATGGTCTTCTACCCTTTGGACCAGCTGTATGACGGTGACTATGATTAGCATTAGGAACAGGATTGTTGACATTTGTATTTTGTTGTTGTGCTGAATTCAGGTCCGTTGAACTCGCCGAAGAAGGATTGGACCCATTAGTTGAATTTATCATCTTGTGCTTATTCCAATGATGATATTTCAACGATATATGTTGATGTAGAGACTAAATAATTCAATGGTTCTGGTGGACTATTTCTAAAGCAAGTGAGAATATTTTTAAATTTTGTGTATCGAAGTTTATGCAGTAGTATCGAACACTTGATATCTAATATGAATATAGATCAAACGCCTAGTGGTAGGACGTGTTATATGGCAGTCCAGAGGCGTACATAACTAATGAAGAATATCGGTAGGTCAATATGGTTTCGTTGTTTGATATGATGCTGCAAAAGCCGACTTTCAAACATTTATCGACGTCTATACCGTCGTTAGATTCGTTATTGATGAAGAATATAAGTAATGGTATTTACGATTTTGAAAGCGTGCCCAATTGCACTGGTGCTTCATTTGTTGTTGGGTCGCTTATAGTATCTCACTTAAGTCATAGCAATGAAAATCGGGCAATTATTATTGATACTTTGCATCCGTTCCCCTGGCATAGCATAGTGAAGAACGAAAAATTCCAGGACGGATGGCTAGATGACAAGCTAATATCGTATACAGCGGATACTTTTGCGAAGTTATTTGCACTTTTGATGTCAGATAAGTTGGACGGACCAAAAGAATCGACTATCGTTGTAATAAATAACTTTCATGAGCTCCTCGAGCTCTATAAATTGGAGTTATCAGCCGCGTATGAAGAAGCGCTCTTGAAATTCCAGGTGCTAACTAACTCGATCTTGATAAATAGTCGGGAGAAGAGTAAGGCGGAAGGGTACCAGCCAAAGTTGCCTGAAATACCGGCACAATCAGCATTGCTAAGAGAAAATCCTGCTTTGAAGTACCAGTCGCATGCGAGCACCTTAACCAATATGATATCACAGTATACATATAAAAACAGCCTGATATGCATTTTACTTGGGTATCTCAGCTCCAAATATCAAATCTATCGTCCGAAGCCATTTTTGACTAATGGGTCTGGGTACGATAGTCAAGTACCATCTTCAGCATCTTCAAGCACACCATTGTCACAAGCAAGACCATCTCTAAGCTATGGAAGTGGGCGTCTTGTCCTATCTGCCTCGCTAGGTGGTAATTACACTCCTACAAATTCTGCATCTGCATCTTCATCCAGGAAGACCTCGAGCTCTACTAATTCTTCGCTAGATAGTTTCATCACCTCGAGACTAATTTTCTATAAGGATTGGTACCATAAAACACCACATTTCAAAGAAAACCATACTTTGCAACATGATGAAATGCAAAAAAGGCTAATCAGCTCGTCCCAATTAAAAATGGTCTTTGCTGTAAAAACGGTTAATCTACATCAGATGGGATCTGAAAATGGTCCAGTGTATTTTGATTATGATAATGGCTATTACGATGATTTTGAAGAGGAAGATGGGATCAACGAAGCTCCTGAAACACGTAATATTAAGATCATAGATTTGTCTGGGTCTACTCTGATACCAACGGATGGTACTCCAGAGCCCATGCCTCCATTACAAACATCCATTGTAAATAGTCCAGACACCCCATATCCGGAGGCTACTGGTTCAAACGGAATCTCAAGCCATTTGCACGATTCAAGAATAGAAAAGGAAAGGTTTCTTCCTTCGTCACCAAATCTAACAGAGAGTCAAATTAACACGTTCTTACCTTCCATTGATTCACAGAATATAAGCAAAAGTCAACTTTCGCAATTAGTTCAAGAGAATCAGCATGAATTTCCAGAAGCTAAGAATAGAGAAGATCCCGAGCTGGAAATAGATGCTTCTGATGATGAGATTATGGGTTCCTTATTAGTAAATATAGTTGATGAAGCTACTAAATAGCTTACTACTGTATAAATATTCTGTATATAAAATTCTGCTCATCGCACATATTTTTTTAGGTAGAGATAAATTTTATTAGTACATACTGAAAGATTCATATAACACTTGATAACGATAAAATATAAAGATAGACTATGGCCACAGTAATCCCTCCACCTTCTAAAAAACAGAAGAAAGAAGCACAAAAGGTCCGTGAAGTTGATATAGTTCCGGAAGATTTGCCGAATGTATTAATAAAATTCCAGGCCTCAGATACCGGAGAATCTATTGGAGGCTCTATAAGAGTTCCAGGAGGAATAACAGAAAAGCAGTTGGAACAATTATTGAACCAGCTTCATAATGAGACAGACGATCCTGTACCATATACGTTTGCATTATTAAATAAAAGTAACGAAGATGATAAGGAAGGAAACTTGGTTGACATTAAAGACAATTTATATTCTTCGGTTTTGAAACCACAGATCAAGACCACCGAAGATTTTATGACGTTAGTGTATACACCCAGAGCTGTTTTTAAAGTTAAAGCAATAACGAGGTCGAATGCAGCAATTGCAGGGCATGGGTCTACTATTTTATGTTGCCTGTTTGCTCCTAACGATTCAGGACGTATGTGTTCTGGTGCCGGGGATTCCACGGCCAGAATTTGGGATTGTAATACCCAAACTCCAATGCATACATTGTCTGGACATTCTAACTGGGTGTTGTGTGTTTCATACTCTCCATGTGGTTCTATGATTGCAACAGGTTCGATGGATAGTACTGTGCGATTATGGGATGCGGATCTGGGAAAACCACTTGGAAGTGCCTTATCTAGTCATTCCAAATGGATCTCGAGTTTAGCATGGGAACCTTTGCATTTAGTCCAACCGGGAAGTAAGCCAAGATTAGCATCGGGATCGAAAGATGGCACAGTGAAGATTTGGGACACTACTAGAAGAGTCTGCTTATTAACCATGAGTGGACACACAAACGCCGTTTCATGTGTTAAATGGACTGGTTCTAATATTGTATATAGTGGTTCTCACGACAAAACTATTAAAGTCTGGGATATCCTGGCCGGCGGAAAATGTATTCAAACGTTAAAGAGTCATGCTCACTGGGTCAACCACTTGTCTACTTCTACAGACTACGTTTTACGTAAAGGTGCATTTGACCACACGTCGACAAAGTCGAAAACAAAGAACTTAACACCAGAAGAAATGCGTATGAAGGCTTTGGAACAATACGAGAAAGTTGCAAAATTGAACGGTGTTATCAGTGAAAGAATAGTTACTGCCAGTGATGACTTCACCATGTACCTCTGGGAGCCATTGAAGTCGTCCAAGCCTATCTGCCGTATGACGGGGCACCAAAAGCTTGTCAACCACGTTTCCTTTTCGCCCGATGGTCGTTATATCGTTTCCTGTTCTTTCGATAACTCAATCAAAATTTGGGATGGTATCAAAGGAACCTTTATCGGAACATTAAGAGGACATGTTGCGCCGGTATACCAAAGTGCATGGTCTGCTGATAATAGACTTTTAGTCACTTGTTCCAAAGATACCACCTTAAAGGTTTGGGATATTAGGACCAGAAAGTTAAGTGTAGATTTACCGGGTCATGCTGACGAAGTTTATGCTGTCGACTGGAGTATGGATGGTAAAAGAGTTGCCAGTGGTGGAAAAGATAAGATGATCAGATTATGGTCTCATTGATCGTTGTATATTATCATAATAAATAGAGATTAGAAGTAGAGTTATAGTCTAACTAAATGCCATTTTGCAGCAGAGCCATTTTGTTATGTAATCAAATGACCAAAAAGCGAGCATCCGACGAAACGATGTCTATTGATTCGAACAGTTAAAGGGATCATTGAACTTCTTCTTTTAGTAGCTTCTTGATAAATCAAGCGTAAAGAACAAAATGGCGATTGTGAAAAGAGGTGTTCGTACTAAAAATAAACAACTGCAACAACCCTCTAAGAGCGGTATTAAAAAGGCCGAGTTTGATCTTCATAAGAAGAAAGAAGTCGGAGTTTCAGATTTGACATTACTTTCCAAAATTGCTGACGATGCAATCAATGATAACTTATACAAGCGTTTCATGAACAGTACTATATATACATATATTGGACATGTTTTGATTTCCGTGAATCCGTTTGAAGATTTAGGTATTTATACTCCGGAAAATTTAAATAAATATAAGGGCAAAAACAGATTAGAGGTTCCACCGCATGTTTTCGCCATTGCGGAATCAATGTACTATAATTTGAAGTCATATGGCGATAACCAATGTGTTATTATATCTGGTGAATCTGGTGCCGGAAAGACTGAAGCAGCCAAACAGATCATGCAATATATTGCGAATGTTTCGGTCGACGATCAAATCGGTGCGGGAGGAGACGGAGACATCTCTAAAATCAAAGATATGGTGTTGGCTACGAATCCTTTATTGGAGTCGTTTGGTTGTGCTAAGACATTGAGAAATAATAACTCATCTAGACATGGTAAATACCTTGAGATATACTTTAACCCAACTAACTACCAGCCAGTTTCAGCGCATATTACCAACTATCTTTTGGAAAAGCAAAGAGTTGTCTCTCAGATAACGAATGAACGTAATTTCCATATTTTCTATCAATTCACCAAGCATTGCCCACCACAATATCAACAGTCATATGGTATTCAGGGGCCTGAAACTTATGTCTATACATCTGCAGCCAAATGTATAAATGTTGACGGTGTAGATGATTCAAAGGATCTTCAGGATACTTTGAGGGCTATGCAAGTCATTGGATTATCACAGGATGAGCAAGATAATATTTTCAGAATGCTAGCACTGATCTTGTGGGTTGGTAATGTTTCGTTTGTGGAGGATGACAACGGAAATGCTGCAATTAGAGATGAAAGTGTAACTGCTTTCATAGCCTATTTATTAGATGTTAATGCGGAAACATTAAAGACATCCCTCATTCAAAGGGTAATGCAAACGTCACATGGTATGAGAAGAGGATCTACATACCATGTTCCCTTAAACATCGTCCAAGCTACATCCGTACGCGATGCATTGGCAAAGGGCATTTATAATAATCTTTTTGATTGGATTGTGGAAAGAGTGAATTTATCTTTACAAGGTTCAGGAGCAGTCCATGAAAAAAAATCGATTGGTATTTTAGATATTTATGGTTTTGAAATCTTTGAGCATAATTCCTTCGAACAAATTTGTATCAATTATGTGAATGAAAAATTACAGCAGATTTTTATCCAATTAACCTTGAAGGCAGAACAAGATGAATATGTTCAAGAACAAATTAAATGGACACCAATAGATTATTTCAATAATAAAGTTGTTTGTGATTTAATTGAATCTTTAAGACCTCAACCAGGCTTGTTTGCTGCTTTGAATGATTCTGTTAAGACTGCTCATGCAGATTCAGATGCAGCAGATCAGGTCTTCGCACAAAGATTGAGCATGGTGGGAGCGAATAATGCACATTTTGAGGACCGTAGAGGTAAATTCATTATTAAGCATTATGCTGGTGATGTGACATATGATGTAGCTGGAATGACAGATAAGAACAAAGATTCGATGTTACGTGATTTGTTGGAAGTATTATCCACATCCTCAAATAGTTTCGTCAGTCAAGTTTTGTTTCCACCTGATTTACTCGCGGCATTAACGGACTCCAAGAAAAGACCAGAAACAGCATCAGATAAGATCAAGAAAAGTGCGAACTTGTTAGTTGACACATTATCACAATGCCAACCATCTTATATCAGAACAATCAAACCAAATCAAACAAAGAGACCTAAGGAATACGATAATAATCAAGTGTTACATCAAATTAAATACTTGGGTTTGAAAGAAAATGTTAGAATTAGAAGAGCAGGTTTTGCTTATCGTACGACTTTCGATAAATTTGTCCAAAGATTTTATTTGTTGTCGCCTAAAACAGGGTATGCTGGAGATTATATTTGGCATGGTGATGATTTAACTGCTGTTCATGAAATCTTAAGATCCTGTCATATCCCTGATTCGGAATATCAAATGGGTACTACAAAGGTTTTCATAAAAACGCCCGAGACATTATTCGCTTTAGAAGATATGAGAGATAAGTATTGGCATAATATGGCGGCTAGAATCCAAAGAGCTTGGAGACGCTATATAAAAAGAAAAGATGACGCAGCAAGATTGATTCAAAGTGCCTGGAAAAACAAAACTCACGGTAATCAATTTGAACAATTGCGTGACTATGGAAATGGTCTATTACACGGTAGGAAAGAACGTCGTAGAATGTCCATGTTAGGGTCTCGTGCATTTATGGGTGATTACTTGGGTTGTAATTATAGTTCTGGTTTTGGTAGATTCATTATGAGTCAAGCAGGTATCTCAGATAGAGTCATTTTTTCTGCTAAAGGTGATATCTTATTATCAAAATTTGGAAGATCATCTAAGAGACTATCGAGAATTTTCATATTGACTAAGAACAGTTTATATGTTATAGCCCAAACTTTAGTCCAGAACAGATTACAGGTGCAGAAGGAATTTACAATTCCAGTAAGTGGAATAAATTACGTTGGATTATCTATTTATCAGGATAATTGGGTGGCTGTCTCTTTGCACTCGCCTACCCCAACAACCCCTGATATTTTTATCAACTTAGATTTCAAAACTGAACTTGTTACCCACTTGAAGAAATGCAACCCTGGTTTGAATATTAAGATTGGACAAACAGTTGAATATCAAAAGAAGCCAGGAAAGTTCCATACCATTAAATTTATTATAGGAAATACAGCTCCAGCAAATGGAGATATCTACAAGTCAGGTACTGTTACTGTCAGACAAGGTTTACCTGGAAATAGTCAAAATCCAAAAAGACCTAGAGGAGCAGCAGGTAAAGTGGATTATAGCAAATATTATAACAGAGGCAGCAATGTGAGATCGACATCGTCATACCAACCTCCAGCAGTATCAAAGGCCCCACAAAGTAGCAGACCTTCATATATTCAGCCACCAGTTCAACAAACTCAGCAACATGTGGTTCCTCAGGTACAATCTCAACCCAAACGACAGACCCAGAGATATGCTCCACCAGACACTCAATCCCACGCACATCCAGAACAAGCAGCTCAAGCAGCCCAAGCGGCGTTTCAGCATACAGCACCACAGGCACAAAATACAGCACAGAGAAAGGTACCACCTTCTGCACCTGGTTCGTATGGCCAGCAAGCGTCAACACAAAAGCCCGTGGCACCTTCAAGGCCAGCAAAGAAGACCGCTCCTGTACCACCAGTAAAGAAAAATGTTCCACCGCCTCCACCACCTGCTGCAGCATCACCACCCCCAAAACCAAAGTTCCCAACTTACAAGGCAGCATATGATTTCCAAGGTACCGGAAGTGCTTCGGAGTTGCCAATTTCAAAAGAAACTATTGTCTACATTACTCGTAAAGAAGATAATGGTTGGTGGTTGGCAAAGACCTTGGATGAAACTAAAGAAGGTTGGGTACCTGCCGCGTATGTCGTAGAATGTGATCCTCCTGCAAACTCACCAGCAGGGAATGCTAAGTCCCCTCCACCTCCTCCACCACAATTAAACTCAGCATCTCAAGTACAACAAAGCCAACAACAAGCACCAGCCCTGAATGGTGCTGGTTTGAGTAATGGCTTAGCTGATGCTTTAAAAGCTAAGAAAAGTGAAGAGACTAACTTGGCTGGGTCCTTAGCAGATGCATTGAAAAAGAGGAAGGGTGCCACAGGTGACAGTGATGAAGAAGATGAAGAAGATGACGATGATTGGTAAGTTATTTCTTGTTGCGTTTCGACAATTTTATATTAAACTATCAGATACAGTATATAATAAAATGACTTTATTTCATAGACCATTAATTTCTGTAGTATGCGCACATGATCAATATGTATTTCACCGCAAAAAAAGAGGTTGACCTATTATCGGTTGATAAGTATAGAGATTTTCTAGACAATTATTGAAATTATATCTACAAATGAAAGGCTAAGAGACTATTGAATCGGAATGTCGAAAACAAAGAATAGGAATAGTTTATTATCCTCACATAATAGGACATCTGTTTCTAATAGTACCAAAGATGAGTTATTGGCTATGAAGTATGTAATGGATAAACCTGCAATACCACTTTATCCGTTAAATGAACTAAACAACTCTTCAGAATCCATTCCAGAACAAAACAGATACACATCTAATAGTTCCACGGATGAATTGACTTACCCTGACTTTAAACCATGGAAAGATACAACACACTTGCCTAAAGGTAAGTCTGAAGTGGAAGTTGAAAAGCTAAATAATGAAGCATACCTTAATAAGGGATACTTCGAAGGCCCCCTGGTTGCCAATGAATACTATTCTGCTAGGAATTTGGTTCAAGCATCATTATTTTCTTCCAGCAGTAATTGCGACAAAGTTCTTAAAGAGTTGTCGCAACATTTAGTCAACTCTTATAGAACAAGAAATGAAGTGATTAATAAGATAAAGTATAACTCAAATAAATTCAAAATACCACCAAGAGTTACCTTGACAGCTCTGAAGAAAGAGGCGTGGCTTCGGGATCTTGCTAATCCGGATGAACCATTACTGAAGATATCGAATAAATTGCCCCATGGGATTAAAAATAAGATGCTAGTTGATATTTTATGTAGCAAGAACATCCCTACTTCACGGGCATTATGGCTTACGAAATGTGTTTTATACAGTGAATTATTGGTATTGAAAAAGAAATATCAATCAAGACTTACTAATAATCCTCATTCGATTGAAACTGCTACTACTGAAACTTTTGAAACTCAATGGCTACAAGAATGGACTCATCAATTGGTTGATTATTTCTATAAGTTTTCAAAGGATATGTGCAGCATAACAATACAAGAGAAAAAGCAAGTGTATTTGGCGAAGTTGAATTATCTATTAAATTATGTCCAAGCGCTATACATAGAATGTTTATTGGACAAGAGTTTTTTTCTCACGTCTATTTTGAAGTTCTTAAAGGAAGGATTGCCCTTGGATCAATCACATATATCTGAGCTTCTTGCATTTTCAAGATCTGAAGGCGAAGAATCGTCCCTTGATAAATGGCTTGTTGACATAGACTTGAATTACGGACAAAGGTTGATTTCAATCACATTGGTCAAAATTTTCTGGAAAGATATTTTAGAATTGGATTATTTATCGAAAGAACTAAGCGAGCTTTTATTGCTCAACTATTATTTTATTGAGAGAATTCCAACTTACAATACGAAATCTAGCAACTATTCACATAAGCAAAATCATACAGCTGCATTATCGCTGAACTTAAAGTTAAAGTTACTAAGCAGCATATCTGACACTGTTAATTATCTATTCAAATATAATACAAATGTGTTCATTATTCCTAATTACTGGATTTTAGTGAATGAAACTCTTTATAAGATACTTTTGAATGATGTTGCTAACAGTTATGATTCCGAAGAACAGAATGAAATTCGAAAACAACTAAAATTAATTAAATACAGAAATGAAAGTTTAATGCTAAGCATGAAAGATGTGCAATCTTCCGATTATGTCGATGTTAGCACAGCTAGGAATTTGGCGAAAGATCGAGGAAGAAATAATAACATTCAACAATCGCCTCTGCAGGATACAAAAAATAGTGATAATCTGATTACTGGAAAGAAAATTCCGAATCGTGTTGAAAATGATAATTATTTTATTAATAGAAACAGCGATGATACGTTGAATATTATCGATCAACTAGATAGACTCAAATTAAATGATAATCTTGCTGAGTTGTTAATACCTAGTTCAATATCTTCTTCGCCTGATAATTTTAACGATTGGAGAGTCAATTTGAAAGTGGTTATTTATTGGGCAATCACTATATATCGGGAGCAAGAGTCTTCTAGTGAAGGTATTTTGATAATCTGCAACTTCTTGAAACGGAAGGTTCTTCAAAATATTAATGTTAAAAATGTCAATAGTCTAAAAGCTGAATTTGAGAATGAAATTCTTGAAATAATTTACAATTTAGCTCATTGTACTGATGTGGATATTATTGATTATAATTTATATGTTTTGATTAATGAATTATATCAATTGAAGGTTATTACTATTTCAAGCTACCTAAGAAAATTGATAGCTTCTGGTATATTCTATGTATCACCGAGTGCAGACGGAGAACAGTCTCATAATGAAAACAACTCGCTGGTTGAAACGCATTTAGCAATTTTGCAGAATCTTCCAGTCTTAAATAACAAGCAATGTGACAGTATCTTGAGGAAATGGACTCCAAATGGGTTTAATTTTGAAGAGAAATTTGACAAAGGTAAACTAATTTTGAAAGAAGAATTAGTTGATAGGCTAATGCTGAATTCGTTCGATGGTTATTGCGAAGAAAAGTTGGCTTATATTGAAAACTTGAAAGTTGGATTAAAATTTTTATTGGTGAATTGGTTTACAAATTACCTTAAAACATCTATAACAAAATCCCCGAAGTTGATACATATTAACCCCAACATTATAACTAGTCTTTATAATTTCTATGCATTGTGTGATAATCTAGCAGTGTTTTTCAAAGTTTTGATAAAATTCATCTTAAGGAATGAAGGTAAAGTGATAATTTGTTATATGGATTCGTTATATTTAATTAGCAAATTGATTATCAGACATTTCAAGTTGGTTAAATTTATAGCTGGAAAAAGCTATGAATCTACCACTACGGGATACGAACTCTTCAAATTAATTATCCTCAACTATAAGGATTTGCTGACAAGAGACAATGATTACTATAACTTTAGTGATGTTTGGTATTTCATAGATAATGCTGTGGAAAAGAATGAGCCCACTTATGATAAGAGTACAGATGGTAATCATGACAATGCATTAAAACATAAAAACTTTAATCAATTACTTTTTGCGAAAGAAACTGTCGATTCTCCTATGAAAATTCATGCAAATACCAACACACCACAAAAGAATAACGACAGCTACAGAGCAACCGACTTCAGAAACGATTTAGATTTGTTATTAGAGACTCCTATTAAACTTTTGAATAATGCTGATATTACGGACTTCATTGGTACACTTCAACTAAATGTCGGTAACGAGGCATTTAATGAAATTTCGAACACAGAAGAATCTGTTAGCATTATAATGGAGTATTATTTTAAGAATATTGGAGAGCTTACTGAATTGCACGAGAACATATGTATGAGATTATTGATAAATTCTAAAAGGTCCTTAGAAATGACAACCAGAGGTATTTTCTTTGATATTATGAAGCATTTCATAATAAATTTGGTTAGAACTAAACCAGATATCGAAAAGCTAATTACGTTATTCAAAAAGCTTATGTACTTTGAAGTATATCAACCCCACGAATTATTTCTGACTTTAAAGTCTATATTGCCCGGAGAGCTATCGCATGAACAAATTGATGCTGTTAAATATGACTTACTTTTCGGAAATCCCGGGAGTGATAATAAAAATCTATTCAATGATCAGGCTTTAGTTTTAAGATGTATCCGGTATTTATATGTTAAACGTCACCCTAATGATGTATTTGTCACATTATTGGATAGTTTTTCCAACGAGAAAGAGACAGTTTTTAATTCCTACGCTCTAAAAGCATACAATGGTAAGGTTTTAAGCTTCTTTAGACAATTTAGTATATCTAACACTAAGCTTTTTATGGATGGTCTCTTAAAAGTGACCTCTAACTCAGATGTTATTTCATTCCTCAATTTACTAATATATATATCAGAGGAACCTATTGGAAGCAGCAATGATTTAACAAGATTAGCTTCCATTATTGATGAGTTCAATTTGCCGATCTGTCAAGTATTAATCAAAATAATCATTATGAACGAACTACGTGACTCAAATAAGGATAACTCGATAGAAAAATTAAGATACATACTTGATGTGCTCTTAAATAATCTTAAGTTTCATTTTGTTTCTTATAATTCATACTTTGGGGAACTATTCAATTATCTTTCATGGGAGCATAAGTTGAATATTTTATTTATCTTGGAGCATAACTTTCTATGCAATACTGAATTTGTTGTTTCTGATGATAAATTGACTGAAAATAGTGTTTGTTTAATGAGCAGTGATGGAAAGACTAATCTATTATCAATATTGAAGGACTACTTCAAAAAATTTTCAGTTTCTTCCCTAAACACCGTAACTACTTCTAACGAAATATTTCATAATTTATCAAAGTTTTTACTTAAAGTATTACAATTGGCAAACGCCGATATAATTGGTGATAGCAGGCGGGACGCATATAATGCAATTTCAATTTTCTTAAGGATTTTAATTATTCATAAGCTTTCGTTGACTTCGATCATTATTGAGCAAGACGGACAAAACCTTCACTTCATAAAAAACTTAATTGCATTGCTTGAATCAAAATTTTTATGTTTCAACAATGAGAAGTTAAGGATTTTGTTATATGATTTGTTATTATTAATGAAGAGTTCGATTACTCTGTCGTTGACTCTTAACCCAGACAGTAACTTAGCTGATGACATGACTACCGATGCCAGTCATCAGCAACATAGTCCATCCAATGATCATTTATATAGGCCAAATCCTGATGGTACAGAGATAGGAAACAGTAGCTCGAAGTATTTCGGGGTGCTGAATATATCTACAATTCCAAATTTGTCGTCTGTTTTCAATCTTTCGGAACCAAATATTTCATACCCTTTAAAAAAGTATACTGATGATTCAAAAATACTTTGCGCATTCATGTTAGAAGAATCTGAATTACAAAAAGGAGGTGATATTCATGCCTTAAATGACAGTAAGTTAATATTGCTCCCTTCTAGACGTGAAACTCTTAGCAGTGCATTCGATATATTGAATGAGACTCAACAGAATGTTTCTAAAAGGAGGTTTAAATTAAAAAGCTACGAATTATTAGAAGATACTGGTATCGAACTAAATAATGGTTGTATTAATCTACTGCTTTTTGATGCATTTACCACAAAAGAGAATCCTCCATAACCTTTACAGTGTATATAGTGAATAGAAGATTTTGTGCCTGATAATTGAAATTTCATTTTTCGCACCGCACATATGTTTACTCAACGTAGATTATCATTATCAATAGTAACGATTGAGTGAACATTTTTCGTACATTCTTTAGTTTAAAGCTTACGTATCTTATATATAAGACTAACTTTAATATGGATCGGAACTCAATTTCATATAATCGATTGGAAGGAGAAGATGATGAAATTTCAAGTATAGATTCCAATCCAAGATTAATGGAGTCACCTAAATTATACTCTAATTCTTCTAAGAAAGTGGACCTAACAAAGGAGGCTAGTGTTACAGAGATGAACAAGCCCCCAGATTTGAAGTTTTTAGCTAGTGCTAACTTTTCATCTGATTCATTACCAGATTCCAATAATTCTGTGTTCAACCCATTTGGTCCTAGTGGTGCGCCAAGTACATGTTTAAGCCCAACGACTAATGGACCTAATGCTAACGAAAGGAGATATTCGAATTCGTCGTTGACCAACTCACCTATCTTACAAGCTTCAGCTTCATCCCACATAAGATCAAACTCCAATTCTGGCAGGGCCAGGCCTAAGTCGGCCATATTTATGATGGACTCTAATCATTACCCAATTTCGGAGGATGGCAGCCCAGTACAATCTGCATTGAACACCCCTCGAGCCAGGAATTCCATTCACCTCGCTACCACGAAGAATAATTACTTACCTCCACCTACAATTGTACCTCCAGTTGCTCCTAAGTCTTCTTCAAGGTCATCTTCACCTACAAGGTCTATGTCACCTACAAGGTCGACACGTTCATATAGATCAAAGTCGCCTGTTCGCCGCTCATCATCCCCTACTAAGAGTTACCAGCCTTTTAATTTTCAACCTCAAGAGCTTATGAATAACGGAGCACAAACATTACAGATAAAACCTGCTCACAGAAAAGGACATAAATACAAGCATTCTTCTGTTTCTATGAATTTGTTTCAGGAACCCCCACCAGCAGTGAACAATAACAATGAATTGCTAACCATTGCTGATCTGTATCCTATTCCTACCTTCAAGGAATCACTTGCATCCATTAATTCTAGTCAAAAATCTAAATTATTATGGTCATTTTGTCATTTAGCTTTATCATTGGTGGTATTTTTAGTAGGTTTTAAGTTCAAACTACCATCTTTATCAACTTTAGCTCATTTGATTTTTTATGATTCGTTAGGCACTTTGGTTATCGTGTTTGTAGATATTATGTCTAACTTTGAAGTTTGGAATAATTCGTCAATAGCATACCCATTTGGATTAGGACGCCTAGAAGTTTTAGTTGGTTTTGCATTGAGTGCATCTTTAATAATGGTGGGCTGTGATTTGATTAGTCACTCTTTAGAAGAATTCGTTATATCTATGGTGGTAAAGGATACCTCAGTTGAGCATGATGGTGAACAACACCTGTCACATCATATCCATGGAGAACATGGACATCTGGCTAATTGGTTTGTATATGAATTGGTTTTAGTCATCACCGTAATTGTGACTTTAATAACTTCTAGGTATATCTTAGCTTATGATAGAATCAGTGAAATGATATCGTCATCTGATGAAAAGGCCACTTTAGTTACATCAAACCGTAAGTTGAAAGGTGGTCTTTTGGATAGAGAAATGAAGAAAATTGAATCGGAAGCTAGACCTTTAAGTTTAGACAGCTTGCAAAAGTTTGCCAACATTATGGCCAAGAATCCAACTCATTTATTAACTTTAACGTATTCTATTTGTTTAATGATGGTCCCATTGCTCCCATCCAGCATAATCTCACAGATTAGCATAGATATAGATGAAGCTACTACCTTAATCATTGCTCTTTTATTATGTTACGGTGGATGGAGATTAGTGAAAATATTGGGTGGTGTATTATTGTTATCATATCCTTACTCCGACTACGATTATCATGTTTTAAAATCGTCGATTATCGATAAAATTTTAAGTCTTGACTGCTACAAAAACTCGTATAATATTGAGAAGTTATTCATATCGAAGTTTAACTATGAGTTGTATGTTGTTGGCTTGAAAATAACTATGAAAGGTGGTAATCCTGATGATGAGTCAAGATTGAGGTTTGAAATTAATAGAATTATTCAGAGCTCTGTTGAGAGAGTAGATAATAGTGTTAGAACCAATAAGATAGAGGTGACCATTGATATCAATAGATATTAGTCTGCAGAGCAGTCATACAAGCATATAATACATATTTTAATACGAATTACCCGATCAAGTAATTTTGAGTTTTTTTGTGAGTCAACCGCGATGTAAAATCTTTTGATGAAATTTATATATATATCAGCATATTATACTCAAAAGTGCTAATAACAACAAATTGTTGAGTAATAATGCTTAGAAATATTCCAAGATCGTTACGCAAAGATAGTAGTAAAAGAATTCTTGGGCTAACTTCCCGTGTCGCTAACCAGTTTTCTACTACGTCAAGTTTATTGAACAAAAAATCAATCCCAGATGCACCAGAAGACACACATACGGGACAATATATTAACACTATAACTAAACCGTTTACGGTGACAACATATGCTCGTCCTAATGTTGTTATAACTCATGGAAAAGGATCGCACTTGTATGATTTAGAAAACAGGCAATATCTTGATTTCTCTGCTGGTATTGCGGTTACTTGTTTGGGTCATTCTCATAGTAAAATTACCGAAATCATTTCAGATCAGGCTGCCACATTGATGCATTGTTCTAACCTTTACCATAACTTATATGCTGGTGAATTGGCTAATAAATTAGTTACCAAAACTATCAATTCTGGTGGTATGAAAGAAGCTCAGAGAGTGTTCTTATGTAATTCTGGTACGGAAGCGAACGAAGCAGCTTTGAAATTTGCCAGAAAGTACGGTAAGAGCTTTAACGATGATAAATATGAGATGATTACTTTCAATAATTCTTTCCATGGAAGAACTATGGGTGCGTTATCAGTCACACCTAATGAAAAGTACCAAAAGCCTTTCTCTCCTTTAATTCCAGGCGTAAAGGTTGCGGAGCCTAATGATATCAGTAGTGTCGAAAAGCTCATTAGCAAGGAAAAGACATGTGCTGTTATTATCGAACCAATTCAAGGTGAAGGTGGTGTCAATACGATTGACGCAGAATTTTTGGTTGCATTGAAAAAATTGTGTGTCGACAATGATGTTGTATTAATTTATGATGAGATCCAGTGTGGTTTAGGTCGCTCTGGAAAGTTATGGGCTCATTGCAATTTGCCAGAGGAAGCACATCCTGATATTTTGACGATGGCCAAGGCCTTAGGAAATGGTTTCCCAATCGGTGCAGTCATGGTTTCTGAAAAAATTGAAAAGGTTTTGAAGGTAGGCGACCATGGAACTACTTACGGTGGTAACCCACTTGGATCAAAAATTGGATCTTACGTCGTTGATCAAGTGAGTGATAAAGAATTCTTATTAGAGGTGGAAGAGAAATCCGAAAAATTCACTAAGGGGTTATCAAAGATTGCCAACAAACATCCTGATCACATCGGAGAAGTTAAAGGTAAAGGTTTGTTATTAGGTTTACAACTTAAGGGTAACTTGGATGTTGGTGATGTTGTCGCTAAATGTAGAGAAAACGGTTTATTGCTTATTAGTGCTGGTATGAATGTCTTAAGAATCGTTCCAGCATTAAACATTCCTAACGAAGTAATTGAAGAAGGTTTAGATGTTTTAGATAAATGTATCGATGAATTATGTAAGGATCCAAAGACTTCCTTCTCACAGTCATAATCACCTTGCCAATTGGATTGTATAGTACATTAATATTATAGAAAGGATATTTAGGTAAAAATTGAGTTTTCCGCGTAATCTGATAACAGTAAATAAATTTTCGAACTCAGTAGTATTGAAACAAATAATAACACAACTTCAACAACTCAATACCTTGACTTAGGGTATATGAATAAACGATTCAGTAGCCAATAGAAGAGTGTTATAGCAGCTAATGAAAGATGACAGAATCGTTTTCAATACCCACAACTGATCTAGATTATTGCTTGGTCCAATTATTTGAACATAAACCACCAAAATTATTACCGCCAGAAAGCATCCAGCAATTATGCCATACATTAAAGATACAATTATTGTCAGTACCCAATATAATGGAACTACAGTCGCCAATAACTATAGTAGGCGACATACACGGGCAATATCATGATTTATTGGAAATTTTTCAAATCGGTGGATCACCACCGAACACGAACTATTTATTTCTTGGAGATTATGTGGATAGAGGCTATTATTCAGTAGAGACGATATTATTATTAATAGTGTTGAAACTCCGATACCCAGATAGGATATCTTTAATACGGGGAAATCATGAATCGAGAACCATTACGACGAATTATGGTTTCTATTCGGAAGTTTTAAATAAATACGGTGGATCCGTAGATGTTTGGTTGTATATTACAGATTTGTTTGATTATTTGCCACTAGGAGCAACTATAGATGGAAAAATTTTCACCACTCATGGAGGCTTGTCACCAAGTTGTCAACAATTAGATCAGGTTAGAGCCATCGATAGATTTAAAGAAATACCCCATGATGGAATAATGGCAGATTTGGTCTGGTCAGATCCAGACCCTGAAATAATGGATTTCAAATTATCACCAAGAGGAGCAGGATACCTTTTCGGGTTCGATGTTATAGAAAAATTCTGCAATGATAATGATTTGGTTCAATTGGTTCGGGCTCATCAATTATGTAACGAAGGCTACGTAAGCTACTGGAAGGGGAAATGTTTGACCGTATGGTCGGCTCCAAACTACTGTTACAGGTGTGGAAATAAGGCTAGTGTGCTAGAAGTACTCCATTCAAACTACCTGTCTAAGAACAATAACAGCAACAACGAGAAGGACCCCTACAATAAAAGCTTGGGAGTCATCAACGGTGTATTGCCAGGTCAGTTCTTCAATGTTTTCGATGCATCTCCTGAAAATGACGAGGATACAATTAGTGGGAAAGGTATCAATGGAGATTGGATTAATGGTAACGATTCATTCGGCGACTTTTATAACGGAAGATCTCGAACCCAACAACACGTAGAGTATTTTTTATGACCTCATCATCTAACGAACCATTTCCCTTGTATTTAAATTGCATAATTATGTCTACATTTCATCAGTTTTATTTCATTTTGTATTTAGTACTTACCTCAACACAACCCATTATTCACGATCATAACCTACTTGCAAATTGGTTATCAACTGTAATACAACTCAAAGTTAAACCCATTATGTACTTCATAATCATCCAACGTGATATGATCTTTATAAACCTGGTATCCTTTCTTCAATACGATTTTCTCATATGCTGTACCTATTTGTAATGATATTATTTTCTTTAAATCGCCTATTGTATCAGTAGGCATACATTTGACCTTGATTTTTTTACCAAGTCTATCGTTGGCTAGCACTTCTATCATCTGATATCCACTGATTGCATAGAAAGCTTCTATATATACGGCTCATCAACTGAAGAATCATCATCACTCATACCTGTAAGGTTATATGCCGGATGGAGTAGTAAGTGTATATTTGATTGCAAAATGCTTCAGTGTTGTATTAAATTGCAGTAAGACCAATCTTAGGTTCGCTGAATCCTAATAATAACTAATAGGCTTGTTTCATTTCGTTCAACGGAAAAGCTTGTCAAAAGGGTAATACTGTTCTCATCAATGTTTAGCTTGATAAGCGACCTGGTGTAACCAGAAGTTCGAATTCAAACACTCATAGTCTGTAGTTAGGAGATAAGGATATCACAATGTATTCAATATCATTTGTCTATTAATATACTATATAGTGGATAACATGTCTCAAAATAGTAAAAACTCTCTGTAACTTCCGCAGTTCAAGATAATAATGAAATCCAACACATACCTATTTACATCGCTTACAAGTTTCTGTTTTTGATAACATAAATAGTTTCAAATGTTAGGTACCTCCATGTAAATTAACTACACAAAGTTCCTAACGGTTGTAGAGAATTGATATAGTTTTGTCAAATATCACTTATCTGACGATCTGAAAATTTTCGGCGCTCTCGCTATCAATTCTCATTATCTTTCCTAATCACAATGCAATTCATCTAGTATTGTTTTCAATTCAAAACAATTGGTTCATCGATAATTATCTAGAAAATACAGCTGTGGTTTATTTAAGTTATGGAGATATTAATTGCAAAAGTGGAAATATGGGCTTATTAAATTATGCTTTAGTTAAAGAACATTCAGAATTGATGGAACTGATGCTACTTTTGACATCTGCCTACACGAGAACGCCTAATAGTACAAGCTACGATGATGACAGAGTGATATTAATAGCGATATCACAGATTTCGGGATTAGGATCTCTTATTGTATGGTTATTGGTTCAAATCCCTCAACTTATTGAAAATCATTTGAACCGGTCTGTTCAAGGTCTTTCACTATTATTAGTCATATTCTGGATAGGTGGGGACGTATCTAATTTTGTGGGAAGTATGTTGAATGGAGCTCCCTTTCAGATATGTATAGGGGCATATCATTGTTGTATAGGGTCGGTTTTGGGTGTGCAATATTGGTACTATACAAACGTTTACCCACGTCTGTTGAAAGTCCCCAACGAGCTACAGAAGAACATAAGCCTGGAAATACGACCAGATATATATGAGTCTAAATTAATTGGACGGGCTAACAGATTTGAGCAGCGTGAGGAAGAGGGTTATAGCAGACTGCAGAACTTGTATACGCCTAGAAATGGAGGATTTGTGGATACAGTTTTGAGGACTTCATTAAGCACTAGCGCATTGATTCAATCATCGAATGCTTCGCCAATCGCTTTTGATAAGGACTTGGAAATGCCATCGAATTCACTAGCTAGTAAAAAAGTTAATGAAGTTCTATCAGCCATTCTGTTTGCCTTGTCATCAAGCCTAGGTAAGATTATCTCTTTCAGGGAAAACACAACACCGGCATGGATTTGCTCGTTATTCTACGTGTGCTCTCGTCCACCGCAGATTATACAAAATTATAAGGCGAAGTCTACTAGTGGTCTTTCGCTTTACACATTTCTATTGGCAATGATTGGAAACTTATTGTATGTAATATCAATTGCCTCTAGTTCATATATTCTCTTTAAGAAAGATATTGATGCATTTAACGCTATGATGTCAATGAATATGCCGTACATGATTAGCAGCTTGTTAACTTTTTTTTTCGATACCCTTTTATTAGTTCAGTGTTTGTATTATGATGGTTCGAATATACCAACAAACTCATTGAATTCCGGTTTCCTGACCAATAACCTGATATTTATGCAATACGATGATGAAAATATTAACGAGATGAATAATCCAGGTTACCGTCATCCCAGAACTGGGAAAGGGAAGCAGAAAAAGAGACCGATTTATCATGACGAATCGTCTTTGCATTTCCAAACCCCTGCTTGGTATACTAATAATCTCTTTATTACTGACCCTAATGAAGACCGATATGAAGCAACAAATACTTTTTTTATTAACGATTCAAGAAAAAATCCCCGAGAATTATCTAGCCAAAATGAAACTACATCTTTATTGAATAATGCTATCAATTACACGTTGACTACGCCGCCAGCACATTATATTTCTCGCTCTATATTAGAGAGACAAAATCAATTGTCGTCGCAAACTATACCGAATAGTGTTGCAAATTCGACATCGAGAAATGGTTCCGTTAATGCAGTTAAGTCTGCATCTATGTCTGCACTAAACTCGATTATATCTAATGGAAATGGTAATAATGCTCAATACAATATATCAATTCTAAACACTTCCTTAATACCATCGATCGTGAGCAATTATTCTTCTATATCTAAGAAGCTATCTCATGATTCCAAAACCCCATTCCTGCCAAGTGACTTCTTAAGTGATAATTTTTACAATCGATCTGAGAATGCAAGTGTTTCATCCAACAATATGCAATAAAATTTATTCAGAATGATTAAAACTATTAATATCTTCTTTTGGTTCTATTCTATGTAATTCTATATAATCATGTCTTGTAAAACATAAGTCAATAATATATCTACAATACTTTATTTACCCTCCATGCACTATTAGGTAAACTTTGTAAATAGGTTACCTTCTTCTTGACCCAGAATAATATGAAAATACCACAAACAATGCAAAAAAAATTCGTATAGTAGAATCCATCTCTTAAAAGTACTACCTTTCCCCCACCATTCTTACATGTTTCTTTGAGGGTTTCTGAAGTAATATAAAAATCCAAATTCTCGGCAATTGCTGTGGATACTTGAGTTGTCGGTTGACATTTGGCTATTGTAAGTTTATCAATTAAGTATAGAACAATCAATTTTGGCCACGTACCACCGTAGTTAGACAATGTGTTCAAAGTAGTCATATAAGTTCCCCCTATAGCAGGATCGGCGATCTTAGTATGAAATGCACATAATGAAACAAATTGAATAGTAGACATGAAGGAAGAAATTAAATGCTGCAAAATAATTAAAATGAAATATCTCGATGATACTTGACCATTCTCTGGAAAAAAGTAAACGATCATTTGTGCTAAGAATGCCCCAAATAACCGACCTGCGAATCCAAATAGCCAAGGTTTTAATGGTGTTTTACCATTAGACCAGCGTCCAGCATAGTAACCAAATATCATTTCAAAGGGAAAATCAATTAATACGGTGATAGACAAATCTTCCTTAGATAACCCTTTTTCTAACAACTTTAAATTGGTTGCAGACTCACTAGCTTGGAAACCGAATTTCGCAATTAATAAGATTACAACAAATGTCTTAACGTTCGGTAACTTCAATACCTGATACATCGAATTATAAACATGTTTCAAGGAAGCCCAGTTACTAGACATCTTCGAATTCTTGTTATAAATAGACTCAGCTTTTGCTTTTTCATTAGAAAGTTTGGCCTTATTCAGTTTGGCCAAATGTGGAGGATCCTCCGGAATTAGGAATAACGCTCCAGTAACAATCAAATACATCCAGCCCCAAAAATTCAAGTACAGGCCTAACGAGAATAATCCTTCATTAATAGGAACAGTTCTTAGATACTTGTTGGCAAAATCTGGTGAGCTCAATGCGAGGAATATCGTAAATGACGAGAAGTAACCGGTATTGATTCCAATTGTCTGGGCAGTTGATGCATACGATAAACATTCAGGAGATAAGCATGTCAATGCCCACCCATCGACGGCTATATCTTGTGTCGCACAAAAGAACACTAACAAGAAGAAGCACATCGTAATCGTTTTTAAGTGAGTTTCAGGATCTAATACTAGGTAGTCAATTTTCAGACCAAGATAGATCAATGTGATTCCAGATATCGTTTGGATGGGAATAATCCATGATCTTCTCCTTCCAATAGTTGGGCTGTATAGAGCATCAACGATAGGTGACCATAATAATTTCAACGAATACGGATATGCGGCCAATGAAAAGATACCAACCTGTGAGTATGATAACTTGGATTTCAATATAAAAGGTATAGATCCAAAGGCTAGTCCGACAGGTATTCCTTGAAGCAAATACAATATAATTAGGACTATGAATGCTGGTCTATCGATCTTATTCAAGCTTCGGGAACTTTTTTTGGTATTTTTGGGTTTTAAGGTGGAGTCTTTCAATTCCTGGTGAGTTATAGGCAATAAACCATCGTTTTCCACCTCAAAGCCAGCACGAGGATTGTTAATTTGATTTTCAGCGAAATTGGGTTCAGCCGACCCAATTCGTTTATGAACTTTGTGGTCTTCTGACATTAATGATTATTAGGGTAATCTTCGATTTATGTACAGCTGTAACTTTATGTTTTTGATATTTCAAGCTACGCGAAATATGGTTGAGAAATTCCTTAGTCGTTTTCGAACCACGGTAGGCCATCAAAATTAGAATTACAGAAGAGTAAGTGAAACATTATATTAATTATGATACATATCATTGGGAAATATGGAAATCTTCCTAGCTTTATTTAATGAAACGGAAGAACAATTATTTTTTTTTATATGATGAGGTGAGTTTTAAAAATCTATAAACCTAAAACTTTTCTAGAGGCTCTCATGACGATTTCAACATCTGGGAAAGCAAAGTCTTCTAATTCTTTAGCGTATGGAGTTGGGACTTCACAACCGGTGACTCTTTCAACAGGAGCATCCAAGTAGTCGAAGGCTTCGGATTCCATGATTTGGGCACAGATTTCGGAACCAACACCAAAGGCAGGGAAACCGGCTTCACATGTGACCAAGTGGTTGGTCTTCTTGACGGATTCGATGATGGAATCAGTGTCCAAAGGTTTGATGGATCTTAAGTTGATAACTTCAGCCTTAACACCGTATTCGCTTTCCAACTTCTCAGCGGCTTGCAAACAGTGCATGACGTTTCTGGTGTGGGAAACTAAGGTGATGTCGGTACCTTCTCTTTCAATCTTGGCCTTACCGATTGGTAAAACAAAGTCGGATGATAAGGCTTCTTCGGACATATCGAACGATTCCCCGTAGGACATTTCGTTTTCAAGGAAAACAACCGGATTAGGGTCTCTGACAGCAGCCTTGAACAAACCCTTGTAATCTTCAGCCGAGTATGGGGACAAAACCTTCAACCCTGGGACAGACCCGTACCAAGCGGCGTAACATTGCGAGTGTTGGGCACCGACACCAGCAGCAGCCCCATTAGGACCACGGAAAGTGATGTTACATGGCTGTTTACCTCCCGACATGTAGTAAGTCTTAGCGGCCGAGTTGATGATTTGATCAATCGATTGCATGGCAAAGTTGAAAGTCATGAACTCACAAATTGGCTTCAATCCGGCCAATGCTGACCCAACGGCCAACCCGGTGAATCCCATTTCCGTAATTGGGGTATCAATCACTCTTCTTTCACCAAATCTGTCCAATAATCCTCTCGAAATCTTATAAGCACCATTATACTGGGCCACTTCTTCTCCCATCAAGAACACATCATCGTCACGGTCCAATTCTTCCGCCATGGCCGAGTTCAATGCGTCTCTAACAGTCATAGTTTGTGGTCCCGAAGATGACGACGCTGGACGTTGTCCTGACATTCTTAATGCGTGGTATTGACCTGCTTGCGCCAATGTTCTGCCATTAGCGCTACCCGAAGTCTTCAATGCTTGAGCAGCCAAACTGGCTGTCTTTGCGACGTTTGATATTTTAGAAGCAACCATTATTCCAAGCCTATGCCTATTCAATCTTAGAAGTGTTTCCTAACCGAATTAATCCCAATATAAACTACTTCAAGATGAACCGTTGATGGGAAAGATTCCACCAAACGGACAGATGAAGACCGTATCAACTTTTTGGCCTCGGACACGCCTTTTCGGAAATTCAACTCCGTGTTTGCTGGTTGACTGAATTTTGGCTAGTTTTTGCGGGTTACGGCATTCTGGTCCGATTTGCGGGTTGTCTCGGTCTTTTGCAGGTTGGCGAGGGTGACGGGTGACAATAGATCTGGACCATGGGCCCAGGGCCCAATAGTCAAGGAGGGGAGGGTGAAGGGACGGGGCACGCCCGGTGGGAACCGGCCACGTCGCACGGTTGTGGCCGGGTTTTCGTGGGCCTATCGGGGTCAACATTACGATTGATGGGCGTATCCGGCAGCCCACGAAGCGAGCGAAGCCCATCAAGAGGGCATTTTTAGCCAACAGATAAGGGATTATGATAACCATTCCAGCCTAGCTCCAGTATCGGCTCCGAGTGATAGGAGGGGCATTGAGGGGATTCAGCCGTTTGGAGGGTCAATTGAACCTTGATGGGTGGTACGAAAGACGTTTGGGATGGGAGATTGACCGGTAAATGGATCGTAAATGATAAATATAGTATGGTATTTTCACGTGAATGACTAATTAACGGAGCGGTCGTATTGGTCGGAACTCTCGATGAAGGTCGCGATGGAACTATATAAGATAGCAAATGGCCCTATATTGATTGGTTCAGGCAAGGAATTAGACAGAATCGCTACAAAATCACAGAAAGATGCTCAAGACGTTGATAAGACAAGGTCATAGTAACAGGGCCGTTTCACGTATGGTGACGGGTCGTCCGATGGCATGCAGATATAAGGCCACCAACTTCCACAGACCAGACTCAGCAGGATCAAACGATGCAGCTGAAGCAGCAGATGCAGCAGCTACGGTTTTGGCAGATCAGAATGATATACAGAAGCTCCCGAATAAGGCCACCTGGATGGATGCATTGCGGGAAAGAGAAAAACAAAAGGCAGCTGGAAAGACGTTGGACAGTTATTCGTACATCAACCCTAAGACTACCGAAGTGGGTGAAAAAACCAGAAGCGAATCGTTTTCGTATTTGACGCTTCCATTCAAGGACGATAAGTGGTTGTGTGACTCGTACATGAATGCTTCTGGAAGATTGAGAGCAGGACAATTGTTCCAGGACTTGGATGCGTTGGCCGGGAGAATCGCCTACAGACACTGTTCACCGGCTGAACCTGTGAATGTCACGGCATCGGTGGATCGTATCTACATGGTCAAGAAGGTGGATGAGATCCAAAACTATAATTTCGTGCTTGCTGGTGCCGTAACGTGGACTGGGAGGTCGTCGATGGAGATTTCCGTCAAAGGGTATGCGTTCGAGGGCCAGATCCCAGAGTCGATCACAGAGGAATCTTTGCCAATCGAAAATGTGTTTTTGAGTGCCAATTTCACTTTTGTTGCTAGAAATCCAATTACCCACAAGTCGTTTGCCATTAATAGGTTACTTCCAGTGGTTGAAAAGGAGTGGCTCGATTACCGTAGAGCAGAATCCCGTAATGCCAAAAAGAAGTTGGCTGCTAAGAGTCTGAAAGTGATTGAACCAACTGATGAAGAAAGCAAATTGATCCACGAAATGTGGAAGTCCTCGAAGTCTATGGAAACTAAGAAGGACACCCCAAGAAACTTTTCGTTTATGAAGGACACTAGTGTGTCGTCTACTTTATATATGCAACCACAATACAGAAACAGACACTCGTACATGATCTTTGGTGGTTACTTATTAAGACAATCTTTTGAATTGGCTTATTGTGCATCTGCTGCCTTTGCAAAGGCCGCTCCAAGATTTGTGTCATTAGATTCCACAACTTTCAAAGCCCCTGTGCCAGTCGGCTCTGTTTTGTCTATGACTGCCACTGTTTCTTATACCGAACACATTCACGAAAAGGATGTTCCATACAATGATACACCTTTCGGGTTCTCGTTACCAGCAACTAATAAATTATCTTCCAATCCTGAAGCCTTCTTATCGGAATGTGGTACATTGATACAAGTTAGAGTCGACACTACTATCAAGCATTTGGAAAGTGCTGAAGCTAAAGAATCAGGTACCTTTATCTACTCCTTCTTCCTTCCAAAGAACTCTAAGGATGAAGAAGTTGATTACTGCTCAATTATGCCTCAAACATATTCCGAAATGATGGAATACGTCGAAGGTAGAAGAAGAGCCCAAGATACTGCTAATTTTGTTGACACTTTACCAGATACAAGTGCAAAGCCTAAACTTTAATTGCAGTCAAGTAGCTAACCCTAGTTCTATTTTATCCTAATACATAGTCTTTAAATTTAAATTATTATATCAATTAATTTATATATTATATAAAAATTACTAGTAGTACAAATCAGACTCACAAATGTGAGTTCATAAATTAAAAATAGAGTAATAGTTTAACCAAACACCCATAAAAATCAAATTAAAATATCATTATAAGAATAAAAGCATAATAAATGCAAACATTAAAAACAAACTAAGGCCAGAAACTTTTTCTCCCTAAGTCAAATGCAACAAATAGATAACTATTCAAAATATCAGTCCACGAACCAGTTAGGAAATAAACCTAAACACTATCATTGTCATAATGAATTTGTGCAGTTTCACCCTCTAAGTCAATATTAGGTTCGTGCGCAGATTCTCTCATGCTAGATTTTCTTGTAAAATCAACCAATTTTGCTTTGGTACTTAATGAAGCATTTGAAATTCTTGGATTTTCAGAACTAGTTCTCCCTAATGAAATGGCCGATAAGTTGGAACCCCTAATTGGCGAACTTTGCAAATCATATCCCATCTTTGGTGTATTTGCATTTGCATCATTAGCTAAGAAAGTGTCTGATGCTGGGGAAATTAAATTATCGGTACTCGTGGATTGCACCCATTTTATTTCGCTGTTTGGATTTCTTGTTGCTTTGAATTCATCTGCGAAATCACCATGCTCGTTGTTTTGATTCACCAATTGCTGGTAGCTAGTAGGACCTGAAGTATTTCTTGATTCTTGGAAACGCGAATCTAAACTGGCAGTATCGTCGCCCAAGACATTATTCGTACGGATAATGGTTGCATCAGTGTGTGTATTATTTGTATCGTTTGAGTGGTCCTTCGAGTTTTCTTCAACCAAAATGTCTAAATCACTAGAGGGAGTTCTAGAGCGTGCTGATACATCTCTCAGTAAACCATTGGCAGTTCCAACTATATTTCCGTCACTATCCAATTTTTGAATATTACCAGATTCTTCTCTTCTTAATAATGCATTTAATGAGCCATTACTTAAAAATTGTCCCGAACCATATGATGACTGATTAGAGTTTCTGTAGGAATTGTCATCAACCAATCTAACTGAGAATAATTGCTCTGTGTTAACTGTACTCATAGAAGCATCTGATTGTCTGACATTATTCTTGGATAATAGGGCCAGTCCTGCAACTGCTCCTGCACCTGCACTTGCAGCTCCTATCATTCCTCCCTTTGCAATATCTGATTTATCATTAGCTCTCCAAGACTTAAGTGGCTTCTCAGACGCATCAAAGTATCTAGAATCATCACTGTATTCTGACTCAACGTGAGTAATCGATGAGGAAGTACTGTGGGCATCAGATGCTAATTTTTCTTTTTCATCCAATTTCAAAACATTAAGGGCTGCCAATTGTTTGGCATTTTCATCGCGATCATCTAAGTCAACGGTGGTACCAAACCCAGGACCAGTTAATTCCGGTGATCCACTTCCTGCTGCACCTCCTCCTGCAGCTGCACCTGTAGCAGCTCCTGCTGTTGCCTTTTCTTGATCAAAATCGTCCTCCTTCTTATTCTTTCTTCTCTTAAGACAGCAGAAGAGAAGTATAAGTGCTGCAAGTGCAATCAAAAACAAGGGAATTCCTACTCCAAGACCAATGGCTAATGCCTTACGATCGACACCACTGGATTTATTCTGCGATACTGCACCTGATGAACTGGTAGTTGATTCAGAAGTGGCAGAACTTGATGAACTACTACTTGAAGATCTTGACGAGCTTGATGAACTTTTCTTCTTTGAAATACCATCAATATTGAAACTCTTGGTTTCGCTATCATAATCTGAAGAAGCTGCAACTTTAACCTTTACTTTATCCAAATCCTTAGGAGCTTTACCAGAAAAGGTTCTGTTATCTTTATGATACGTTAACCAGTCTGCATCATAATCAACTGAAATCTTTGTGCTATTATAATCAGTGAATAAGGACTTTAAAAGTTCGTAACTGAAATATTCCCCTTTCGTTGCGTTGACGTCTTTTAAATCTTTGACTGTGAAAACGGACCCGATTGCATCGATCAGGTATGGCAAATCAACTGAATTCCCGTACTTATCTTCAACTATAATGGTAAAGTTATCGAAGGTTGACTTTTCCGGGAAGTTACCGGTCAAAGTGAAGTTATCTTCATTGAAGGTCACATAATCAGGTAACTCCTCAGCATACACATTGGAAATGTTTGCGGTGGAAATGGCTTCCCCGTCTAAGTAGACTTCTGATAAGATGGGCACGTCTACTTCAATTTCACTTTCCAATGTACCGTTAAGTTTAATTGTTTCGTTTAATGAGGTACTCAATTGATGGCCTCCTACAACCAATTTGAAAATGCCCTCTGCACCTGCAAATCCATAGTAATCAGATGCGATGAACGAAAATCCGTACTTAAAAGATGGGGCATTTTCTGAGGCAACGTACGGAACAGTTCCTGAGAAGGAAAGATCATCCGAATTGAAGTTAATCCAGTTAGGTAAGGAACTTCTATCAGAAGATCTTCCGTAGTAGGCCACAATTGGTCTACTAGAATTCGAGGAAGATTTAAAAATATCCGAATCAAACTTTATATCGAACTCGTCTCCTTCGTTAACCACGAGTCCATCGTTCCCGTTTGTATAGCCGTATTTGGCGATTTCGGTGAACATCACGTCGTCTGACGATAAATGTAATCCTTCGTCTTCAGAGACGATCATGGAATACTGATTGGACAACGTAGAACCGTCATCAGAGTCTGTACCCGTCAATGTGATGTTGAATTCACCAGCATCTTTCTTTGAAGGTGTACCTGTGAACGTCCTCGACCCACCGTCAAAAGACATCCACTTTGGCAAGTTCGAAGCACTATAACTCACCTCTCCGTCGGCCTTGTAAGTAGTGTTGGCCATGGTAAACAAGTATGGCTCGTTCACTCGGGCAACATTAGGCAATTGTTCATTTAATGGAAATCCAATGTACACCGACCCGTACGATATTCTTATCAAATCTAGACAGAAGAATACTAACAAGTATAGCGTATTCATTCTCCCTTATTTCTTGTACTATAGTCTTAACACTATGTTAATCTATTTCTTTCCGTTGTTAGTCCCTTATTTATTATTTTCTAACCCAACGTAATTTTTTTAAACAAGAATGCTTCTAGATATATCACTTCTAGACTGTTTACACAAGGAATGCTAGACTAATTGATGTTATTTCTCTTATGAATGATAGCTTTCACTAAAGTTGAACAGAAAGGATAAAACTAATGTCGATTTTTTTTTCCTCTAATTCTTCAATTCTGTTTTCTCCTACTACCCATGGACTCCTGGAGGTGTATATGCCATTTCTATAATTAGTGTGTTCGCTATACAAGAGTAGAAAAATTCTAGTACGTAAGGGACAAAACAAAACGCGCTTTGAGAATGGTGTTTTGTATTTACAGAATCGTGTTACTATCGCGTTTTTGACGAAGGTCCTACTAACAATATACGAATGTAGATAATTGGCATGCGTAACAATCGAGAAGAGATCGTGTAATTCGTAATAGCGTAAACAAGAGACGTACGGCGAGCCTAATGTTGTTAGTATAATTTCGTGTTTCTTCAATACGATTTCTGGATTAGGATATAATATAGACTGTATTGTATTGCGTATTTATGGATAAGTATATCAATGATGCAAAAGACGCGTAGATGCTGGTGTAGGATGCTAGGTCTTGAGTGTCTGTGCAGTTTTCTGCTTTGGGCTGGTGTCTGGCACAAATAGAGTAACACTTGAAAGTCATTCGGTCCGTACGGCGATGACATATATTCGTAGACGAGTTATTGCAGGCAAACGGTCGCATGTGTAAATGACGCACATTGTGTCGAAAGGCTGGAACTGGAAATTGCCGGGCATTCGTAGACTATGTGTAGATGGAATAGATGCAGTCGGTGCCGAAAATAGGTAAGTGTATTACGACATCAGCACGATTGGATACTAGATTCTGTGTGAAATTTGCACCCGAAATCTGGCGACGTATAGATGAAATCTATTGGATCATGGTTTCCAGATTTAGAGCCATCTAGGAATGTAATACACCACTGCAAGACCAAAATACCCAAAAACCAACCCCACAAGTTTTTCTCCGATCGAATGGAAGTAGATGTTCGTCATGAAAAGCATGAACCACCACAAAGAGATCAATGGAATGATAATAGTGTGGGGATCTTGTGCAAAAAGGCCGAAGAGCAATTTTGGTTTGCTGGCAGCAGTCAGTCTCCAACTTTTAACAAACTGGCACAAATTATGCTTTAGCGTAGCCCACGAAATCCAGAACGGTAATGCTTCCAAGAACAAATACAACGAAGAGTGGATAAGCAAGAAGACGTGGCCCGAGGGATCATGGCCGCCTTCCCAGCTACCCTTTAATTTTCTGCACATATAGGACGTTATGGCCTTCGATTCGTAACTCAAATCCGATTCTATCTCGGTGAATATGCTCGACGTCCCATATGAGGGAATATGGCGTGCCAATTTCTCCTGTGCTATTCCAGTACATTTGCCACCTGTCCAGACAAATACTTTGTCCATGAGAGGCAAACCGAAGCACCATTGCGTGAAAAGTACCCACCATAACGTAGCAATAGCGTAATTGAATAATGCCTTTTTTAATACATTAATTCTCTGTTGCTTGGTGCGGACCTTAGGATGGCTATTGCCGTACATCAAAAACGAATAAAACAAGACTATAATCAATGTAGTCCAACCCCATCCTTTTTTAACAAACAACTGATTAAACACATTACGTTTGTTGTTATAGTAGTTATACACTTCTTCATGTTCTGCACTTATATGGATCAATTTTCCCAAGAAGAAATTAACGATAAACGAGACTAGAAATATCAACTCACCAGTTGATAATCTTATTTTCCTCGATATAGTGTCTCTTAACTTCCCCAATTGTTGAAGATGTCTGTCATAAATCTCATGATTTGGCGTATCGGATAATGACATGACTATTCTATCTATAATTTTTAGTCTAGTATGATGGCAATTATAAGGAATAATATTCAGATTTCTGTAATTGATAAATTCTCATATCAAAGGATGAGTTTGTGTAACTTTGGTCTACAGTCTTGGAAGAGTATATCAATAAAATAGTACATTATACAAGGATATAGACGATCTGATGGATATGTTGGACGGTAATTATCATATCTGGTAACTGCTGGTTTTGATTTCTTCGAAATTCTAAAATTTCAAGACCAGGTTATGCATAAATCTGCCAAATACAACGATCTGAAGAAGGTGGGCCATGCTCTTACCTTGGGGCCTGTCAATTGGACACACAGCATCAATTCCTATTAGTTGTCTATGATATTATTGTGGAATTGTAGCCATTGTTGTCGGATTTGTATATCAGAGCTAGTTTAAACTGTAAGTCGTAAAGCACAGTTCTTAAGTGTAGATATTCTGAGCTGAAGCAGTAGGGTTGATATGGTTTCATTTGTGATTGTCTGCTCCAATGGGTTTCTATAGAATATTTCATGTCCTGCAAATATGTGTGCAATTGGGTGACGGTACAAGTGTGAAATCTAGTTGCTTCCCAGCCCATTGACTTCTACACTTGGCTGATTTGTATCGTCTCCGTTGGATGCATTAAGTCCTTCTAGCTGTGATTGCGGTGTTACGCCGAAAACGCTATCTTGGTCCTGCCACCTCTTTACCATATCATTCATCACGGTGTTCATAAAATCTGGAATCAAGATATTCTTTCTAAACTCTTCATTCTGTAATAGCGTCAATATGTGTAAGCAGTTTGGATATACCAAGTATTTCGAGTATTCGGGATCTTTCCAATAATTAAGGTATTCGATATAGTTTAGAAATTCGGGGTTACTTAAATAGTTATTCTGTGCCAAATGATTCAAATATTGGATATTTGCTAACGATTGGACAAATTCCAATTCTATCTCCCATCTTGTTGGCAAAGATTCGTCCATTTTGATCGCCGTTGTTCTTTATTTCAGAAAGAAAAGATCGTTAAAGAATCAAATTTATTATTTCTAATTTTCACGATAGAAAATCGCAATATCAATTATCAAAACATAAACAGATTATTTATATTTATTTATTTATTGAAGTCACCTACAGTATAATGTCCTCCTCAAAACGTCAGATTGCATTGGAGAAGGAGTTGCAGCAACTAACTGCTATAAATGAAAGTGTTGCCACAATGATTGAAACCATAAGAAGCACGCAAACAAATATTATGAAAACTCAAGAATCAACGGAAAATACAGATAAATTACTAAACCAATGGATACGCATATTGTCACAGACTAATTTCACTAACGAAATATTACAGAATCCCCATTGGAATGGTTCCACGGAAATAGATGACTCAGAAATTGAGATAAAATTAAACGAAGAACAGGAATTGATTAATGATTTAAATGAGTTGATAAACGAAAATAGCGAATTATCTAAACGAATTGAACTAAAAGAGCAAAAGGAAAAACTAGATGAAAATAGGAGGCGTGAAGTAATAAACAGAAGACATAAAGAATTGGGTTTACGAAGTGTACCTAAGAGAAGAGGTGTGTCAAGAGTATTCAAGTAGTATGTTAAATTTTGCTTCAAACTTACATAAACAGAAAGCCAACAATACCGTGTATATATAGCTAATTCAACAGTTCGTATGCAACATATGAATTGACAAATAATGTCTAGCGTTAGAAGTTATGGGATATATGACATCCTTACCAGAGTTTCAATCTGAAACCTCCCAAAGCTGTCTGTGAGATCTGAGATCTACACAAAGATACGGTTAATACAATATGTTCCAGTTAGTCAAAATATACATGTTAACAGAAACGCAACAATTAAACATCACAGAATTAAATAAATAAATACGAATATACGTAAACTAAGGCTAAGTCTAATTTAATCAAATTATTTAACGACACTTGCAATCAAATCGTTAGCATCAACGGAATCACCTTCCTTTATGAGAATTTCACCAATCTTACCCAGGACCGGAGAACTGATAACCATCTCCATCTTCATGGCAGATAAAACAGCAATTGGATCACCCTTCTTAACTTCATTACCAACCTTTGATCTGATTTCAACAACCACACCAGCCATTGGAGCACCAACTTCGTTAGGGCTAATGGCCTTAGGTCTGGTCTTAGTTTCAATAGAAACAGTCTTATCGTCAACAGTGACCGATCTCATTTCCCCATTCAATTCAAAGAAGACTTCCCTGGTACCTGTTTGTTGAGAAATTTCACCAATAGCCAATAACTTAATAATTAATGTCTTACCCTTTTCAATATCAACAACAATTTCTTCATTAATATTACATGCCTTCAAGAAGAAACGAGTTGGCAATACAGATAAGTCACCATACTTTTCTGATAATTCTCTGAAATCCTCATAGACCTTTGGATACATGACATATGAAGCAATATCACATTCATTGATATTGGAACCATATCTGGAAACAAGTTCTTCCTTGACAGCAGCAAAGTCAATAGGAGGCAAATTGAGACCAGGTCTGTTATTCAATTTGGCTCTCTTGGTACCCAAGATGTTAGTTCTCAAAGGTTCTGGGAATCCACCGTATGGAGTACCCATTAAACCTTCCATGAAATCTAAGACAGAACTTGGGAAATCTAACTCACTTGCTAATTTAGTAACATCTTCTTCGCTTAAGTTATTAGAAACCATAAATTGTGCCAAGTCACCAACGACCTTAGAAGTTGGAGTTACCTTAACGATATCACCTAATAACTTATTGGCAGTCTTATAAGCTTCTTTTGTTAACAACCACTTGCTACCTAAACCTAATTGTTGGGCTTGGAACAACAAGTTAGTTAATTGACCACCTGGGATTTCGTGTTGGTAAACTTCAGGATCTGGACCCTTTAAGTCAGCTTCGAAACATGAGTATAATAATCTCATTTGCGCCCAGTAGTTATCTAACTCTCTAACCAATGAGGCCTGTAATCCACTTTCAACTTCACCTTCAAACGAAGCTAAGATAGCATTGATTGAAGGTTGAGAAGTCATACCAGACATAGAGTTGGATGCGGCATCAACAACATCGGCACCAGCCTTTGCAGCTTCAGTCATACTGGCAACAGCAGTACCAGCAGAATCATGAGTATGGACATGAATTGGTAAATTAGGATATCTTTCTCTAATAGCACCAATCAAAATTTTTGCTGCCTTAGGTTTTAAAGTACCAGCCATATCTTTGATACCTAAGAAATGTGTACCCAACTTGACGATTTCATCGACGACGCTTAAGTAGTATTCTAAATTATATTTCTTACCTGGCTTTAACATGTCACCAGAGTAACAAACAGTGGCTTCAATAACACCACCAGCCTTCTTAACAGCGTCAATACCGACCTTTAATTGCTCTAAGTCGTTTAATGCATCGAAAACTCTGAAAATATCAACACCATTTTCTTTTGCCTGAAGAACAAATTGGTCAATGGCGTTATCTGGTAATGAAGAGTAAGCTACACCGTTAGCACCTCTTAACAACATTTGGAATGGAATGTTTGGCACCAACTTACGCAACTGTCTTAATCTGCTCCATGGATCTTCATATAAGAATCTCATACAGACATCAAAAGTGGCACCACCCCAACATTCTAAAGCAAAGCAACCGTTCAATGCAACGGCAGTCGTAGGGGCAATGTTTAACAAATCGATAGTTCTGACTCTTGTGGCCAATAAAGACTGATGAGCATCTCTCCAGGTAGTATCCATAAGTAAGGTACCGTTGAATTCACGAACCTTTTGGGCGAATTTTTCCGGACCTTCTTCTAATAACACTTGTCTCCAGCCTCTTGGAGCAACTTCATTATGAATCTCGATCTTAATACCGGTCTTAGGATCATGCAAATCTGGAATCAAAGCTTCGGTGGCCAATTTAGGTTCACCAATTTGACCCTTGATAGACGAGCCATTAACGATCAAGTCACCTAAGTAACTTAAAATCTTAGTGGCTCTGTTCTGGGAACGGATCATTTGGAATAAGGATGGAGTATCATCAATAAAAGTAGTCCAACAATCGCCGTTGATAAATGCTTCATTGGTTAATAAGGTCAATAAGAAAGGAATATTAGTCTTGACACCTCTGATTCTGAATTCGATCAAAGCTCTCAACATCTTTCTTCTGACGATTTCATAGGTGGAACCGGAACACGAACACTTGACCAACATGGAATCGTAATGAGGAGAAATAATTGAACCAGCAAAACCATTACCACCATCTAATCTGACCCCATTACCACCAGCGGATCTATAAACCTCGATTTTACCTGTATCAGGTTGGAAGTTCTTCGAAGGGTCTTCGGTGGTGATTCTACATTGAATAGCAAACCCCCTAGTCGTGATTTTATCTTGTAATAAGCCCAATTGCTTCAAGGATGCACCAGCAGCAATTTGGATTTGGGCAGCCACGATATCAACTCCGGTGATTTCTTCGGTGATTGTGTGTTCGACTTGGATTCTTGGGTTAATTTCAATAAAATAATGTCTGTCTTGTTCATCAACCAAGAATTCAGCAGTACCAGCGTTACGGTAGTTTGCCAGTCTGGCCAACTTGACGGCGTCAGTCAAAATGGCGTCTCTAACCAGCTTTGTCAACGTCTTGGCAGGAGCTACCTCGACAACCTTTTGGTGTCTTCTTTGGACAGAACAGTCTCTTTCGAAAAGATGAATGACGTTACCGTAATTATCGGCCAACAATTGAACTTCGATGTGCTTAGGTTTGTCCAAAAATCTTTCGATGAAACAGGTACCGTTACCAAAGGAGGTTTTGGCTTCGGAAACAGCTCTTTCGAATGCATCGCCCACCGAATCACCTTCTCTGACCACTCTCATACCTCTACCACCACCACCAAAGGCAGCTTTGATGATGACTGGCAAACCGTGCTTTTCGACAAACTTGACAGCCTCTTCAACATCAGCAATTGGTCCTGGGGTTCCCGGGACCACTGGCACGTCATTCTGGATCGCCAATGTTCTAGCACTGACCTTGTCTCCGACTGAGTCAATGGTCTTGTGGGTAGGTCCAATCCACGAGATACCCGCCTCCTCGACTTTTCTGGCAAACTCAGAATTCTCAGAGAGAAACCCGTATCCCGGGTGGATCATGTTAACGCCGTGCTCCTTAGCAATGTTGATAATCTCGTCAATCTGCAAATATGCTTGCACAGGCGAAAATTGGCCCTTTTTGCCAATAACGTACGACTCGTCCGCCTTCAATCTGTGCATCGACAACCTATCTTCGTGTGAAAAGATAGCCACCGTCTGCATCGACAATTCGTGAGCAGTACGGAAAATTCTGATAGGAATTTCACCTCTGTTAGCAACCAAGATTTTGTTCATAGGACCCATCACCGTCGATGCCCTTCTCATCTGGTTGATCTTATGTTCATTACCGTCACTCATATTAGTTGTTTAGCGTTACGACAATAATTTACCAATAATACCAATAGCACTTTCTCTGACTACCACTAAAAAAATGTGAATTATTGCTTCCTTATATATGAAAAAAACAATACAAGACTTACGTATTTTTTTTCGGCGTCAATTGAGTCACTTTTGAAGTTGTTACTCCAGGGTTGATTGAAAGTTTTCATTTGATTGGATCGTGATATTCTAGGGAGACAAAGACGACGTTCCGTGTTGTGAGCGCTTGGCGCGGTGACGATTACTCCGAAGACATCCACTCACCAGCAACGGTGGAGGAGGCCGTCCGGGGGTGGATGAAAGGATAAATGCCCACAATGAGAGACATGACGGTACTGGGGAGCCGTTAGATAGTCCCATTAGGCGACCAGGCAACGACATTAGACCGTGTGAGGTATTTGGTATGGGGAGATGAAGTAGCAGAGGCCGGGGGGAGGATCATTATGCCGACGAGTCATTTCGGAGTGCGAGAAGTCCGACGCCGATAGCGCCCATATTATCCTCGGCTCAGATGAGTCAAGCAAATTACGTCAATAAAAGGTTCGGGGTATAATGTCCGGGTGTGCGAACGATAGTGAGTATATAGAGGGCGGACTGCGAACGAGTTGTCTGTTGGTCGTTCGGGGTGTTGATGACGGGATTTTCCCGACGAAACATGGGTGAAGGGAAGGCCGAGTCAGAATAAGAGTAGTCAGAGCAAAACCCGGAGACATGAGAAGTGGATACTACACTTATATTGAATATCGAATGCAAAATGAGGATGCTGGAATAGGCAGAATAGCAGAAGACACAGAACCAAAAAGGATAACAGCAAAAAGCACATCGGGGCGGTCAATACACACGGATAAACTTTGAGGGCGATTTCGATGGGTTTTTGGTGGGGGATAATCCGATGTGTCCAGTCACGAACATTGGTCCCATCCCTGCACCAACCTCCCTACCTCTTAACGCACATTAATCTCCTACGTCCACCATATTGTCACTGTCAATCCATACACTCGTCACATCCTGCACCAGCTATTCCTTCTCTTTCCCCCATCCCCGATTCTACAACTCCCCCGTGCACTTACGTCCGACTACTCCTCGTGGTAAACCTTCCCATTTAACCTTATGTCGTCGTATCACCGACCCACTACGATCATTTCATCGACGTCGATACCTTCAGCGGGTTTACAGACCCGCTTTCCCGCAATGGTTGCCCTCCCGCAAAATTGCTCGGTCTTCGAGGGCCGCCCTCACATGCGTCTGCGATAAAGACCAACTCTCACTGCGATTCGTGCGATTTCCTAGATAGCGCGAGTGCGTATCACCGCTAACGCCATTACTGCCTTCTTTACGTTGCTGCTTCTACAAAATCATGCAATTCGTACTTGATACTCGGTTGGTGTGGCCATTTGCGCCATTTGTATGACAAATTTTTTTTTTCATTTGCACCTTATAAATTTCGCCCATCCCCATTGATTCCTTCACTTCTGTTTTTTTTGTCTATAGATACCCAAATTAGTTATTATGATCTCAGCTAGAAGCTTCAGCACCGTTTCCAGAATCGCATTCCAAAAAGAATCTGTCGCCGGCAGTGCATTCAATGCCGCTAAAAACTCCCGGAATTTAGGTCTCAAATGGAAACCTACCTACGGTAACTCTTTCAGAACTTTTGCTGAGTACAGGTTGAAGGCCGCCAACCAATCTCCTTTGGCTATCAAGTTGAAGGCCAAGAAATAAGCTTGTAGTAGGCTCTGGTAGCTGGTATGAGAAATGGAAATGGCTTCACACGCACACGGGACGAAACCGCAACGGTAGCGAGATCGACCGCAGACGTAGATTGCATTTATTACGGTGTATGTTATGTTATGATTAGGTTATAGATATATGGTTACAGGGTACGTAAGTACGGGTGTATAGTATATGGATTCAGGCGAATAAACGGATTTATTACCGAGTACAGCCGTATGGTCAGTAGAGCAAAGTAGAGTGAGCCAGTAGAAGGGAGCATCGCGAAAAGCATTGCGAAAGCAGAACCACAGATGTACCAAACTAGATGTATAAAGCAAAATGGACATACAAACAGAGATCAGAAAATACACGTCAACTCGTGCTGTCGGCTACCCTAGCGATCTGTGGCATGTGGCATGCTTCAATAATGTTGCTATCGAACAATTATCCGTTGGGATACTAGCCATCGTGGTTATGCTCAATAGTCACGTGGATTTTCGTAATCTAGCACCCATTTTATTAATCTGTGGATAACTAATCCAGATATATAGGTTCAGATGCCACTAAAGATGTCATATTAAGAGACATTGGGTTGACATACTGACACATATACTAACAACAACAACCAGCGAATGATATAGTACCAAATGGAACCATGAATAACTCGAGAGATATAAAATTGCCCCACGGCGAATCGCATCCAACCGATACCGCCAACTCGCTTCCAGACAACAACGCTACGTCTTCGTCGCTTTTGGAGCAGTTGGTTTACATCGATAACTTTATGCATACCAACTCGGGTAGCACGGGAGAGCCCACGCCCAACTTGGACATCGATGGCCAGTTATCACTCGACTTGGCTGCGTTTGCGGACGATTCGTTTATATTTCCTGACGAGGACAAGAAACCCAGCTCGCCATATTCGAGCAACAGTCATGGAAATAATGATAATGGCGACTTCTCCAACCATAATCTCAACGACTCCGGTAATCATAATGGCCCTATTGCGCCTAATGCCCCTGATAACAATTTGAACCACGACTTGGATCACGATCTTATGGGGAACCATATACCGGGAACCAGTGCCAATAATAGTAATGATGACTTTCACGAACCTCACAACGACTTTGCTGAACCTCCACATACGAACGTCAATGTATCCAGTTTGCCTAAGTGGCCTGTGCCGCCGGGTGCAAAGTCTTCACTAGAATCTGCAGGGCTCTCACAAAATCAAATCGAGCTTTTATCAGCCTTGGTTGCCCAACACCAACAGAACTTACCACCTACACAGCCGGCCAGGAACTCCACTCGCTCTCCTAGCATTGCAGCTAGTATTGATGGTGGTATTGATGGTGGTGGTAATGATTATCATGGGACGAACGATGCGGCCGACAGTGTGGCAAGCAACCTTGATGAAAACTGTAATGAGTCCGAGTTGGACAAACGTAGGCGAAACACCGCCGCTAGTGCAAGGTTCCGGATCAAAAAGAAGATGAAAGAAAAACAAATGGAGGACAGGATACAAAACTTGAACGAGATGATTAAATCGTTCGAATCCAAAACACAACAGCTTGAAATGGAGAACAAATTATTAAAAAATCTTATCATAGAAAAAGGAAGTCAAAAATCGGAATATGAGTTAAGAATGTTGAAGGAAAGAGCAAGACAATAGAATAGATGAAACTTATATTAATTGTACGGTTAAAATAAAAACTTGCAAACTTCTGTATTTAATTCTTATTTATCGGGTATAAATGTATGATCGTATAGAAGAAAATTGTAAGCTAGTGTAAACAAGCGATCTTTATTAGAAGAATGTAAGCCAATATAAACAAGTCAATATGATTAGTTTGATATCGAAAGCAAATCAATAGTTCGCAATTATTCATTAATATTTTGTAAATTTTGTAAATTTTGTGAAGTATCCTGAATAATGCTTTTAAAATTCGAACAAATCCAAAAAGCAACATTTAAGCAGTCTATCCTACTAGGATACAATAGAGCTATGTTCATATTATTTATATACTGAATTATGAGAGAAACACCTAGTATGAAGTAGCGTGGTTGCATACTTCCAGTAATGACTATATTTTTAGCTGCAGTATATTCGCAATATCCATCGCAAAGTACATGAGAGCATATATTACGTTATAAGTTTAGATACTCATGCAAAACGGGCATTTTTTTCTCCATAAGTATTATTCAACTAAAAAATAGGCTTATTTTAATGATATATACTAATGATTTTCTTCTAATTCATATTCATCATTGTCAAGCTTATCATAGGCATCATCATCATTTTCTACGTATTTCAAATCTCTCCAGATATAAATCAACACTCCAATAACAAACAATTCAATAACATCAGGGACATGAACACCTCGTGAATAAGACTCAAATGCTCGACCGTCATTTAGCAAATATTTGTTTCTTATAAAATTTGGCATCGTTGAACGTCTGTAAGGAACAACTATAAATGGAGATAAGATATAAGCTGCCAGTATTATCTGAAACGAAAGCAAAAACCTTGCATCCCTCTTATGAGCATGCTTGTATGTACCATATGCGATGTATGCGGTGACACATAGGATTACAATGTATAATATTATAAAAGCAACTGCCACAGGAACAGGTAGTCTGCTTTCGAAGTATTGAACATGTCTGAGGTTATCGGTATTTCTAATATCCTGTAGTTCATAGAAACACTTTGGAAAGCTTTGAATGCCATTTAATAAGGTGAGGCCACACACTTTCCATAATACAGGTCTTCTATTGGTAAATGTAAAGAACGAAGTACAATAACCAAAAGCAAAAAGAACCACCAAAAGGAAACTTGTAAGATTCAAAACGTATTTGAATATTGCCAATAGAGCAAGAACTTTAGAATTTCCTAAGTGTATCATTGCAAAATTATCAAACAAGACTAAGTACGTTAGATAAGAGATACCAAAAACTAATTTGACAGATAGATATTTGAATAAAATCCTAGAAATGTTCGAGAATTTAAAATTCATTGTGGCAAGCAACTTTCTCTTATTAAGATATACAACAGCAGCAACAAGAGAACATACGAGATAAATAGGAACCGTAAAAATTAATTTGTGTTTATCTACACGATGGAAGTCTTTTGGCTTAACATTCTTGCCAATGGCCTTACCCCTGAACTTGTTACGAGAGTATTCAAACCAGTAAGAAGTATCGTTAATAGGTTGTCTTAGCTCATCTTCATTCTTGTTCAATGTAAAAGTAAGAACTTCGAACATATCCAAATTTAATAAATTCTTAGTGAATTCTTCACCGTATTCCATGTTTGAAGGACAAAGTTTCATTGCTTTACAATCTTCTAGCGTAAAGTTAAGATTAAGATCGGAATGAAATCCCTTAGTTATATCTCCCTCATATGTTCTATCCTCAAGGAATATGATTAACTGAGGTGCTTTATTATTGCGATTATCAATTTTAGTATAACTTAAGCCTAACGAAAGGTAGAATAATATAAACCAATTAATCTTGATCTTCATTTTAAATTGGTTTAAAAAGAGATCAAAAGAAATCTCCTGTTTATCTCAGAAAACTTTTTATAGAGCGCACTTCTTTTCATTAATAATTTCAATGTGTCTACAGTATTACTGGCTACGGGGTCTATGATATTGCATGCTTATTGTGCATTTGTTTAAAATGTCATGCAATTGAAATATAATTCACGTAATCAATTCATAGTGCAGTACAACAAACATGGAAACTATGTTTCACTAGCAAGAATTATCGTTGTTCTTATCTCTTGAAGAAAAATAAATGGCATCTTCAATAATGACGAATTGGGTCCGCATATAGTAAATCTCTCTAAAAAGTTTAAATGTGATTAAAATCTCAATATTTTGTAATAATCTAAATGACGTAAGTTCACGATCTGCATTATGACAGCTCTTGCGAAAACTTCGCAGCACGTACATATTTCAGTCCAATGTGATCAAGTATCAAGAATATCCTCTCAGGAAAGTATTAAAGAACCGTCTCAGTCAATTAAATACATTAAATCTTTCAGGTGTTTTATATCAGTACTTTTTGACAAAAAAATCTATATATATTTAAGTGCCGAAGTTCTAAGTTCATGTTTTTCAACATCGCATTCGAACAATACATACATCGTGTCTGAATATAAAAAATCAGCATATTTATAAGGTTTATATCTTAGCCTACCGGGAAATTCTTGTATAAAGAATATGCCTTGTAGTTGAAAGGAGCTACTAAATAAAATTGAGATTTAGTCTGACGATTTCATACTTATGCTAATGATTTTCTTCTAATTCATACTCGCCATTGTCAAGCTTACCATAAACATCACCATCATTTTCTACATATTTCAAATCTCTCCAGATATAAATCAATGCTCCAATAACAAACAATTCAATAACATCAGGGACATGAACACCTTGCGAATTAGGATCCGAGACTCCGTCATTTAACAAATATCTGTTTTTTATAAAATTTGGTATCGTCGATCGGCCAGTAGGAACAACTATAAGTGGAGATAAGATATAAGCTGCTAATATTATTTGAAATGAAAGCAAAAACCTCGCATCCCTCTTGTGGGAATGCTTATATGTATCATATGCAATGTATGCAAGAGCAAATAAGATCACAATGTATAAAGCTATAAACCCAATTGCGACAGAAGTGGGTAATCTGCTTTTAAAAGCACGGAAAAAAGGCACGGCATTTTTGATATCTTGTATCTCATAGAAAAGCTTTGGAAAACTTTGGATGCCATTTAATAAGGTGAGGCCACATACCTTCCATAAGATGGATCTTCTATTGGTAAATGTGAAGAACGAAGTACAATAGCCAAAAGCAAAAAGAACCACCAAGAGGAAGCTTGCAAGACTTATTATGTACTTGAATATAGTGAATGCTACTAGGATTTTAAAATGTCCCAAGGGCTGCGTTCTAAAATCAACAAACAAGACTAAGTATGCAAGATAGGCCGAACCAAATACTAATTTGAGAGAAAGATATTTGAATAGAACCCTAGAAATGTTCGAGAATTTAAAATTCATAGTGACAAGCAACTTTCTCTTATTAAGATATATAACAGCAGCAATAAGAGAACAGACGAGGTAAATTGGGACCGTGATAATTAATTTATTCTTGTCTGCATAATGAAAGCCTTGTGGCACAGTATATTTTCCAATGGCCTTACCCTTGAACTTATTATGAGAGTATTCAAACCAGTAAGAAGTATCGTTAATAGGCTGTCTTAACTCATCTTCATTCTTGTTCAATGTAAACGTAAGGACTTCAAACATGTCCAAAGTTAATAAATTCTTAGTGAATTCTTCACCGTATTCCATGTTTGAAGGACAAAGTCTCATGGCCTTACAATCTTCTAGCGTGTAGTTAAGATCGAGACGGGACGAAAATCCTTTCGTAGTATCTTTCTCTACTATATTATTCATAAAACGAATATCTACTCTACCAGGTGTTCTTTCCGTATCGACATAATTTATTTTAGCTCTAGAACACAAGCCTAATGAAAGGTAGATAAATATGAGCCAATTGATCTTAAACATCATAGTGAATTGATTTAGAAAAAAGGTAATAGTAAATCTGAACAATCTATTATTTCAGAAAAACTTTTTTATTGCCATTAGTAATTTCTAAGTGGCTACACTATTATTGGCCAAGGGGTCTAGGACATTGCATTAAAATCACAGTATCATTTGTTAATCTGTCATGCAGTTGGGAATTATTCATGCAATTAAATTTCACCTGGTTGAGAGCTATAGAAAAAATGCTTTTTTAAAGCCGTGGACACTTTCAAGTATAACCAGAATCCACTATACTACTACATTTCTACGTATGTAAGTCGACGATCTGCATTATGACGACAACTTTTGTAAAAATTTCGCAGCAATACGCATTAATCCAGCGTTATACAGTATCATAGAGATAATCCACTTAAATATTGCAAGGACTAGTGTAATAACAAAAATACGCCAAAATTAACCTTCTTTCTTAGTTTATTCAACTGTGACAGTAACACCTTCTAGTTGATTGGTCAGACGTTAATTCTAACGTGTTCCATAGCAGATTATCCTCTAAGTCCAACATTAACGAACATCCGAATCACGAATCATCTTCCATACTATACATGTATATGGAAGCATAGACGTTTAGTTCAAAGTTTATCATTGGAACAACGTTATAGACTACCAGGAAACTTACTGTTGTCTGTTTTTGTTTATATATACAACAAGTTAAGCCTGTGAATCTTAATTCTAAGAAATCAGATAGGGCTTGCTGTCTACCTGTCTTAGTCTATTCCTTGTCTTTAATCGTACTCCCTCCGACATATCCAGCTTACTATTGTACCCGTTCCATCGTAGATGAATGTTTTATGCTTTTAGCCTCATAATCTATGTACTTTTTCGAAATCAGTTTACTATCGTAAAAATTAATCAACTGAACTAATTATTGTTACTAATAATAGTATGATTACCACTTGCTATCCCCTCAACTTCCATGCATGGAATAGTTCCAATAATTCTAACACCTGGTGTAAGGTTTTCTCGTCACCAACACGTAAAAGCAAGCTTATCACTCCAAACACACCTTCACCGATTAGATAAGCCTGGTGTCTCATACTGTTATCTGCATGGCCATTAATCCGAATGTTGGATCATTCATTGAAGACTGCTCCTTAACACAAGAAACCTAAAATTCATCCCACGAGCCTCCTGTGGCTAAAAGAGTAAGTCTAACCACACTTTTCAGTGCCTCGTTAATGTTAGGTTATGGTTACGGCTATCCTCTATGAAAAAATATTAATAGGGGTGTCCCCACATTGTTTACAGATTGTGAGCGAAAGGTGGAGTGTCCATAAACGGTAGTTCATGATACTGTAATTACTATTTTATATACGAAATCATGTCAAAATATACTATACCAGAACCCTGCAGTGTACAACACCAGGAGGGGTTCCTCTAGAACATCCTCACATGGGCCAAAAAGTGTTACTGCATAGGTCTTATGGCTATTGTTATAATGCATGAAACAAATAAGACCGATATATCGGAGTATTAAGGTAATTGGGAGATCATTTAGTGCAAGTATGTTCGAGAGTCCCCAACTGACCAACTCAGACATGAATGAACTCAGGCACTAAAAAAATAGCGAGATAACGACTGAGAGGAGGTTTCATTAGTAAGTCAGGATTAGGGGTAATCATGATCGGAGCCGTCCAGAGACGGTAGATCATGGAAGAACGGAGGCTGTAGGGTCACTTGAAAGCTTCCATTAATAAGCGGACCGTTGTATGGTATGGATTCTAGACATACATAGATTTGATGGTAGAAACCAGAATGTGGAGAAGCTGCTCTGCTCATCGAAAGTCACGATAGCAGACGTTAGATAATACTTGTGTGGCTGAGGGCTACAGGAAGTCAGTAAACCTTACCGGAATACGACGGTTAAGGCCGTGTGACTATGTCTATCCTACTGAGCTATTTTGGAATAAGGTATCTATTACTCTATATCTATCATAAATCATATCCGTAATGCATTGTAGTGCCTTAAAGCTGGCACCGGAGTCTTCGGCTGTAGTTATATCTCGTTCAGAAACCGTCTGATCTTTAGCTTCTTGACCGTTTTTCTCCAATTGACTAGATCGTTATTCTTGAGTGAATCCACCAACGACCCGATGGACGACCCTCTTGAACCGGTACTGTTGTGTCTGGATCCACCCATGCTATTGGTGTGGGTGATTTCGTTTACATCACTGTCGTCGTAGTCTACCGTATGCAGAGATGACAATGGGGAAAACAGTTCGAATGCAAAACTGTGTCCTTTAGGTCTGTAGCTTTCTAGCTCTCCCGCTTCCTGGCTACAACCGTGAGCCTTGTGCTTGCAGCAGTCAGCATGTATCTGGAGCTTCATCAACTTGACAAACTCGTGGTACGAATCACAGAGAAGGTCGTAAATTATCAACTTGGCTTTCATCGCCAAGTCCTCTCTCGGATACTCTCCCTCGCATTCCAAAAGCCCATTTCTTATATCACACGGTAAATTGATCTCCTTGAGTGCATCCTCTAGTAAAAAAGTCATCAAGATATACTGCCATGTGTTCTTCTTCTCCACACTCCTTGTTTCAGCCAAAAACTTATTCATGAACACAACAAATTCATAATTTTCAAGACAATGACTGTTTGACAAATACTGAACCAAGTTTCCTTTATTAAAAGGACCTACACTTCTGTCATTAATTATGTCCTCTAGGTTAGGCACATTTTGGGTCTTCTCTTCATCAAATAATATATATTCGCAAGGTATTTCCTTATTCCTATTTGTTATATTTATGTCCGGTTCACATATAGGGAATATCCTATAGTTTGACATTTTCGTGGTATGCTTTGCTACTTGTTATAGTTTTTTGTAAAATAATTCTTTAATATCTATTATATATGATTATTTAGTGGGGTTCCGATAAACTATATATTAACGGTTATAAAATAATTGCGCGAGCCCACAATGCTATGAACAATGGGCCACTTTATAATTCAAATTTACGTACATTGCATCAATTAAAATAGTTGAAGGACCTGCTGGTTACAAGCCATAATCCACGAATAAAATTCCGGTTGTGCATTGTGACCGTTTTGTATTCAAATTGGCAAGTGTAGCATATAAACGGTCAAGCATATGTGCGTAAACAATAAGGTTCGAGTTACAGGACTAGGTGTAGGACTAAAGTTGCTAGTATGACCACCAAATGTCAGCAGATGCCCGATAGCATGATATGAAATCGGATGATAAGCAAAGGGGGGTTACGGATTAATATACGAAAGGTAAAGTCGTATGGCCCGTAATGGCCAGGTTGTGGATAAACGGATCAAATGACATTCTGAGACACCCCAGCATGAACATGGATGGTGGTTTAGTCATCGGTTAATAATTAATGGTAGTCGGTATCAACATCATTTGATGCAATTCGATGCGTGATGATGGAACATACGTAACAGAGTCCGATATCCGGGCGAAGAAGTGTTATCACCGAAGGATTGATGTTGTCCACACCACAGTAGTGCTGGCTGTGTGATTGCGTAGATACGCGATAGTGGGCGTAGCAGTGGATTTCGGAGAACGACCGTATTGGCTTATCGATGATAGGAACAAGACGCACGGGCCGAAAACGGCTTAACCGGCAATCAGTGATTGATTAAACGGTCGTCGATGTTGATAAACTTATTTTCGACTGCTGCAGCAGCTATCGACTGGATCGAGTCGTTGAAGTGGTCTAGTTCGCCAGGGTCTTTCAAGTCATCGTCGTTGGGGTGAGTGGCTGGGTCACTTCGTATTTGTGTTTGTAGTTCGCTTCTGAGATTGGAGTGATCCGAGTGGTCTTCGTAGTCTACAGTGTTGTTTGCATGGCACTTGTGAGTGTATGTAATAGTTATGCCTCCGATCAATAGGTCGTAGTTGAGATTTACTTTGGAGAAGCAGTTGTAGATTTTCAATTTGTTGCTGACTCGCTTGTGCTGTTTACTGCGGGATTTGCGTTGTTTGGTCTTATCCTGGCAACAAATGAACATCAACGACACTTTTTTGGTTTTGATTCCGCCCTTGTGGTAGTCTCTGATGGGGAACTTGTAGCCCGTGACCAAGCTTATGGGGTCAATATAGCGTTTTATTAGCTTTTTTGATATGCTGGAGTAGAACTCATTAGGATTGGTCTGTTGATTTATTTCCGTTATAGTGTAAATGGGAAACTCGTCGTCATTTACACTCTCCATGAACTTGACGTTTGACAAGTCGGTATTTTTGTTCGTCTTCAAGATTTCTAAGTAGTTGTTGAACTTGTGGAATGTATTTGTGTGGAATTCGACCGAATGTTGATCCAAGGCTGGAAATTGTTTAACGATTTTTCGTTTATTCCGGCACTTACTACAGGTAGAGTACTTGAATAGTTCAAACTCTGTTTCGTCGAGCCGTTTTCCTCGACACCTGGAGCACTTTTTCACCGATTCCATGATTGACTCTGCATTACCTGTAGTTCTATATAGATTCTACGTACTTTTGATCTTCCATATCAACGTTTAGTACACGACTAAATATAATTTACTATTTTACATTATCTATAGAGCTATATAAGAATGAATGTAGATTGTAGATGATCAGAACCCCTGACGGAATACTAGCTCATGATCGACAATACATTGCTCAATTTTAAAATAAATTGGTTCTTCCATTCATCGACAAACATTGAAAGGTTTCTCATTGGAAGAATGGTCGTAGCACATGTGGTACTTGAAAGGTAGATGAGCAATGCACCGAGTCTAATTGAGTAGATATTGACGTTTAATTGAATTGGGAAATGGTGGAGTGGAAATCTGAGTATTGGATTGTGTTGATGAAAATATAGATGTAGCTGACATGTTCAGCGGTTTGTAAGACGATGGTGTAGGGACAAATAACATGCTTATTGTAAAAGCCACGTTGATGGCGAAGGGGATAAAAGGGTGTTTTGTATCAATGGATGTTGTTGATTCACTAATATCATTAGTTTTCCAAGTTCTTGACATTCGTTGAAATAGTGTGATAAATCAATATCAAAATCACCGAAGCAATACCAAATATTAATACAATCGTATTTAATTGATCATCTGTAATCATATTTGCCTTTATAATCTATATTATTATCGTACTAGAACTGTTATCTTGAACAAGTAGTAGAAGAAGTAATTACGTGGTAATAAAAAAAGGTGCGATAAATTATCGTGCTTAATTTTTCAATTAGTAACTTGCCTATTTAGTACCTAGTATGAAACCACCACCAAGATCACTCGAAGAATGGTTATATAGGGCTTTAATGGAGTCACCGAGATTCCATCATTATGTTCGCCGAGTTCATGCTAAGATTAATAGGATTCCAATACACGAGGAGGTTCATAAGACGATGGAAGCTGGAGACTATGTACCCACGAGAGCTCACAAGTTTAATGCATTTAGAATAATATGGTTTGATGAATTCAAGAGATCATTTGGCTTTGGAAAACGCTAAGAACGAGACACTTAAGCTAATATATAAAATGGCCTTGCTGTCCCATAATCGACCAGCAACTAATAATATGCCAGTTTGATAGAGAAATCTTGTGCAAAGAAGAGTAATGAATACTGAATAAGACTATGTAAATCAAGAAGAGGACAAGAAGAGGACAAGAAGAGGACAAGAAGAGTAATGGATACTGAATAAGACTATGTAAATCAAGAAGAGGACAAGAAGAGGACAAGAAGCATATGAAATCACCATAATGATTATATCTCTGCTTGCAGCTAGTTAATGACGATTAATGCACATAAGTATTTATTAACTATATATATATATACTAATAATTATTGACAATGTTATCTCTGGAGAATAACGAACTCTTGTTGGCTTTACGGAAGTTCTTCTTATTTGCCATTGACACATCGTCTTGTAAAGCAATGATAACATCTGAGTTGGAACCGAATTTAAAATTATCGGCGATAACATTCTGGTCATATCTTTTGATCAAGTATGGTTGATCATCCTTACCCGAGTTGTTACTCAAGACCTTCTTTAATGACCATGATATAATATATGGACCAGTGGATGTGACAATTGTAGTTTCCTTTGAATCAATACCGGTATTAAAATATGCTTTGGTGAATTGTAATGGTTTGCCCTCTGTTTTCATGGACATATATGCAACATGCTCGGGTTTGATCGTTAATCTTCTTGGTTTAGGCTTCTTATCTTTGTCAAAGGATTTAACGTATCCGAGGCTTCCTTCGTTTCGCTGGCTAGCTCCAACTTTAGCATCAACCAATAATAAATATGTTTTACAAGTAGCCAAAATCCATCTTCCATCATTTGAAACATCGATTCCTATGATAGCTTCACCCAAAGATGGCAACAAACTTTTCGCATTTGTACCCAATCTATCGAACAACCTAATGTCACCCTTTGCTGAACCGACTGCAAGGTATCCTTGTTCAGTAGTAGAAAGAGCCAGGAAATTATAATTAGGAGTTCTAAGGTTGTCATCTCCTTGAACTAATTTGGTTGTTGGTAATCTTGGATCTACTTTGAACAACTTATTTCTTGACATACCAGTTAATGTTTGTTCATTAGTTAACTGAGAGAATTTGCTGTTTGGACCGTACGATTCAATAGGTATGATATCGTCCACTTCCCATTCATCAACAATTTTTCCTCTGTTTAAATCCATTTTATAGAGTCGTTTATCATCCATATCCTTATTAGACATGACCATATATTGATCTTGCATGTGCAACATTACTTGTTCAGGAGTAAACCTTTTACCATCCAAAGTTTTTAAATTAGAAATGGTAGTTTGATAATTCAAATTGTTATTATTATTATTGAAAACTCCTAATTTATCACCCCTTACAACGTATGATCTATCATTGGCGTAACCGACTGATAAATTTGAATTTTTATCTTGTTCACGTTTGAAGGCGTCTAATTGTTTCTCTTCATCGTAATCACCATATTCATCATCATCATCAACTTCATATTTATGATGAGGCTTGGTCGTTTCACCACGTATATTTTTGTTAACTAATTTGTTGATCGCATCTTCGTCATCACTATAATCATTATCAATTAGCATATCGTCGTCACTCATTTCATTAATCTCTTTTTTATCATCTTCTGTAAGATCTTCATCGTCGATCGCGAGTTTGGAGAATGCATCGAGGACGTAGTTCTGTTCAGAAGGACGGCTTTTATTCCATTTGATCTTATTTAAGGATTCCCACATGGCCTTCATGAAGCTGGCCTGAAACTCTTGTAATTCATTAAAATGAGAAAACTTTAATAACCAAGAATATGCTAATGTTTGGGTTTCCGATTTTTGAATAAAGTGATTGAATATGAATGATAAATACTCAAAATTGAAGGTGGGGTTCATGTCTGCACTGAGAATACATTCGAAATTAATTGGTTTCGACTTCTGACTACTCAATAAACGCAAGGAATACGTCCAATTTTCCAACTCAACAATCTTGAGGTTCAACTCTGGCTTCTTTACTTGAAGATTAAAAACGCCCGCATCAGAATCAAATAAATGCAAATCAAAGTTCGAGCATTCATAGAGTAAATTCCCCGTATTCAAGGCTTCTTTTTCTGACGAAAATGCAGAAGGGATACCAGCGACATTAGTCGATTTAACAGGCGACCTTTCAGCCTTTCCACTAGATTTGATCGTCGCGCTGGGAGTGGTACGCGATTCAGCATCATGGAATTCGTCCGTCGATGATACTGACTGATAATCGTCCCCAGTATCGACATCTTCTGATGCCTCGTCGTCCTCATAGTTCAGAAAATCACCTCTGAGGTCATCAAATGTCAACAATTCGGATTTAGGATTGTAAGTGAATTCCTGCAATTGACTCATATTAGTAATACTGAGAGAACTCTTATGATACTTCAGTTCAAATAAACACTTGTACAATGCAAACATAAACGAATCGAACTCGGTCAACTTAATATCGCTGTCCACGGTAAATTCGAATCTATCGCCCAAATCCCCATTTAAATCCTTCCACGCCAATGTCTTACTCCCATCCGCCTTGTCGTAAGAATGGATTTTCAAATCCTCCAGAACGAAAAAACTCCATTCATCTTTCGAATGTCCGCCTGCGTTAGCATCGCTAATTGAATGGGGCGTATCGTGATCGTCCTCATCGGAGTCATCTGAATCATCAAATCCACTTGATCCATGAGCATCTAGCTCTCCCTCTTGATATACCCTTGTTATGCATAGTTGGTAATAAAATGGAGTGGTTGTCTGTCTGATCGAAGCAAAAGCATCATTATATAAGCATTCTAACTCTCCCTTAGGTGATTGCGGTGATCTTGCAAGAAATAACCTCCCAGATGGAATCAGGGCAACTTCGTCTGTAGGAGTTGATCCTAAGAATTTTTTTAAAAAGTTCATCTAATTCTTGGGCTTCAAACTTATTATATCCTAGTATTATATGGCAAAATGTATTCAATATTAATACTAATTATCGTCTTTGTTATGTTATCTTCCTTCTAATCATCATATAAGTTTTGTGTGGCGCACTTTCAAATTTTTCTGATTAAATTTTTTTGTTAGTAGAAATTTTTCAAGTTTGTACAGCCATAAATAGTGAATAGAGATCGACAAATAAGCATATAGAAGGTGATGTTTAGGGTATTAATTCCATTGAGGAAGCTTGTGCCGGGAAATGGGAGGTTTACGGGTGGAATAGCAAGAATACAGGCATATTCCACCAAGAAAGATAAATCGATAGAGATATTTAAGACCAAGATACAGCAGAGGGAAAAGGAAGCCCAGCAGAAATTGCCCGAATGGACCAAGAGGGATGAAGCCATACGGAATAGGTACGGTGAGTGGAATCCCACGCATCGGTTGTCACGCCAGCAGATCCAGGATATACGGAATATCAAAGACAAGATGCCGCATATGAAGACGATCGAGCTCGCAAACCATTTCAAGATATCGCCAGAGGCGATCAGAAGAATATTGAAATCAACGTGGGTGCCCAGCGATTCGGAGGAGGAACGCATTCGTCTTCGGGGCGAAAAGCGTAAAGACGAGAGCCTTGTCCACAAGAAAGAGATGATGAACGATATTGAACTTGCCAGGAAGCGTCTTACCTACGGGAAGAGTGTGACAATGGGAGGGATAAACGTGCCGAGATCTGGAGGAAGAAAGGGCAAGAATTTGAAAAATACCTTCAGCACCAATGGTAAGGTCAACTTCGATAGCAGTAACAGCCACGGGTATTATAACAGGAAGGGCAAAACTAAGGCATTTAAAAGGAAACCATACGTTGAAAACGTAGGGGACATCATAGATTAATTCACAGCACATAATGATTAATGAGAACGCATGTATATATTGTAAATAGCAAGTCATTTAAAAACAGTTATCACCCAGTTGCAGGGTATATTAGCTTTCATCAGTATCTTGTAGAATACGTAACGTAAGCATATTTATTCTTTTTAGCTCTATTAAATTTACTATACAATTATGCAATTACCATCCTTTCATATCGAGACAATAGCCACAAAACATAATCTATGAATAACGGGGCGCTTTCCCGTGAACAGTAGACCATTAAATCTACAGCATGGCACACCGTAGGTAATCGGAATGTCAATCCCCTCTCCAAAAAATACATCTGCAACAGCAGTCTCTCATAATACGAATGAATCAATATTTTGGCGATCCTTCCTTTGCGGCACTTGGGGTCTCTTTTCTCATGACTTGACCTTCCCCAGCATTGGTGACAATGTCCTTTGATATAACATCCATTTGTCTGGCTGAATCGGAACTCACATTCTCTCACCATCTTCACTAAAGCTGCCTTATCAATTTCATTGCTACCTCCTGTTGATTTATATACAAGATTTTCTGGAGAAATATTACCGTATTCTAAATACTGCTGAATCTTAACCTCTGCTTCTTTATTCCAAGGAAAAATCTCCCGTTTTGTCAAACATCCATCCATTAATTCTCTATTCCTATAGTCGACAAGCTTGAGCATTTTTTTTCATCATGATATCACTAATATTTGGCAGCAGAAGCTCTTCGTGGATCTTGGAACATGCATTCTTATTTGAGAATAAAAGCAACATTACATGGGCTTCTAGAAGCGGAGTTAGCTCGCACCATCCAGTTTTACTCTTTGCCCCATGGTGGGAACCTAGCTTGTTCGCATATTCGTCTGATAATAGAGATCACTTGCACACGTCCAGCTCTTACACAAGCCGCTTGTCGACAACCGTTGAAAAGAATACCTTGCTATAGCACCCTACCGATTTCAAAATGGACATATAATTTTCCCTGAGCCCAAACAAAGTTAAGATATTGTAATCACATTCCCACAACTGTTTCTTTACTTCATCTTCTTGTTCAACTTCCAATTCTTCTTCCCCCATCTCTTCGTCGTCATTAATTTCTTTTATTTCTTCCTCTTTTGGATCCACCTCTAATTTACCACTATTGCAAAGGGTACATGCAGAACATCTTAACGACAAACAATTTTGCTCTATTGTTTGGTTCAGTTCGTCAGTTAACACCTTCTTCACATTAAATTCTTCTGTAATATCTATTAACTGAAAATTTTCATGTATATCTAAATGCTTATCCATCTCTCCATGCAAAGGTTTTTCTTTTCTAGATCATCAAAAAACCTCTGCACAACATATTCGACCATTGATGCCCTTTTCATATTCTTAATCAAATAAATAAGCCAAATAGTGTATGTGGTAGTCAGGATCCTTCAAAGATTTAAATTTCGAGCAGAGTAAGGTAAGCGAGATATTCAATATATTATATCTCATACTATGAGCCATGCATATTTATGGACAAGACCATTCAACAAGGGCTAGATAGAGTATTATAAAATAATGGGCCGTATATGACCCATAAATTGACAGCCCTACGTCTGATATTAGAGTAAATCCTTCGTTTATTGGTGCAGATTATAATTTTGCAATCTACTGAGACACCTAAAATGCTTCGTTTTAAATAGTCAAGTTTGCAAATTTGACATATTAAGCAGGACAGAAAATATCCCAACATGAAAGAACCATATATATCCTTTATATCAATGATACAACACAATTTGGTACCTCTAAATAGTAGATCAGATTTAGTTTTGGTATACCATACCTGTATATAGACAAATACAGAAGAAGCCGAGGCTACTCCACTAAATGATATCAATTCCATACACCTTGTAGTTGTTAGGGATAGAGGTTGAAATAGATATAATAAACGATATACCATGTCAAGTATCCCAGTACTCACCATACCAGAGTCGGCATATGATCCAAGCACGTATACTTTATCGCCACACCAATATAGTGGGCGTAAATCCAAATTATTCGCATACTTGATTAGATTGACGCATGGTTCAGCCATTACGTTGACATTGGCGTATATAATAGGATTATTTGTTCTTAAACCGTTGTTAAATACTACAGCTAGTCGTCGTTATGAATTGCTTGAACAATTTCGGGGTAAACTTCGAGATTGTTATTTGAACTTGATTAGTAGGGTTAGTCACATACCCATAGTGGCCATAAACAAGAATGATGGAAGTGGAAAGTTATATGCCGACGCTATTTGCCAAACAACCGACTCATATTTGGATTCCACTTGCTACAAGAGTATAAATGAACAAGAAGAAGAATTGAATAAGAAGGATAAGTTATTCCAAGGCAGATTAACCACCAGATTGGCGAGATTATCAGAAGTGTTGAAGAATTGTGAAGCCTATCGTTCAGAGGAGATACCAAGCTACAAAACAGTCAATTTTGCGTTGAAAGATCTTCAGAATAAGGCAGATTTGACGTATTTCAACTCCAATGAGTTATTTACCGCAACGGCGAATGACACCGATTCGTCAAGTGGATCTGCACCTAGGAAGAGAAACTTAACGGTGGATACCAAGAATGAAATAAGAAGCATTAAGGGTTTATTTATGAGTGGTCAAATATAAGGACTTTCCTCCGTTAATTGGGAATTTTCACTTCATCGTTTCTGTCAGACTAGAATTCTTGTGCTAATTTTTTGCAGAATTGAAAGTTTTTGATGGCATCATGAACTTATGACCTTGTATTTACAATAAGGTATCTATATAGCTTAAGAACAAGAAGAAGAGTAATAGTAATTATTCATGTAGGGCAATAATATCAATCTGCTTCGCGTGATTTTGTGTAAGCTGATGTCCAATATTGAAGATATCTAGAAAATGTAGATTTTAATGAAGTAGACCATACTATCGACCCCTAATTGTAAACATAGAGACATGCCTCCCGTGATACACGATAGTGAAGATGATGAAAGATATTCTGAAGCAGATTCATCCGCAATAGCTTTAGATCAAGATGAGGAAGCTGGTGAGCAATATAATAATCTTAACTATGCCAAAGACCAGGACTCAGACTTATCATCAGTGTTGAGTGACGATAACGACGGCGACGATAAGCAAGATGGTGATGAAGAAGAAAATGAAGAAGAGGAAGAAGAAGAGGAAGAGGATGCTGAAGAACAAGAACAAGAATCGAGTGATTTAGATGAAGCTGTTGAGGATGACACTAAGGTTCCAGCAGACGATGAAGGCGGAGAAGAAGAGGAAGAAGAAGACGAGGGCGATTTGGAAGACCTAGATGAAGAAGAAGAGGAAGAAGAAGAGGAGGAAGAAGAAGATATCCCAAGTATTAGTGATGAAGAAGATAATTACAAATTGGAAGATCTCGATGAGATTGACGATGACTTAGAATTGAGGGAGGAAGAAGAAGAGGAAATTCCTAAGCTGGTGTCTCCTGCAAAGGTTGGTGCCAGAACATCGAACAGATTGAAACACGATACAGTTCCAGCAACAACAAGAGAAACCAGAAAACGCCAATTGACGCTTTACGATGAAGAAGACGAAGACGAATACGAGGATGAATACGAAGATACGCCTAAAAGACTGAAATCTGCCAGGAAAAGTCGCCGTGGACCTGAGCCTGAAGCACAACCTCAAGACCTCGACGAGGATTTGATACTAACAGACGAAGAAGTGGAGTACAACCCGCGTGCCAACCCAGACTTATCCAAGATGACAGAAAGACAAAGGTCCCGGTACATGGAAGAAGAGATCGACACCAAAAAGGAATTCCTTGAGTTGGACGACAATATGAATAATACAAAGAAGGCTAGGCCAAAGAAGACCGAAACAGAACAACAGATCGCCCTTAAAAAAGCCGAAAGCGCCAGAAGAAGGCAGGACTACAAGATGAAGGTTCTAGAGGAAGAAAAGAGAGATACTTTGAACAAGTTATTGAAGAGAAGAGCCACCAAAACTAGGGAAGTTGATGATAAAGAAGGTAGTGCGGATATATTCAAACTGGCATTAAAGCCAAGACGACCCATCTTGGACCATCCGGCCTTATTCAAATGGGTCTCTAACACTACCACCCTTGATGGGAACTCAGTTTTACGTTTCCCAGCTTCTAATTAGTGTATTTATATAGATAGGCGTATTGTATATCGGAAAAGACCCCGAATCACGTGTAGACAATAACAACCTTCGCTGAAAATTAATGCCAGGGCCCTTCTTCAGTGTTCAAGATATGGAAAAGAAGCAGTAACATCGTCGGTTTTGATTTAAAACGTATTTTGAGCAACAGTAACTTAACAGAGAAGATACTTCTATCGACGTTGGTACAAAATAAACAGAAAAATCCCTGGATATTGTTGGAACAGATCGAAATAGAAGCGATTGATAAGAATTTGAGAGAAGAAAGTTCAATTTTTTCAACGCAGAATACATTTGAATATTGCCCATATAATATACCAAATTAGAATCCGATCGAGTCAGAGACATAGCATAAACAAAGCACATGAGGTAGCATGAACGGAAATCTGAATATGAATGTAATGAACATGCCAGGGATGAACATGAATATGGCTGGCATGAATAATAATAACAACAATAATCAGGCAATGGCAGCAATGATGCAGAATCAGAACTTTGGTAATCCGTTAATGCAGCAGCCTCAGATACAACAGCAACAGGCACCACCACAGCAAGGTGTTTCCCAGAGACCTGGGATGCATCGAGCAGCTACGATTCAACAGGGGAATCCAGTGACAGGACAAGCACCTATGACGAAAATGGGACAATTCAGCCCAAATGGAGTAGTATCGGGGCCCAATTCTGCTCCTATTCCAGGAACCTCCAACAACTCAGCCGGTACATCTCAAGGACATACTCCTCAGATGGGCAATCAGGCGCAACCTCCTTTGCAAGGACAATTTCCACCCCAATACCCTCAACAACCAGTACAACCAGGACAAAAAATGAATGGAGGGCCTATTCCCAATAATGTTACGCCAATAGTGCCGCAGCAACAACAACCAACTCCGCAAAGCCAACCACGTCCAGGAATGCCTCAGCAAAAACAAAATATCCCAATGCAAGGTCAAATACCAGGAGGCCAATTGCACTCTCCAATGCAAAAACAGCCAATTTCAAATAGTCCACAGTTCTTCAGAAATCAAGAACAAGAACAGATGCAAAATGAATTGAATGCAAAAATTTTTAAACGAAATTTGGGTAATGCTGGGGTGATTCGTATTTTGAATCTAATTGATCAAATAAGTAATGAATCATATGATAACTTGTCCAAACTAGGCTTCTGGCAAAAGGTTATACAACTTTATTGTGTTCCTACTTGTACTATGAGATTAACTACTGCACCATCTTCCTCCAAGTATATTCATACCAATAACAAACCAACTAATGATAAGTTCACTTTGGACCCAGAACAAAATAGAATACCTCGCCAATTTGAATTAAATACGTTGACTGCACCAAGGTTTTTTTTAGCTCAAATATTATCAGGTCAAGTTTCTAAACTATCTATTACTTTGCCAGGTTTAAAGTTTCAGGTAATGAACAATAGTTCAATTTTCATTATATCTCGATTGTCTATACAATATAATTACGTAGATGGTTCGGTTTCCACCGTTACAGGTACGTTTAAAATGTTGATGAATAGAGAATTTCGTATTGAATGGATTGACTGTCAATGTTTAAATATTCAAAGTTCAATCGGATTTGAAGCCTTAGAAAAGCAATGGGCAAATTTTTCCCAATCTCAATCAGAGAATGACAAAAAGGAGGATGGTAAAAGTCAACAGGAGTTCTTTAACTATTTGCACCAATCTTCAAGCGCTACATCATTGTCTGATACTTGCGGGTTACATGAAGATGCATTTAGAGTCTTGCAAGTTGGAGACGTGATGTCACATCTTAGAGCATTAATGGGATTTTCGACAGCAAATAATGTTGGTTCACCAATGAAGGCATTAGAACTTTTTATGACCACCAATAACAACCAGCAGCAGCAGAATATACAACCCCAAAATAAGATGAATCCTAATGAGCCTACTAAGAATGGTGCATCACCATCTCCAAATATGAATACGTGAAGTTTGGATTGTAACCTAAATTAACGTAGCTGGTCTCGGTATTCTCCACAAGTCATATTAATATATCGGAAGAGGACTTTTGTATTTTTAAAACCATCCTAATAAGAAAATAGATATTTTCATATAAAACTTAACTCTATTGGTTATGATATATATATATATATAATGTATAATATTACACACTATACTTGATAAAGATACATAAATGCATTCAATAAAGTATTTCGCGTGAAAGTAGTTTGGAAAATATTTAGAGGTGCTTTTTTATCTTGACAATCTACAGAATAAGCCAGCCTTGCATAGCTTCTAAATGATGCTAGATTTAGTATCTATATGACAGATATGAAAGATTTTAAAGAAGTGAATAATAACAAAAATCCCTCCACTGAGTCTGATGGTAATATAAAAATGGACGTAGATCTACATGGCAAGGTCACCAATGATAATAATACGGTAAATCCATTGATCAGTCCTGAAACACAGTCGTTTGCTAGCATATCGATGGAAAAACATAATAAGCATGAAGAGGATATTCAAATGGAAATACATGACGAATATTGTAACGATGACCCTGGCCTATTTCATGATGCAAATGGCGATCTGAACTCCACTAATTTAACTCACGACAATTACGTGGATAACCAAAGTGATGCTGTGACACAAAAGATCGAAGAGAAAGAAGAACAAGAAGATTATGAAGAAGTAAATGAAGAGGAGAAAATTATTGAGTCTCAAGATGACAATCTGTTAGACGAAGAAACGGGAAGAAGGAGATTGGATTCAAAAATATTCGAAAACATCCCTCTATTTGAAGTAATCAGACCAAAGAGCTTGAAAGAATTTATTGGTCAAACGCATTTAATTAATAATCATAATGGGACGATTAAAAATTTTATACGATTGGGATATTTACCTTCCATGATATTACACGGCCCTCCAGGTGTTGGTAAAACATCTATTGCCTCAATTCTAGCTCAGGAGACTGGCTATATATTCGTTGAGTTTTCAGCAACTGATGCTACTGTAAGTGACCTAAAAGAGTTACTGACAACAATTGAGAAGGAAAATCGGAAAAGGTCTAAGAAGGATATGCATTACCTCCGCGTTGTTGTATTTATTGACGAGATTCATCGGTTTACGAAAACTCAGCAAGATTTTTTATTACCGTTTATCGAACTGGGAGTATTTACTTTTATTGGCGCAACAACGTTAAATCCTGAGACACGTATCCGTAGAGCTATTATTTCCCGTTGTCAAATATTTCAATTGAATGCCTTAGAATCCTATGAAATTGATATTGTGATACATAAAGCCATCTTATATGAAAATATCAGAAGAAGAGTATTGCGTAATTTAAGATCTCTTTCTTATGATGATGAATGTTTGAATTTACTAGTAAGACAATCGAATGGTGATACAAGAGCCGCTGTTAATTTAGTTGAATTGGTAAGCACGCATTATAATATACACGATCTTGTATACGAACTTGGAAAACATGAATCGTTCGTAATAGACTTCATTACTTTGAAAAAAGCTATTGAAAGCCTCAAAATAAATCTTTCCGGTCTTCAAGATACCAAAAATTTAGGCTTGTTCCTAAATTTATATGATTCAATGAGACATATTAAGAAGAGTAGAACTATAGAATTAAACGCTCCAGAAAAGAATCACGATAATTCAAATTTAGAAATAAATAAACTTGCTACCTCTTCTCCCAAATCTGTATCTGGTACATGGATGCTGAATAAAATGGATAGAGAAAATAATAATACGGAGCAGGTTAAGCATTTGGATATCAACAGAGATAATTCTTATTTGGATGCAAAGAATAAGGCTAGAGCAGTGATTTATAAATCAGAGAGAAATTCATTGGTAATGAAAATTACTATTCCTAGTAAATTACTAGGTATGTTTGTGAAGACCGACAAAGAGGCACTAAATCTGGTCGATTCTAGTGATTACGATGAAGAATTCAGGAGTTTTCATCACGGCGCACTGAAATATAACGATTTGGAAAAATCGTATATCGCTCAAATGGAAGTATCTGATGATAGCGATGTAGAGGCTGACCCGCTATATTTTGATCAAGAGGATGATATAGAACCAATAGATATGGGAAAGATAACTTTGACCAAGTACTTCGTTTTGTCTTCGATTTATTCGTTGATTATGCTTTTGAATAGAGGAGAGACCCCATTTTTTATTGGAAAGCAATTAATTTTATTCACAGCCATATACTTGAAATCTGATAACTCAGATATGGGAAAGACAATGGCCCTGTTGAAATCATTTAAAAATTCTAATACGGATATGTTGACTACTTTATCAAATTGTGTTGTACGACTCACCAGAGCTGAAAAATTAAACCTTTCAGAATCCCGTAGTTTCATCCAGGAATTGAAATACATAAAAAGTTACTGCTACCTGGAATTACAAAAGCAAAATAAGAAGAATGGAAATCATATTGGTGCTCTTAATGACGATGCAGTAGAAGTGGTATACGACTCAAAGCTCGTTGAAGACTTATTGAAGCCAGCTGACGAAATTCCAAACAGGACATCGAAACCAATTTTTGAAATAGAAAGCTTAGATACTTTCAAAGATGTGAATAAGGAGTTGTGCATGCAAATACCACAGGACATTGGTGATAATGATGATGGGAGTTTAGAAAATTTAAATTGGACTATGATCGATATCACTGCAAGTTCACTATCTGAATCGAATATGGGTGGATTAGAAGTACGAGATCGTCCGCCTGTTCAGATAAATCAACACGATTCAAATTCTGATGATAGTGATGCCAATGAAACTAATCTATCGCTAATCAAGAACCCTGAAACACAACTGGAATAATAAAAATGTAGTCGCAAGGTTTGTTTGTGGTTTTTGCAATCGTTTTTAATTATATATTTCTTTAGCTCAATAAGAGTACTAAATAATGTCATACCAAGACCCGATAATAACAAAGAAAAGTAAAGAGGAAAAGTCTGATTTGGCGTTTGATGACGAACCTCCTGGTGACTATATTCAAAATGCATTTTCTTCGATGTTTAAGTATATATTCATCATCGCGGGCTCATTAATTAATTCTGTTGCCAAATGCCTTATTATTAACGTGATAGTTTTATTCGGCGTTAGAGATAGAGTTAAAAAGTCCATTGATGACGTTTTGAATATACAACTCAGTATAATCGAAGTTATAATATTCGGTAATATTTTTCTTTTTCGTTTACTATGTAAAATAACTGGAACAAGAATGAAGAAACCTGATGGTTCTGATGATAAATATGATACCAGAGGATATTTGAGATATAGTGAGATACATCGCCAGTACTGGAGCCATATGGATATCACATACAAAGATGATGAGAATGCTTACTCGGTTTCTACAAATGTAAAACCAATAACAAAATTCTTTGATATAACGAACGACAAAGCGCTTCCAGGTAACAACATAAGACAAGATCGCCCATTCGAACCGAATATTAATAATGAGAATGGTGAAAATGAATTGTCTACAACGGATGGTGAAGTTCATAAGAGGTACTTTTCATTTTATAGAAAACAGAAAAAAGTAGGAGATTCACAATCACTTGCATCTTAAGCAATCAGTTATTATTGAATAATATATAAATGCGATATTGATTTAGAACAATATATTCCTTAACCTATATTGACTAACGTTTATAGAGAACAGGAAATAATTAATATAGTATATAAAATTTTTTTATGAAAATGCTATATTACAGATTAAACTTCTACTCCAGTAAAATACGAAGCATGATGCCGAATTATAAAATGAAACTAATAAATTAATCAGTGCTTTCAGTTTGATCAACCGGAGTTGAATCTTCGTTCACGTTAACACTTTTGTCTTCATGTTCAGCTTCATGATGGTGCCCATGGTCATCATCATTATTTTCTTCATCATCTCCTTCTCCTAATGCAGCAAAAATATTAGCATTCGATTGAATTGATTCGGTTCTCTTCGAGTTTTCTCTAGGAGATAAATGACTGGCTGCTTGTTCTGAAGCGTTGTTTGGTCTATTAGATTGCGATCTTGAAGATTGCACTGAGGTAAATCCACGCGAGTCTTTAGTTGGAGCTCTTGGTTCAGATTTCTTTGATTGGTTACCCCAGGATGAGCCACCTCTAGAAGAATTAGATCTCGAATCATTGGACTTGTTCTTTCTTCTTCTTTCAGCAGCTGCTTTTTCGTCTTCTAACTTCTTGATCTCTGCATCATTGTGAATCTCTTGAATAGTCTTAGGACCTGCTTCTTCTTTAGCAGATTTCCATTTAGCAGATCTTAAATCTTGTAAGTCCATCAACATAAATTTAATTCTTGATGAAAGTTTACAATTGTCTAAGATGGTTTGAATGTTATCAAAAACAAAATTCAAAACAGCTCTATTTTTGTCAGTGGTTTCTAATCTAGCACCAACAGTATTAACCAATTGAGTCAAGTTTTCTAAACTATCTTCCGATGGATCCTTAGTATTACTTGATTGATCTCTCAAACAGAGTAAGATGACTTGGTCATTCAACATATTCAAGATATATAAGTGACCAATGAATTTAACCAAACCAAGACCTCTTCTCTTGGCAGCAGCCATAATATAGTATTCATCAGACATCATTTCAGGTTCTAATGGAGTACCATCTTCATTTGTTGGTAACTTGTCAGTCCATCCCTTTTCATATTCTGTTTGACAGGTTGTCAATAAAATTCTTCTGGCTAAATCACCACCCTTAGCAAATTCACCATTCTTAAGGCAAATATTCACATCCTTAATTTCATCACTCATTTGAGTACACATCTTGGCACAGAATTGAGCATACATAGAGGACCAATATGGTTCATCACAAGCCTTAGCGAATGTTAACGATATTATTTCTCTTACGGTTTTAGCATTATCTTCCCATTTAGATTGGTTAGCCAAGTTTAAGATTTCATCAGTAATTGGCTCAAACATTTCCAAGGTTAATTTATTCAATAATGATTTAACCTTTCTTTCAATTTCCTCACTCTCCAAGATTTCTGATCCATCTGGTGCAAGTTTAGCTTCAGTCTTCTTAGCCTTCGATCTTGGAACCCATCTGTTGGCTGATTTTTCTAATGGTTTAACGTCTTCAGCTGGCTTGTCATCGTGGTAATCTCTATCTCTACCACCTCTCTTAGATTGGTTACCCTTTCTTGTAGATTTATCTCTTGGGCCACCACTTCCACCTCTTCTCTTAGAGCCGCTTCTTGAATTAGTTCTTCCGTCATTAAATTGACCTCTTCCGGACATTGGGCCATTAAATCTACCTGACATTGAGTTGCCAAATTTATTCATGCCTCTTGAAGATTGCGATCCAGCACCTCTCTTGTTAACAGTCGATACGATACCTAAATTCTCTAATTTAGATTTCCATTCATTGTCAAGTGGGAATTGTAATACATCACGGAATTGAATTAAGAATTGAGGGTCGTATCTATATTTCTTAGTTTCTGATTTCCACTTTGAATCGACACCTACAAATGGACTTGGATAAGTTACAGCAAATGGGTCATCAATATCTGAGCTGGTGTGTAATTTTTCAAAGAATTGAGAAATGGTTGGTCCTTCATCTTTAGGCTCAGTTTCTTCGGTTTCCAATGCTTTAGATTCAGAATCCTCAGTGTCCTTGATATCGTCTTTCGATTCTTCGTCGTCTTTTGCTTCAGAATCACCAACAACTGCTTCTACTGGTTCTTTTGGTTCTTCCGTAATTAAATCACCTGATTTTTGGACTGGTTCTTCCTTTGGTTCTTCGATCTTAGCCTCTTGTTGTGTAGTACTTGGTTCTTCGATATTTGAAATGCCAACCTTTGGTTCTTCCACCTTTGGCTCTTCTACCTTTGGCTCGTCCACCTTTGGTTCTTCCACTTTTGGTTGTTCCACTTTTGGAGTTTCTTCCATAGCAGTTTCTGCTACTGGGGCTGTAACCTTTGGAGCTTCTTCCTTAGCAGTTTCTGCCACTGAAGTTGAAGCCTTTGGAGCCTCTTCCTTATGAGCTTCAGCCACAGGGGTTGCAACGTTTGGAGCCTCAGTCTTTGGAATTGTAGCCTTTGGAGCTTCAGCCTTAGGTTCTTCCTTCTTCTGTGCCGTTGACGCCTTAGCAGCTCTTTCCAAAATCTTTCTCTTGAACTCCTCTGCGACCGATAATTTACCGGTGCTGGCAGCAGGTTGAGGTGAGGCGGTGGTTGGCGAAGCGGTCGCCGACGAACTGGCAGCAGACGAAGTAGCAGGCGAGGTCGAACTGGACACCGATACCGGTTCCTTAGGCTTCTCTTCAGCAGCAGCGACGGACGCATACGAAGTCGCAGCCGGCACCACAGGCGATATGTGCGAAGTGACAGGAGATGCTGTTCCTTGTAAAGGAGACGAGATCGGCGTGTTGCTTGCGTTGGACAACTTCTTCTTTTCTTCTAAATCAATCTGCTTGCCCTCCTTGGTAGTGATCTTGACCTTTCCACCTGGCAATGGCGAGTATGGCGGTTGTTGAAACGACTGCATTGGAGGCATTCCCGGAACCATTGGGGCCGCGGCGTAGCCGTATGGCGATGGATAGTAGCCGTATGCATACATATTTGGTGGATAGCTGTTATAATTATTGTACTGGTTATTGTGGTTGATCTTCTGGTTGTACCCTTTTCTGTTGTTATAGTGCTGTCTGTTGCCACTGTTGTTGATGCTATTGCCATTATTGTTGCCATTGTAATTCTGTCTGTTATAATGCTTGTACGGCTTGTTGGCACCACCGGCATTGCCTGCGTTACCTGCGTATCCTCCGTAGCCCGCATTGCCCGTGTAGTATCCTTCTTGTGCTCCTGACGCCCCACTGGCCCCCTGATTCGACCCTTGGCTCACTCCCGCCGGACTATTTACTGGTGTCGACTGTTGACTGTCTGATCCACTGCTTCCCTCCGCCACTCCGGCATTATTCAAGCTGGGCGACGCTTCTGGTGCTTGTTTCTTATCACTCATCTCTACTTGTCGCCTGGTTTAACCTAAATGTTCCCTGTTCCTGTTTTTATTCCTCAAAAAACAATTCGGTCAATTCTTGGTATAATTAGACGATGATATCCTTTCTGGTTCCTATTAACCTAATATAGTCCCAATCAATGAATACCTGCTTTAAAATGTAAATACAATTATCTAGATCAATATATAATGATCTAATGTATAAAAATAATCCTAAGCTTATTAAAATCCCTCTAAATCGAAGTATTTCATTAACTTTTTGGAAGGGCGTAAAAAATTTTGCTGAGTGAAAAAAAAAATTGGTGAGTGCGCGTTGATACTTAGAGATGAATTTTACACGGACACTGTGTATATTGAGATACTAACTATTTGAAGAGTTGGCCATATACTAGTAAGCCGACAAGTAGGAGAACAAAGCCGTAGACCACGAGCGAGTCCTTAAAGGACTCGGTCTGGAAGCAATTTATGAGAATGATCGGCGGATCGGGGGTCGCAGGCGTGCCATCGGGAAGGGTGTTGGGAGGACTGGACGGCTGGGCACAGATATCCTGGCTGAGACAAAATTGTTTGGTGCAGTTGCCACAGCGGTCTATGGGCTGGACGATGGACACGTCGTTGCACAGACACTTGCAGTACTGTTGGTATGCGGCAGCAGAGGCCACGAGCGACCAGAGGGCTAGTTTTGTGGGGAGGTTCATGGTGTCGAGTAGAGGATTGGTTGTGGGACTTCGGTGCGATTTTGAGGGTACGAATCGGTGGGTGTTTGGATGTTATATTAGTATGGGTGCATGGGTGGGAGGTGGTTTTGCTTGTAGAGTTGTTTGTAGGTGTTTTTAGGGATGTTGAGGTGTGGATAGTAGTCTTTAGGTGTGATGGCCCTAGACAATATGACAGTGGATCTGAGTCTATCAGTATAAACGGTATAACAGGGCATGCCAGGGCATGCCAGGTATGGCCATGATGGATGGTGGGATGGAGTAGACTGTGTCCGACCATCTAATCGTGGATGACTATCTCTGATGATATACTACGGAATATATAAAGCCATTGACAAAGTAGAAAAGTCTTGTTGGAGAAATCTAGCAAATAAATTCATTGCAATCGACGTCCTGTGCCATGCACCCTACTCTAACCCATTGATGCCGAAAATCTCCCAAGCTACATTCACTGTCAACTCCTCATCATTAACTCTTTACCTTCCACTCTCAACATTCTCCCCATTCCATTCCTCACCACTCTAACCTTTCCACCCCATACAACCCAGCTACAACCCTGGCAATGGCTGAAAAATTCCCATACATAAATATTTTGGTCGGCGCACGGCTCGACCACCTCTGAAGGCAAAATGATAGCTACCGCTACTATCACCATACCCATCTTTATCATTCACTACCACCATGACAGTAGCAATGGGTAAGACATATGTTCACGAAGGAGGTATAAAGCCATACTTCGAACAGCAGATCCAAGATGCCGAAATTAAAATCCAAACCACCACTCAGAACTTGAGACGGTTGGAAGCACAACGTAACAAGTTGAACAATAAAGTTAGACAATTAAAAGATGAATTAAGATTATTACAAGAACCAGGATCATACGTCGGAGAAGTCGTTAAGGTGATGGGATTAAAGAAAGTTTTGGTCAAGATTCACCCCGAAGGTAAATACATTGTGAACATTTCCAAAGACATCGACATCAAGAAATTGACGCCATCGTTACGAGTATGCTTGAAGGCCGATTCGTACGATTTACACAAGATCTTACCCAACAAGGTTGATCCGTTGGTGTCATTGATGATGGTGGAAAAAGTTCCCGACTCCACATACGACATGGTTGGTGGTTTAGATAAACAGATCAAGGAAATCAAGGAAGTCATCGAGTTGCCAGTCAAACATCCCGAATTATTCGAAAGTTTGGGGATCGCCCAGCCGAAGGGTGTTATATTATATGGTCCACCGGGTACCGGTAAGACGTTATTGGCCAGATCAGTCGCCCACCACACAGAATGTAAGTTCATTAGGGTTTCTGGTTCAGAATTGGTCCAAAAATACATCGGTGAAGGGTCACGTATGGTTCGTGAATTATTCATCATGGCCAGAGAACATGCACCATCTATTATCTTCATGGATGAAATCGATTCCATCGGGTCTTCTCGTGTTGAAGGGTCATCTGGGGGTGATTCCGAAGTCCAAAGAACCATGTTGGAATTATTGAACCAATTGGACGGGTTCGAAAACTCAAAGGATATCAAGATCATCATGGCTACCAATAGATTGGATATCTTGGACCCTGCGCTTTTAAGACCCGGTAGAATCGACAGAAAAATTGAATTCCCGGCCCCTACCATCACCGCCAGAACTGACATTTTAAAGATTCACTCCAGATCCATGAACTTGACAAGAGGTATAAATTTAAGAAAAATCGCTGAAAAAATGAATGGCTGCTCCGGTGCTGACGTTAAGGGTGTCTGTACTGAGGCTGGTATGTATGCATTGAGAGAAAGAAGAATTCACATAACCCAAGAAGATTTCGAATTGGCGGTCGCCAAGGTTATGTCCAAGAATGATGAAGGTGCTGTTTCTTTAGCTAAATTATTTAAATAGATGTATCTATTCACTTATAATTAAAGAAAGATCGTTTAATATTCTTTGTAAGGGCAAATGGCTCATATAATTTAAAACCTCATTTTGATAACACGAAAGCGAAAAGCGATTTTTTTTTTAAGATACCAGTCTAACTATCTTGCAACCATAACTACAAAATTTTCCGACAGCAATATTTAAAATACTTGGTAGGGATGCATCATTGCACGTTATTTCTTATTCAAATACTATATTGTATCAGTTTGGCCGTTTGTTCAAATGATAGTAATAAATTGGTTGAGCGAATACAGTTCACCCATTCATTATTTTCCGGTGAAGGGCCGACTAATAATGTATTAGAACAGTATAATTCGATGGTTAAGGACTTAGAAAGCCAGTTGACTATTGAACAATCGGACTTGAAGGACCATTTGCCCCAACTTTATTTCAGAAAGGCTTTAATCGAAATCAATTTACATAAAGAAAGTTTGGCAATTCAAGATCTTAAGAGATGCTTGGATTTAGACCCGGTATTGAAACCGGCGAGAACTAAGTTGATTGATATACTATTGGAAAAAGGTGACTTTAGTACTTTGACAAGCTATATAACGAAAGAAGATCAGGAAGTTGGCAAAAAGATCGAGTTGGTTAAAACGGCATTTGCTAACGCCGAAAAAGCGTACAACAAAAAGGATTTTGCACAGTGTGCTCTGGAATTGGAAAATACGGTTATACCCATCACGCCTTCTAGCCCTAATGCATACCAACTTCACTTAAAGTGTATTGCGGAGATTTACAGTAAACTTGACGTAACAGAGAGCCAACAGCTGCCATCTAAGCTGATTATAAATGATTTGAATAAATTAATAAACCTTCAGCCAATGAGTACATTACTGTGGTATGAGTCTATGGCAAACTACTTGTTATTCACCGAAGTCCAATTTGAAAAGTCGTGGTTATTTGTGAAGAATTGCTTAAAGATTGATAACGATTTCAAAGGTTGCGGTCAGATTTCTAAGTTTTACGTTAAGTTCCAAAAGTTTTTGAGTGTTTTAGAGGAATATTCTATTAACAATGGTCATTACTACTTAGTGAATGATAATAACAACCAGAATAATCAAAACATTAATGAAGATTTGAATAAAGACGTTGATTTCAAGTTTGTCAATGATTTCCTTCTCCATGATGAAGTCAAGGTTTCGAAAATAGAAAAGAAGAAACTTCCTTCTTACATTAAAAATAATTATGATTACTTGTTATCTAAAGCGGCTGCCTTCGTACAAACTGAATTAGTGAATGATAAGGCATTTAAAACCTTGAGCTTTAAAATCGATTTGGATAGAATTTTATGTGAATCATTTATTCAATTAAATGACTTCAAGAAGGCTGTATCGTATTGCTCCAAAATTGAGGATACCGAAAGTCCATTTTTGCCAAAGTACATACCTGAAATCGACCAATTACTCGCCAAAAACAAATACGACGAAGCCAAACGTCTATTGGAAGGCTTTAATGCAAATGTCAGACGCTCAAAATTATTTAGAGATCGTTATGAAGTTATAGAGAGGTATATCAACCAGCAGCGTCAACAACAACAACAAAGACAAAGGCAGCAGCAGCAACAACAACAGAGACAATGGCAACAAAGACAGCAACAACAACGTCAAAGAGCTCCTCCAAATCGTAAGCCATCTACTGACTACTACAAAATCCTTGATATTTCTCGTGATGCAGATGAAAGAACCATCAAAAAGGCATACAGAACTCAAACATTAAAATACCACCCTGATAAGTATAAGGGTAACGATTTGACACCAGAGCAGATCGAAAACAAGATGCAAGATATCAACCAAGCCTACGAAGTATTGGCTGATAAAGAGTTACGAGAACGTTATGATAGAGGTGACGATCCTAATGATCCATTAGGTGGTCAAAGGCAACAACAACAACCATTTGGAGGTTCCCGTCCTTTCGGTGGAGGTGGCGGACAACAATTCCAGTTTAATTTTGGCCAAAATGATTTCATGAAGCAATTCATGAAACAGAAAGGTGGTTCAGGTGGCTTCGGTGGTTTTGGTTTCGGCGGTCAGAACCAACGTACATATGTAAAAAAGAATGCAAAGAAGAATAAATAGATTAGAATTAGTTATATAGAAGTTTTATTTGATCTACTGTGGGCTTAGTTTGCCCATAATATAAGGAAATTTTGTTATCAAATATTTTCTTAACTGAGGCTCCGAGCCAGGAAGCCGCAGATAGTTCTTGAGAAGCCAGTATAAATAGAGCACGCAGGCCAGTTTTTTTTATATATTCTACTCTAACCAATAGTGAACATGAAGTTTTCCTTGACTACATCGTTAGCTTTAGTAACGGCCATCAATGCATTGCCATTGACCAACATTTTCCCGCAATCGATTTTGAATTTACCAATCTTTAATGCAATTGATGATGAGCATACCAACTTAGATTACTTGTCTGAGTTAGAGGGAATTGTTTCAAGTATTAATGACGAAACTTTAGATGAAGGCAAGTATAAGGATTTGCCACTTATTGAAACCGAAAAGTTGCAAGAGTTAATAAATGAGAAGGGTTTAAGAAACAGAGCAGAAAAGTTGTACAACATTTCTCTCAATTCTGTCTCCGAATATGGTAACCCAACCAGAGTTATTGGTTCTCCAGGGCATTGGGGTACAATTCATTACATTATTAATGAATTGAAGAAATTGAAGGGGTACTATAAAGTTAGTACTCAAAAATTTGATGCAATTGATGGTAAAGTCAATTCGTTCTCTTTATTAATCGATGGGGTCGAGCCAAGATCATTGGAGCCATTGGGTTTGACACCTCCAACCCCAGACAAGAAGCCCGTCCATGGTAATTTAGTCTTGGTTGAAGAGTTTGGCTGTTCGTTAGAAAACTTCCCAAAATTCACGAAGGACAACATCGCTTTAATCAAGAGAGGTAACTGTGCGTTTGGTGACAAGTCTATCAATGCTGGTTTATCGGGTGCTTTAGGGGCTATTATCTATGATTCTGATGGCCCATTACATGGTACTTTAGGGACCCCAACCGGCAATGAGGTTGCTACCGTTTCTATTTCCGAAAAAGATGCTAAAGATTATATTGATGTCTTACTTAATGACCCTACGCACGTCTTTGAAGCGACTTTATATGTTGATTCATATGTCAAAAACATTACTACCTTAAATGTTATTGCAGAAAGTACCTACGGTGATCATGACAACGTTGTTTCCTTAGGTGGCCACTCAGACTCAGTTTCTGCTGGCCCAGGTATCAACGACGATGGTTCCGGTTCTATCTCTTTATTAGAGGTTGCAAAACACTTAACTAACTTCAGGATCAACAATGGTGTCACCTTCGCATGGTGGGCTGCCGAAGAGGAAGGTTTATTAGGTTCATATCACTATGCCAACACCTTGACTCCTGAACAAAACTCCAAGATTAGATTATTCATGGATTACGATATGATGGCATCTCCAAATTATGAATACCAAGTCTACGATGCCAACAACGAAGACCACCCTAACGGATCGGGTGACTTGAAGGACTTATATATCGATTGGTACACTAGCCATGGGTTAAACCATACCTTAGTTCCATTCGATGGTAGATCTGATTACGTTGGATTCATTGACCATGGTATCCCAGCCGGTGGTATTGCTACCGGAGCTGAGGGAATCAAAACCCCTGATGGCAAAGAAAAGTTCGGTGGTGAAATTGGAAAATGGTTTGATCCATGTTACCATCAATTATGTGATGATTTGAGTAACCCAAGTTACGAAGCTTGGATCATCAACACTAAATTGATCGCCCATTCTGTAGCAGTTTACGCTAATTCATTCAAAGATTTCCCAGAAAGAGAAGCCACTGTTACTACAACGTCTAACGACTTCAAATTCCGTGGATCCAAGCTTATCATTTAGATACAAATTTAGATACTATTTAGATATTGCAATATATAACGATGTGGGGACTTTTTCTGATATTCTGAACTTAATGTCCCCCAACTATGGAGTTAAAGAATTGAGGTTTTTCGTGGGGGTGTGGGGGATCTACACACCTCGATTCTCTTTCCGTATAAGTATTAAATTCACGTGCCTAAGTAGTATATTTGGTCGAAAGTAATTCGGCCTAAAGATCCCCCACACTCCACTATCTTTCGATTGATAAATTTCTCATATAAAAGACATGGATATATCAGACTTTTATACACATGTTTTTCAACAGGATAAAGAATATTACCGGATTAAAGTCATTAAATATCGCGAGAATGACAACTACAACTATAAAGCCAAAAGTTTTAAGAATAGGTGAAATCGATTTTGCTCACCAGAAGTGGAAGGAGTTATCTGACGTAGTCGAAGTGGTTAAATGTGAATCATCAAATAGAGAGGAATTTTTCAAAGATTTAAAAACCAAATACCTGGATATAACAAACATCACTAGAACATTTGGTAGTATTGATCAAACAGGTAGATTTGATGAAGAGTTAGTAAGCCATTTGCCAGAATCCGTTAAGGCCGTAAGTCATTGCGGTGCAGGGTACGATCAAATAGATGTGGAGCCATTTTCCAATAGAAAGATACAATTGTCGAATGTCACTACTCCCGTCGAAGCTCCTACTGCGGACGTCGCTGTCTTCTTAATTTTGTCTACTTTAAGAAACTTTCAGGTAGGACATGATTTAGCGGTGCAAGGAAAATGGCCTAGTGGGGGAAAATGCGCTGGTGCAGCGTTAGGACACGAACCTCTGAGCCAAACTGTTGGTATCTTCGGCATGGGTGGTATTGGAAGAGCAATTAGAGACAGATTAAAGCCTTTTGGATTCAAGAAAATCATCTATCACAATCGTAGTCAATTATCTCCTGAATTGGAAGGCGATGCATCCTACGTCTCTTTCGATCAATTATTGAGTGAGAGTGATGTCATTTGTATTAGTATTCCATTAAATGCCAAAACTAAGCATTCTATCAATGGGGACACTATCAGCCAAATGAAGGATGATGTCGTTATAGTTAACACTGCTAGAGGTGCCATTATCCACGAAGCCGAATTGCTCCAAAGCTTGAAATCCGGTAAAGTGGGAGCCTTTGGTTCCGATGTGTTTGAATTTGAACCAGAAGTTTCCCAGGAATTGCTCGACTTACCTAATGTAGTTAGTCTTCCACACATGGGTACTCATACTTACGAGTCTATTCAAAATATGGAAGAATTTGTTATCGCTAATGTTTTCAACCATTTGTACACTGGTAAAGTAAAGACCATCGTTCCGGAACAATACAATTTACAATTCGATGAAACCCCATTGCTTGAAAAAGCATCCGCTTGATCTCTCGATTATGACTAATCTACAAATTATATATTATATACAATAAATATAGACAAATCATTACGATGACGTTATAATCAAAATAATTCTAACTAGTTTTGTAATTCTCCGGTATCGGTTTTGCGATAATGACTGAATTCCGAACCGAAGTTTAGTAAATTTACAGGAGCTCAATTTTATAGAATGTTACTATTATTGATCCTTGCTTTTCATCTCTCATCTATAATACTATAAAATATGTAATATATCACCCTAATATGTATACAGAAGGCTCTTTTTCCCAAGAGAGAAAGTCTTGTAGTGGCCTCGTGAAATTTTCACCAGATTTTTTTTCCTCATTTTTCGATTCCGCACGATATACCGAGCTTTTAATGATGATTCTGATAATTCAGAAGACTTCTTCCCATATAATTAGTGAATTTTTAACACAGTTGATATATTTTAGTATATATAATAGTGGTATCATCTAATTGGTTCCACCGATATATATTTATTGTTGAAGATTTGCTTCTTGTTTTGAGCGTATAAACTAGGGGATTTTCGTCAAGAATTTGAATTTGAATTTTTCAAGAGACTAACCGTTTTGATTGAAACTAGTACTAGAGACATAATAAAGAAAATGCAACAGAATTTGCCAATAATACCCGGACCAGACTCGATTGAGATAGAGTACGAAGCTTTGCCAGATGATGCTTCTGTAGCAGCACATTTAGGAGCTGGTGCATTTGCTGGTATCATGGAACATACAGTTATGTTCCCTATTGACTCGTTGAAGACCAGAATGCAAATGGCGTCCAATACACAGGAGTTGAGTAAGAGTGTTATAACTTCTATTTCAAAGATAGCTTCTTCAGAGGGAATCTATTCACTCTGGAGAGGGGTTTCATCGGTCGTGTTGGGAGCAGGACCTGCTCATGCCATTTACTTTTCAGTTTTCGAAGCGACCAAAACGTTGTTGGTGAATAGATTAACCAACTCGCCCCATTCGCATAAGATAGTTACAGATGAAAACCATCCGTTGATTGCCAGTGGTGCCGGAACGGCTGCAACGACCGCATCCGATGCGTTAATGACCCCATTCGATGTCTTAAAGCAAAGAATGCAGGCATCTAGTCAATTCAGACAGACAGAAAACACATCAGTTAAATTATTACAGGTAGCTTCGGATATATATAAAAAGGAAGGATTTTCAGCCTTTTACATTTCATATCCAACTACGCTTTTCACCAACATACCATTTGCGGCCTTAAACTTTGGATTTTACGAATATTCATCTTCGGTATTGAACCCAGATAACGTATACAACCCATACTTACACTGTGTTTCTGGTGGTATCGCCGGTGGGATTGCAGCTGCCATCACAAATCCGTTGGACTGTATCAAAACAGCATTGCAAACTAAAGGTATCTCCAGAAATGAAAATATGAAGTACGTCACAGGATTTAAATCTGCCACTAGAGCATTATTCAAAGAAAGTGGAATGAGTGCATTCACGAGAGGTTTGAAACCAAGAATCATTTTCAACGTTCCCAGTACTGCCATTTCGTGGACCGCCTACGAAATGGCCAAAGAACTCTTATTGAAAAATTAATTCTGTATATTAACTATTTATCCATTAACTCCACATGACACCAGTCTAATAAGGTTATGAATTTCTAGACACATAATTGAATCACTATCTCATTGCATTTGGTTTCATTTATGAATACAAACTTATATATGTTATACACCTTTTTTTTCTCTCAACTCTTATTCCCTCACGTACTTGTATATATGTATATGTTAAATCAACTTTTTTGATCAATCTGGTACCTCGAATTTTTGTAGCAATTAATTTTGAATGGCCCTCATTAATTCGCTCAACTCTCTGGGTTGACGGGATAACTTCTGAGCTACGAATGAAAATATCACACACGACCCAAGGAACCCTAACAAATTGAAGAATGCCTTTCTTGAGTACGCCTTCTCCTCCTCTTCGGTCCTAAACGATGCAAATATTCGTCTTATACTTGCAATAATCATATCCAGATGTATTATTTATTATTTGTATTGGTTTTATCTGTGGGTTTTTTTAAAAGGCCCTTATTTATTTGTCGGACTCGAACACGCGATCACCTTTAAACAACCAAAAAAAAAAACGCTAGTGGTATCTGTTCCCACTAGAAGTAAAATTTTGCAATAGACTGCTTCTAACAAAAAAAGATAACCTTACTCACAACGATGATCGGTATCGGGTGCTTAATTTGAATAAATCAAGTTCGCATATTGCACTCAATAGCCTTTTCTCATAATAAAAGACCAACCATCCGCAATGCCTCCCATGCAGAATAAATTCTGCTGATTTCTTATGGCATTGCCCGGCGTTTTCACGCTAAGGACACTCTCAAGAGTATTAATTTAGGGACGAAGTCCCCTAGGATGGGGAGAACCACCGAATTTCCCACCCGCTAATTTATTGAGGGCCCGCTAGGGTCCCCTGTTTGTAGGCGGGTAAACGCGAAACGTTACGAGAAAGGTTGGAACCGATATGCCATGGGCACAGTTCTGAGATTTTATTGTACTGTTCACGATATACTCATATGGTTAAGCATATCCCCATGTAATTAATTGATAGTAGCATATGGCATATGGAAGATATAAATGTTCCATATATACATCCCAATCCACATTATGGATTTTGACGTTATGAGCTTCTCTAAAAAAAGTATGAATGTGCAATTGGTGTAAGAGATGATGTATGAGATACCTCTGAGACGACCTTGCATACTTATTAAATTCTGATTGCAAATGCAATTCGATATCCAATACATAGTAATATTCCTACATTGTATTCAACAAGGGTAATTTTCGATTGTTAGGCAACGACTATCTCATTTCGTGTGGATAATACGTCACTGGGAATTATATGTCAGTGAAGAAATTAGTCTGCTGATGATGCTCGGTTCGGCATACTCTGCCATGTGGCTGCAACCCGTTTTACTGCCAATTCATTAAGGCCGTTGTAATTCGTGGCGAAGCATCATTATTCCGTATGCTGAGACAGATTGAGACGTTCATTGGAGGCAACACATTTCACAGGACTTAGTGGTGTATTCACATGCCACTAAATATGGAAACCTCGACTCGCGAAACCGTTTAAAAAGTAAATATATTTTATTGACATAAGAATATTTATACATATTGATACTATACGACTCAGAAGATGTTTGAAGAGCTTACGCCACCGGCAAAGCATGCCAGGCATGGTTTCTTTGGTCGTTACTTTTATGTTGCTGTTTCCGCCGTTTTAGGGTTTGGATTTGTTAATGTCTTGCTTATTATGGCAGTTTTTTACTATTGGTACCATGTAATTATCGGGAAAGAAAAGTCCCAAAAGCTGCCAGATGAGAAGGTACCGTATCCAGATATTAATAATATGAAGCGTACTTCGGATTTGAGGTACTATGCATTGGCTATGAAGTTGGATTTGCAGGAATACAGAATTACGACCGAAGATGGATATATTTTAACATTGCACCGTTTGATTGACCCGAACGAAACAGAGCTTCAGAGACAGAGTCGGAAGCCCGTGCTATTGCAGCATGGGTTACTCTCTTGTTCTGGGTCTTATGTGACGTCTGGATATCATTCATTGGCCTATCATGTTTTGACTTCCGGATATGATGTTTGGTTGGGTAATAATAGATCGTGGTTTGAAGCTAAGCATGCGTTCTACGAAGGCGATTTATTGCACAGCGAAGAATATTGGGATTGGGATATAAGAGAATTAGCGTACTATGATTTACCTTGTATTATTGACAATGTTTTGGCTCATAAACCTCAACATGAGAAATTGGCAATTGTTGGACATTCACAAGGATGTACTCAAACGTTCTTGATGTTGAAAAACGGTAATTTAGTAGACTATCATAAAAAGGTTGAGATAATTTTCCAATTGGCTCCAGCTATTTTCCCAGGTCCATTATTCTACACCAGAGCATTTATAAAATTTATGCATCACAGAGGGAAGTTGGGTTACAAATTATTTTTTGGATGCTGTTCTTTCTTGAGGGTTATTACTATTACTCGTAATCACTTATGTACTACAAGGTTTTTCGGAGCAGTCTCATATGTTATGTTCAAGTTCTTATTTGGATGGAGTGGAGTCTTATGGAATTCAAACAATAAGGTTCGTCATTTTCACTTCATCTTCAATGTCACTCGTGTTTCTTCTAAATTAATGTCTTGGTGGCTAAGCGAATGGGTTGAAGAAGGGTTCTCAAACCAATTACAATCTAAAGAGTCGTATAAAACTGGTGAAAACTTTAGTTGTACTCCCGTCAATTCAACCCATGAAGTAAAAGGAAAAACAGCAGAAGAAAATGATTCAAAAACATACTTTCCTTATAAAGAACAATGGTTTGGTTTAGAAGAAAAAAGTGTCATTGTGCCTATGGTGGTATTCCCTGGGCTTGAGGATTATTTGGTTGATGGTAAAAGATTAGCTACACATATGAGACATTATGAGCGTAACGTTTACAAGGAAGGTGTTAATTTAGATATTCATGAGATTCCAGCATATGATCACTTGGATGTTATATGGGCAGATAATGTTATCGATTTAATTGGTGTTAAAATTACAGAAAAATTAAAACTAATTGAAAGTCAAAATAATGAAAAGGAAGTTTCTATAGAAACAGACGCGGGTGCACCTCATGTGTCATCTTCTACGTCAGGACAATCTGGTCATTAAAATTTGTTGTATATCAGGTACTAATCAATACTAATTTGATGTTGCTACAATTAGGCATGAAGCAAGGCAAATACCGATAGCAAACAAGGCTTATTCCAATCTATAATGAAACTGAAATGAGTCTGACGTAAAGTGCCATTGATTCTAATCTAAGGAACAATATGATCATTGAGTATGTATATTAATTAAATACATAGTGTATTATTTAAAGGACAAGATTACATGATAGAATTTTGGTTGTAGTTAGCTACGTGATGGTCGGCATTATCAAGTGCTTTCAAGACGTAACTCCAGAATAATTCCACGTTAACATCCAATCCGACATAAACCCCATTCTCCTCCTCCTTCAGCTCATCGAGGTCTCCATTAGCTATCTGTGTCTCTCCCTCACGTTCGCCCTCCTGGATAATCTTCAATTTTCTTCTAATGTATTTGAAGTCAACGTCATCTGCGAAGTCTTCTTGCTTATTTATTAATGCAAGAATAAGGAAAACCGCTAGCGGATCATGAATTGGTGGACCAATGGTTATATTATGTTCAATACGATATGTTTCCGCATAGAACATTGCAATATCGTAGAACAATTTTCTCACATCAGAGTCCCTTTTTGGATTTGTTTCGTCGTACATGATCCTCCTGACTTCCATAGTAGCGACTGCCTTGTGTGTTATATTCAACCCTGCCAATATCGTTTTGCCGCTTAACACTTCATCATTCAATACCTTAGCAGCCGCGAGCGGGTCACAATGAACGTTAAACTCGGCGTATTTAGTAGCGTTACCCTTATTCAACGCACCACCCATAATAGACACAAACCTGATCTTAGATTTCACTTCTGGGTACGTTTCTATCAAAATAGCCATATTGGTCAAAGTCCCGGTACAGATGACACATATTTTACCTGCGTGTTCCAAAATAGCTAATCTCATGGCTTGTAAGTATGTCTGATCTGTCGATTCTTTAATTCTAGGTGTCTTTGGTAACTTGGCCCCACCAATACCAGTCGGCCCATGTATTTCTGGTGCAAACTTAACTGGCTTAACTAATGGTCTAGTTTCCCCGGAGTAAACCTTTATTTGATCCTGCTCGGCCCCTAAAACATCTAATAATCCCAATGTATTGTGAGTTGTACTTGAATTTGGGGCATTTCCATATACCGTAGATATACCAAGCAAATTAAATTTTGGGTGAAATGCGGCTAACAAAATGGCAAAAGCATCGTCATTGCCGGGATCGCAATCTAGCCATATAGGAACAGAATCTGCGATAGTCATAGTATCTTATAGTATGAGCTACTAAGGAATGAAAGAGAAAAAATGACTGGAGCTATAGTACCATACTAAGAACATCGAAACATGCCGCGTGAGAAAAGGCTCCACGGGGACTTAAATGTAACGTTACATGCAATTTAAGAACTAAATACTACGTTTAATTCTAATAGTTACTTATATATCAGACCCTTCCTCTTCAACTGGGACAACAAAAGCTCCAGCTAAGCATAAAGCAGGCTCGTGGATATTATGGTGTTGATAGCTCAAAACTCCAACTCCACCAGCATCCAACACGACTTGCGGATTGACATTAATGTCTTTACCCACCCATCTAGCAGCGAAACATCTCAAGATATGACCATGTCCAACAACTATGACATCGCATGGGACATTATCTTGAATTGCCTTTTCGTGGATAGCTCTGATATTCGTGATAACCTTGTCCAATCTTGCGGAAACTTGCTCGTGCGTTTCACCGTTTTCACATCCGTCCCTCCAGATGTTCCATTCTTCGCCTTTAGGTAAATCCTTATCCAAACCTCTCTTGTTTCTTAACTCAATGATCTGGGACGTCAATAATCCTTCGTAATCACCGTATTCCCACTCTCTTAAGTTATCTTCCTCGGTGGTAAGCAATTTGGCCTTTGCCATATCGTTTAAGCCTTCGAGTAACAACTCAACCGTTTGCTTGGCACGTAACCTTGGAGATGTAAAGACATTCTTCAAGTTTTCCGGTTTGATCAATTGGAATGGACTAGGTCCAATTAAGTGTTTACCAGTATTCCGCATCTGTTTGACTCCGAAATCTGTTAATGGTAAATCAGTAATGGACGTATACTGACCAGATTTGGACCATTCAGTTTGGCCGTGACGAATAAATATAACTCTCGGAGTTGGTGCTTTAGATGGACTCATCGTTACTAGTATATTATCTCTCGATCTTACTGTTATCTGTTCTTTTGATATAAAAAGTGTTGATAAGTTATGACCTTCGAAATTTTACACGTGCAGGAATATTAAAATTTTCATCCTTTGGACTTAATTATTATAGGATACAGCTAACAACTCAGGCTGAATAGTGTATTAAGAACATATAAATAAGAAATGGCCAGCAAAGCACATGCAGAAATTACGGAAAAGATCTTATCTTTGTTGAGAACCTTACCAAAAGATAGAATAAAGCATTATGCATCATTTAAAGAAACTCAAATAGAGCGGTTTTCAAGTGACCTGGTTAAAGATATTTCAGAAAAGGACTTAAAATTGCAATATATCTCGTTAAGAGACTTGGTGAATGATAAATATAAAAACTACTACAAGTTGGACGACAAATTATTGAAACCAAAGGGTAATCCAGAGTATTATAATAGAATTTTGAGTGAGATAAAAGGTGAAAAGAAGGAAACGTTTATGACTGCTATGAGAACCGTTATCTTTGGGAAATAGGTTTGTTGGTTGTGGTAGTATTTTTCTTTTGGAGGTGTTGTAATATTGTTCTTTTTATGTTCATCGTTGTAAATAGTAAAACTTTATATTTGAAGTGAAACTGGTGGACTACGCTGACTTAATATTTTTTGCATCGTTGGTTGGAAATCACTTGTGGCCTATATGGGTCTGAACGGCAGAATGGTTATACTCTATAATGTATTCAAGGAGTCAGTTCAAATGCACTTTTCTACATTATTGTAATAAGTTAAAGAATCAAATTAAGTATTAAGCTGGTCAAAGTGTCCCATTAACGTTTCCTATAGTCTATAATGCTTACAATAAATAAACCAATATATTTAATTCATTTCTTTGAACTTGGAAGTGCCATTATAGTTAAATGTAATAATTGCACCATAATTAATAAAACGCTAGTCATTGACTTTCTGTAGATTACCAGATGAATGAACTTTCAATAAAACATTTCATACATAATGAAAGCAATTAATGCTTACTTTATACATGTTATATGAATAGCTGTTAAAATCTGGCATTGTATTGACCACGTAAAAAGATGCGAATTTTCGAAAACCGATTCAACTGTTAGATTCCATCATTTATTCTTTAAGAGAAACAACTCTTATCAGATAGGAGAAGAAGAGGATGGCGATTATAGATACTGTTCAAAGATCTAGGCCTGTTCAACTTGGTATAGTGTGTTTCTTCTTGATACTATGGTACTTTTTACGAGGAACATCAGATGGCTTTACGCCAGAGGAATTGAATTCGCTTTTACAAAACAAGGATGAAAGCACGGTTATGATTAAGAAAACAGAGCTAACCACTCATGGTTTAAAGGTTCCGTACATAGATCAATCGACATTTAAACCAAAGAATTGGTATTTGGCCGGTAATACTCTTATTAAAAATGATGCGTATATTAGACTAACATCCGATAACCAACACCAAGCTGGTAGTATGTTTTCGAACTTACCAATCCAGGCGGAATCATTTGAAATGGAATTGACTTTCCATATGCACAGTAAGTCTTCTAATTTGTTTGGTGATGGGTTTGGAATGTGGATAATCGATCGCAAGTCAGATATCGGAGATGTCTTTGGAGCGCAAAATTATTTCAAAGGATTGGGTATATTCGTTGACACGTACAAAAACGGCAAAAGGGGGCATTTCCCATACGTGAATTTGATGTTGGGTGATGGTAATACCGCCTATAACAAAGATACTGATGGATATGAGACAAGGTTGGCTGGATGTACAGCTACAGGACTTATGAATCCAGCTAATGAATTGACCAAAGCACGTATCGTTTACATTAAGGATGGGTACTTTTCTTTAGATTTTAATTATAATAATAAGCATGAAGACTGGAAAAACTGTGTCACCTTAACGGATATCAAATTGCCGCAAATAAAGTATCTTGGATTCACGGCTGAGACAGGTGATCTTTCTGAAAACGTAGATATTATTGAAAATAAGATGTATGCGTTATACAAACCTGACGGTTCATTTATTGAGTCTGTTGATGAATTAGAGACCTTGATGCAAGAACAAAGTGATAATGAAGACCTGTTCCAGCAAGCAATTGATGAAATTAAACAAGGTGGCAGGCATAGAAAAATAAAGAAGAAGTCAAAAATAAGACGTAAATCATTAAACAGATTAAAGAATTCTGAAAAGAAAATTAAAGAGCGTGAACGTAAGTTGCGGTTAGAGAAATATGGGGATGAAAATGCAACATTATTTAAAAGACTATTGAAAGGAATTCTTTATTCTTTGAAATTAATATTTTATATATTATTGTTAGGCTGTTTAATTTGGATAGGAAACATAGTTTACCGAGTCCAAGTACAAAAGAAAAAGCTGAAGGTCACTGGTCTATTAGATTAATTTTTATTTGTTTGCTATATACATAGGATCAAAATACTTCGTAATAATACATAAAGCTAATTAAAAATGAAAAATTATTATACGTTCAGGTGAGTGGATTTGAAGAATGAAGACTTTTATTCGTCTTATTCAAATTAAGTTCCCGTCAGCAGTCTTATCCTGTAAAGTGAGGCGATAAGTATCTTTTGTAATACCGAAAGTCTTGTAAGCACCCGTAGAAGTTATGTAGGATAGTATTCCGGTTTTAGATTCAGAATCATCCTCAAACGAATTAAGAGTAAAAGAAGATGAAATTTTTTGAAAAGATTGGTTTTCTAAGGTCTTAATGAGCTGGTTGTCAAAAGAGAAAGCATCAGCTAATAACGTTATCTTCGCATCCTTATTTGGACCGTATTCCTTGAGAATATCACGGGCTCTTTCATAGGACCATTCAAGTAATAAAACGTCAAAGTCAACTTTTGCAAACGCCTTTCTAACGTGTAACCCAGTGATCTTAATAACAAACTCCGATTCGGACGATTCGTCTAATAAAGGTCTCAAAGTGATAATAGCAATTGGCGAATCACGGTAAAGAACCATATGAGTATTTGCTCCATTCTTCAAGAATACTATCTCTTTAGGTGTCAATTTACGCTTTTGCTTTAATAACGTCGATTGTGATAACCTGGCATACTCCTTTAAGTTAAATCCAAAGATCTTTTCAATGTATTTTAATTCGGGCAATTTTACCGAAATATCCTTGTATACATCACTCACAAAATGGGTAACGATACCCACTATACCAAAAACACATACAAGCCATGGAAAGATTCCCATCAATTGGAATTGAAAATCACGACTCTTAATGAAGAAACTAAAGAATTCACCAAAACTTTCTGAAACAGAAATATAATCGTATAATCTATAATATGTGAAAATTGAAGTTGAAATTACCAAGAACGTAGTGGAAATTGGATGCCAGAAAACATATCTATTACATTTGCCTTGCAACTGACTATAATAATCACCTTGTAATATTAAGGCAGCCTGTGATAATTCTGGTATCAATGATGTCTTGCCCAAAGTAGGGGGAATTTTGTCGTTCAATGGTTCATTCAAGTTAACATCCTTTTGTATAGCCATTGTGGAATACCTTTACTATATTAAAATGATAAATTGTTAGTTGAAATTTATGTCAACTTATATACCCTTATAATTTTTTATATTAGAAATAATGCACGTGGGATGTTTCTTCTTTTGGAATCTATCTATGGGTGCAAATTTTCATATTTCCTGCCATACTTTCAATAGCATTCACGTTTATGGGTCTTGATAGATTAAGGATTGCTTAATCATATCGTAGAGAAAAAAAATTTATATTAATTATAGTTGGGTCAAACGAATAAATATCTAAAAAAAAAATTTACTAGACGATCATGGCTTAATGATACGTTAGATCGAGATTGAAGTAAAATGCTTCACCCGTAGACGACTTTAGATTTATAATCGAAATAGTTGGACTAGAGAATATTTTGCAATACATTTACACGATTCTATATAATATCCTGGTAATGAACACCATGTAATAAGCTCTATTGACAAAGAAAAAGGACATCATAATGATGGCACCTTGAATACTGATTTACGAGAAAAAATACCCATTGCAGGGCGGTTGAATCGAAGACCAAGTGAAGAAAAAAAAGTCAAAGCTAGCGCCGCCCGGTTTCGATCCGGGGACATCAGGGTTATGAGCCCTGCGCGCTTCCACTGCGCCACGGCGCTTTAACTTCTTACAATTATATTTTCTTGATTGATTATGTGCTCGTTATCAAATATTTTTATACTAACAAATAGACTGGCAATATTCTGTATAATCATGAGTTGTATTTTTTACAACGAATAGATATCCTAGCAAGAATATATATCCTAGAAAGAATAGATACCCTAAACAAGCTTGTTTTTGTTTTCCTCAATATTTTAAATTTTTCAACTTGCCCAGATTGAGTTCCGTGTCCAATTTAGAATTGAATACGAACGAATGCAGAGATCGTCATATTCGTATTTGATAAGTTACAAAGTTAATATTTAATTTTTCAAAAGGTAACTAAACTTATACAAACATGCATATTTCTGTCTAAATAACGTATTTGTATATTTCTATAGTTACATCTTAGGTTGCACAATTTAAAATAATATGTAAAAATTCTTGATTTTTTAAAAACTAATAAAATAAATATTAATAAAAAGGTATTAAATAAATACTAAAAAATCAGGACACTTAAGCTTGAGGTACGTTTGTATAACATACCATATTTGCTTTACTAGTAAGGCCGTTCTACCACCAGAAGAAGTTTAGCTTTCAAATTGAATATTTCATCGTACATGTTTCCTAATCCTCTATTGAGAAAAACTTCAAGTACTCTTACGTAGAGAAAGAACAGACAGAATCCCTTAGTTCATAACTAGTTTCACATTGATATACATTCGTGGTAGAGAGTATTTGAATCTATTACGAAAATTTTGCAATCTTTATTACTTCGTGCGTAAACCATACATTAATATGAGTATTAAATATGGACTTTTAGTATCTAACTGGTTCATTATAGTTTTCAGAAACAACCTTAATTTCAATGGCATCAACAGAAGATGATTCAACGTACATACCCATACCACATTATCCACCATTTAAGTTGAGATCTTCGCTTATAGACAAGGATCCTGTAATATGGGTACATTTATTGGAGGCATATATTCAATTATTTAAGTACTTACTAAATCCAGACAGTCATTCCCAAAAGTTGTCGGTGAAGTCTCAGCAACAATTGCAATTGTTTTTGAAAATATTTCTCTTCGAGACCTCGGAAGAAACAACAAAGATTTTCTCTTTAGGAGCCATCAACCCTGATATCAAAACTAATACGGCCATATTACGAACATGCGTTTTCCAACTTATTAAAAATTATAGCTTCGTGAAGTTGTCATTACCAGGTGAAGCAATTTGGAATTTCATTACCATATATGTAAAGGATAATAGTACGATTGTTCGTGGATTAGTTGATGGTACATATAAATCAAAGTTCAACGATAATAAGAAATCTGGTAATATTAGTTGTATTGGTCAAGTACATAAGCACTTAGAAAGCTTAATTAGTAATGGAAAAATCCAAGATCAAGAATTAAATACCTTATCCTTCTTATTAGGCCAGCACGCAAGCTCGGCTACTAAGTTGAAGACATACACAGTTACTGGATCTTCGTCAAATAACAGTAGAAATATTAATAAAAAGCTGACAAGTTCCTTACCATTTGCCGAGGGTTTTGTAAACGCTGAATGGATAGAGATGTTGGAAAGATTATATGTTAACGGAAAGAGTGTGCATGCTGAACTGATCAAGGAAATAATGATTATTTCATTAATATCGTTATCGACAGCCAAATTGGCCAAATTGGCCATAGATTTAGGTGTAAATAATACCGATTCATTAGTTTTATACCCATTATTCAGTACCATTATCATTTCAGATGCATACAAGGAGTTGGTACCAGGGTTGGAGGAAAGATTGACATTCTTAAGAAACGTTTCATTCCAAGATAGTTCAGCAATAAAGAGAGATATACCTATCAAGGAAGAAAATATCGAACTATTAGGTGACTTAATACCGCAACTTACAAGGGGACAAGCAATCACAATCTTGAAGGAAAATAATGACGATGTAGAACAGGTCACAAATATATTATTCGAAAATCCAGACTTAATTCCCAGTATTAAGGAATACGAAGACCATAACAAACCAAGCAAACCTAAGTCTAAGAAGACAGAATTTAAACAACCTGAGGGTCAAAATGTGCCAATAGCAAAGAGATCAGTATATGATGGTGATAAAATTTCCAATTTAGATTTTTCAGAGGGCAGTGTTATATATGGCAAAAAGGGACAGCGACAGAACAACGAACCAACTACTGAAACCATGAAAAATAAGACACTCAGCGCTGCATTGAGGTTGATGTATGAAAGTGATGAAGATGAGCCTGATGATACATACGAAGAGCAGGAGAAGACAAGCGGAGTAGCAGCCGACGAGAAGAACAAAACTGCCAAGAGTAAGAGCCATAAAAATAGATTGACAGTATTTGATGAAGAAGATGTATCAGGAACTGATAATGAAGCATCTACGACACCAGAGAGAAGTGTTTCTAGTAGTCCAATGCCCGCGTCTGTGGATGCCATAGAAAAGTATCTCTTCTCAATATTTAAAACGAAGGGTGCTGAAAAATTTGACAAGAAGGATAGAAAATCTTCCGATAGACAAAACATTAAAAAGTCCACTAATTGGTCTGATGAACAAATTGAAGGATGGTTAAGAATGTTATTAAAATCCCCTAGAAGGTTTAAGCTTCTTGAAGAGGACTACCTTTATGGAGGCAATCCAAATAGGCCTGTTAGAAGAAACAATGGCGGAGGACAAGATATGGGGTCTAGCGATTTGGAGAATAAGCCAAATAAACCCAAGTCAAAAGACCAAGTTAAACGGTCATTTGCGAGAAATGAGAAGAATAAGGCAAGCAAAGCCAACCACAACAGAAAGAGCGGCCATAGCAAGAAAACTAACCGTGAATTAGCGGGAATGCAGTAGTAGATTTTGTATATATTTAATTTAGGTAACTTTTAGATACGCGAGGCACGACTGAATGAAAAAAATGGATTTGGTAGCAATATGATCTGACCATGCTTTTCTTTAACTCTTTAAACTGTAATACTAATTGATAATAATGATTACAGCGTTATTCATATATAACCCTAAAGGGGATGTTCTTATGTCCAAGTTGTATAATGAAGGAGTGAAGAGAAATATATCTGATGTATTTAGAATTCAAGTGATGTCAGTGAATTCTCAACATTATTCTAACGGAGGAAATGGCGGCAGGGAAGTTCGTTCACCCGTGTTAACATTGGGATCCACATCGTTTATTTATATAAAGTCAGGATTGTTATGGATATGTGCCGTGACTAGATCGAACCAAGATTGTTCAGCAATTTTGGAGTTCCTATACAAGCTAGAGTCGTTATTGAAGGTAATGTTGGATGAAACTCCAGGCGAGAAAGTGTTGACAGAAGACTTGATTGTGAATAATTTCAGCTTGGTGTATGAATTATTGGACGAGGTTGTGGAGTTTGGATACCCAACTAATTTAGAGTTAAGCTATTTACAGAATCTTTTGACGTCGGTATCAGCAAATGATAAGATTTTCAAATTGCCCAATAATGCTTTATCAGGGGCCAAGTCATTGAACCCAGGGTTATCTAGGCGGAAGACCGTCAAACTAAACTCGCTGAATATTACATGGAGAAACCCTGACATTAAATACAGGAGAAATGAGATCTTTTTGAACGTTGAAGAGAAGATTAATGTCTTAATGAATTCACAGGCAGAAGTGCTAAGAGCATACGTTGATGGGACAATTCAAATGAAAACACATTTGTCGGGAATGCCAGAATGTAGGTTTGGATTGAATGATGACAGCTTGGTGTTGAATTCGATGAGTGCCGACCGGTCCGCAATACCTAATAGTGGATCTGTGACATTGGAAGATTGCAAATTCCACCAATCAGTCGAGTTGAACAAGTTTGATTCCGACAGAGTCATACAGTTCATACCGCCAGATGGCGAATTCCAGTTGATGTCATACAACTGCATGCTGAACATCAATCTACCCTTTGAGGTCTATCCTCAGGTCCACCAGCTTGGAAACCTGAGAGTACTGTACAAATTGAGAATTAAATCTTTATTCCCATCCAAAATTCCTGCAACAGGCGTGCAGATTAAGATACCAACCCCAAAGGGTGTTATCAATTCATATTCAACCAATTCGCTGGGAAAATCGAAGTTTCATCCAGAGGCAAACTATATAATTTGGAAATTTAACAAATTTTTTGGCAACCAAGAGCATGATTTAACTGCAGAAGTAGAATTGCCTCATTCTAGTGATGCAGATATCAAGAATTTACTCAACTGGACCAGACCACCAATCAAATTGGAGTTTACTATCGATATGTTTTCGTGCTCAGGCTTGACTGTCAAGTTTTTAAGGGTTCAAGAAAAGTCTAATTACAGAACTGTTAAGTGGGTCAAATACACCTCACAATCGGGCTCTTATGATATTCGTTATTAGAGTTTACATCATTGAATAATAGCAGTTTGATATCACTATATAGAGCTTTTTTCGCAATTCTGCTGAATGCACGTTTTCCGAGCGAAATTTTATCAGAAGGATAATTTTTTAGACATAAATAGTAGATTATATTAAACAATCAAAGAATATTCATCTCAGAATAGTACATAGCATAACATGAGAGACCTTTTTGTATTGGGAGGGTCGTCCCATCCAAATTTAACCCGATCGATTTGTCGCAACTTGACTATTGACCAAGCATTTGTTGATTCGAAAAAATTTTCCAATGGAGAGACTAGTATTGAAATCCAAGACTCAGTTAGAGAAAAAGATGTTTTTATCATACAATCGGGGTGTGGACATGTAAATGATAACTTGCTTGAATTATTGATTATGATAGCTGCATGTAAGACGGCTAGTGCCAAAAGGGTGACTGCTGTGTTACCATTATTCCCATATTCGAGACAGCCTGATGTTCCTCATGCAGCATCACTCACAGGGGCACCATCGGTGAGTACCAAGAAGGATAGATATACGTTCGAAAGTGCACCTAGTACACCTAGACCGTTATCAAGAGGCGAATCTGAAACAGAAGGGCAGGTATCACCAACACCTTCATCAGCAAACAGCTCGCAACAGACCGAAACTCTCTTAAGTAAGGCTACAATGAATAACATCAAGCAACCAGTTCCTACGAGGGTTAATACAAAGATCCCTTCGTATACACCTACATCAATTGTGACTAATTCAGCAGCAACAAACTTGCCCTGCGTGGATGTATACGGCAAGACCGAGAGCGGTTACAAGCAATGGATTGCACAAAACGGGACTTTGATTGCCAATTTATTAACCACCGCTGGGGCTGACCGTTGCATTACTATGGATTTACACGATCCCCAGTTTCAAGGTTTCTTTAACATCCCCGTGGATAACCTCTACTCAAAGCCATTGTTAAAGCACTATATTATAGACTACATACCCAATTACCTGGATTGTGTTATTGTTTCGCCAGACAGTGGAGGAGCCAAGAGAGCCACTTCTATAGCAGATGCACTTGGATGTTCGTTTGCGTTAATTCATAAGGAGAGAAGGGCCAAGGTAGCGAACACACCTCCATCGACCAATGCAACAAATATCGGCTTGAATTCGGTGCAAAATTCGTTAGTGGCCACCACCATGTTGGTGGGTGATGTCAAAGACCGCGTTTGTGTGTTGGTGGATGACTTGGTGGATTCGTCTTACACTATCACGAGGGCCGCCAAGTTATTAAAAGACCAAGGCGCCAAATACGTGTATGCACTTGTCACACATGGGATTTTCAGTGGAGATGCCATCAACAGAGTTAATAAGTCTGCGGTGGACAAGTTCATTGTCACCAACTCCGTCCCTCAAAATGACAACATAGGCGTATTAGGCGACAAGCTCGAGGTGTTGGACATCTCACGGATATTGGCCGAGTCTATCAGAAGAATCCACAATGGTGAATCCGTTTCAATGCTTTTCGATCACGGATGGTAGGTCGCATCTGTATGTATTTATTAAGCCTTCATGTTATATATCTAATGTAATCAACGTAATGTATTTAATGCACCGCAAACTCCGTATACTATAAGCATATATTTCTGTAGCCCATTCATCCTATACTGCACAATCTTCTTAGCATGCCGCTCAATCCCGTTAGCACCAGCATCACCATCAAAAAAAGCATTATTGCAAATACAGTAGAAAGCAGCAATTTTCGGCACATCCATACACCAAAACATCTCTACACATATCCACAACCACTATAATCACCCCCATATTAGACACCACCCCAGCTCCAAATCAACCCCAAATCCAAAACCCTCTCAAAACCTTCCTTCTCCGACCACTCATAACCTATGCCCAGCCCGTTTTGCATCTTAATGCCAATTCTCTGCCCTTCGTCCGCCCGCGATGCCTCATTACCCCGGAAAATGCCAAATATAAATGCCAAATAAATGCCAAATTAATGCCCATCGGACACCAATTTCAAAGCCCGTAGGTACATGTTTCCGCTTGCGCCATCCACGCCAACTGCTTCCAAAAAAAATGCCCCATCCGTGTTATTGTTCGCTCGCTACTTCTGGCCCAACACCCTGTATACATATTTTTCTCCCGTCCCGTATATTGTGTGGTCATGTATGGGGTCAACGGCGATGCAAATGCCCTATTCTGTGAATGGTAATTTCTTACTAACTTTTTTCTTTTCGTTTGTCGTTTATAGTAATGCCGCTAAAAAAATCTCTACATCGCTTGAGTTTACCGTCTCCATCCACCTATCTTTTCACCCAATAACGTAGCGTCTACCACGTAATTCTCTGTGGTGTGACGGTAAACTATGGCGAGATTCTCCTAGTTCGGAGAACATCGGACTGGTGCCGAAGTCGACCGGTGGTATTCGGGGTGGACCGAACATCGCCCTCAGAACTAGTGGAACATCACACCCGCCACATACTTACGACAGTCGGAAATTGTCGGTCGTAACTCAAACACGGCACACAGCCAAAGGTGCCAAAACCGCCTAAATCCCCCCTCAAAGCACCCTCGGAAATCGCCCCCCATTAGCAGTCAAATCCCCAGGAGCTGCGAATATATAAAGTCACTTATATTCCCTATTAATACTCTTTCTTTCTTTATCAGGTTCAATTATAGATATAATTGACATAGGATTGTTATAGAATATAATTATAACATATACAACATGACAGGGGAATTGAATATACAAGGTTTGTCTTTGGACGCTAGTAACTCCAATAATTCATCGGTGCAGAGTTTAAAACATGGATACATCGATAGTCCATTTTCGGGTAAGAAAGACCAATATGAACAGGTTTTGGATGTTTTAGACAGCATCGGATTTATTCCAGAGTCGTTGATCGAGCTGGAAGCTAGATGGTTTTATGAGAGTTTGGGGATCGACGATGTTTTCTTTGCCCGCGAGTCGGCGAAAGGAATCGCCAATCACATCCACTCGTTGTATTCGTGTAAAGTGCAAGCGTTTGCTACTGACAGCAGCGACCAGCCTTTGATTCACTACAAGAGGGAGGCGGAAGACCATGCTGTGTTTTTTGACACGTATAGCGCTAACGACTATACTCGTAATCGGTTCGAGGAAAGGATCGACGACAAGTACATAGATCCGTCGACCCACTTGGGCACCAGTTACAGAGGTGAGTACTTCAGTGCGCCATTGAACTACAAGCAGGATGCGATCTTATCGGGGGTCTTTGAGAAGAATGCCGACTTGAGTAACCAGTTTGTCAGATGTTACTTTATCTACAAGAACAACTACCACCATGCGGAGGTGTCGACAAACGAGACCGATTTGGAAAAAATCGGTGACAAGACGTTCTTGAAGATCGCATCTGCCAAGACCAAGGAGCTCTACTCCGAGATCATCAAGAATGTGGTCTCCAACACCGGGCCCGTGATCAAGTACTTCCCAATCGAAGAGCTGGAAGAATATAGAGTGGTCATTGGGTTCAGACAGAAGACTTCTGCCAGATACAACTCGGCTTTGAGTGATTTGGTCAACTACTACAAGTTGCAAACCACCAGAAAGTACATTGAACAATTTTCTAACGGTGTTTCCATCGTTTCGATGTACCTTACTTCGAAACACAACAAGACACCTGTTGACTTATCCATCTACCAGGTCATCAAGGAAGCCTCATTGTTGTACTGTATTCCTCACAATTACTTCCATGATAGATTTATCTTGGGTGAATTATCTTTACAAGAAAGTATCTATGCACAATGTGGGGTTATTTTCGTCACACACTTCTTGAACAGATTGGGCCCGGAATACAACAAGTTGACAGCATTGTTAGACCCTGCGAAGTCGACTAACCACGCTGAAGTCTTGAATTCATTGAAGAAACGTTTAAGGTCAGAAACTTTCACCCAAAACTACATCCAAGAAATTTTTGACACTAAGCGTGATATCGTCAGAAAATTGTACCGTCAATTCGCTGATGTTCACTACATTCGTTCTTCCATGGAGAAGACTTTGTCTTATCAAAGATTATCTCAAATAACTCCAGTGGGTACCGAAGAAGAATTCGAAGAATTGTTAAATCGTGAGTGTTCCCAAAACGAACACCACATCTTGGTATTGAAGGCTTTGTTTGTTTTCAACAAATCTATTTTGAAGACAAATTTCTACACTTCTACCAAGGTTGCAATCTCATTTAGATTGAATCCTACGTTCTTACCAGCTACTGAATATCCAGAGAAGCCATACGGTATGTTCTTCATTGTCGGTAGTGACTTCAGAGGTTTCCACATCAGATTTAGAGATGTAGCTAGAGGTGGTATCAGAATCGTTAAATCGAGATCCCTTGATGCTTACAATACTAATGCCAGAAACTTGTTTGATGAAAACTATAACTTAGCAAATACCCAACAAAGAAAGAATAAGGATATTCCTGAAGGTGGTTCAAAGGGGGTTATTCTTTTGGATCCAGGTGTGGCTCAAGATAGACCAAGAGCTTGTTTCGAAAAGTACATCGATTCTTTAATCGATTTATTATTAAAGCAATATATCCCAGGTGTTAAAGATTCCTATGTTGACTTATATAACAAGCAAGAAATTTTATTCTTGGGACCTGATGAAGGAACTGCTCAATACGTTGACTGGGCCACCTTACATGCTAAGGCAAGAGGTGCACCATGGTGGAAGTCTTTCTTAACCGGTAAGAACCCTAAGCTTGGTGGTATTCCTCACGATGAATATGGTATGACTAGTTTGTCAGTCAGAGCTTATGTAAATAAGATCTATGAAAAGTTGAATATCGATGATGCCAAAATCAGAAAGTTCCAAACTGGTGGTCCAGATGGTGATCTTGGTAGTAATGAAATTTTATTATCCAGAAATGAGAACTATGTTGGTCTTGTTGACGGTTCTGGAGTTATCGCAGATCCAAATGGTCTTGATAAACAAGAATTACTCAGATTAGCCAAGGAAAGAAAAATGATCTGTAATTACGATAAGTCTAAATTATCTCCAGCAGGTTATATTGTTTTGGTTGATGACGTCAATATTAAATTACCAAATGGAATCACTGTTCCTAACGGGGTCAGCTTTAGAAACACCTTCCATTTAAAGATCAAAGAAGCATTTGGCATTGACAAGGTTGACTTGTTTGTTCCATGCGGTGGTAGACCAGCTGCTATTGATACCAATAATGTTCACGAATTAATCGATCAAAAGACTGGTAAGTGTATTGTGCCTTACTTTGTTGAAGGTGCTAACTTATTCGTTACCCAAGATGCAAAGTTGTCTTTGGAAAGAGCAGGATGTGTGATTTTTAAGGACGCCTCTACCAATAAGGGTGGTGTTACTTCGTCATCATTGGAAGTGTTAGCATCATTGTCTTTCGATGATCAGGGATTCTTATCCAACATGTGTATTGATTCACAAACCGGGGCTACTCCAAAGTTCTACCAAGAATATGTTAAAGAAGCCCAAAACATTATTGTTTCTAATGCCCAAAATGAATTTGAAGCCTTATGGAAATTGAAATCTGAAACCGGCTTACCTTTCACCGAATTGTCAGATAAGTTATCTGTTTCCATCAACAAATTGAGTGACGAGCTAGCTAACTCTAAAGAATTATGGAACGATGACCAAGACTTCAGAAATGCAGTTTTACTTGATTCCTTGCCTCGCTTATTATTACAAGAAATTGGTATTGATAATATCTTAGCTAGGGTTCCAGAATCTTACTTGAAAGCATTATTCGCTACCCATTTGGCATCCTTGTTTGTTTATTCAAGGGGTATTGATTCCAACCCAGCAAAGTTTTTGGAATTTATTTCTTCTATTAGAAAGGAGTATGTCCACAAAAAAATCCTTTAAACTCAAATAGATTAAAGTAGTTTATGTCATCCATCTACATACGTAGTTTTTATGTTAGTTTATATGTTTTAGAATCCTACAACTAATTAATAATAATAATAATAATATTTAATACAAGATAATTATATTTTCTATGCACATTCACTGTAATATTATAGTCTAGTATTAATATAATATGTTCAAAAGTTCGTTTTCAGACATGTTGTTCTGATATTTATAGTACAAATGAACTAAACCAATCAAATTAAAGCCAACAAAATCAATCATAAAATTACTCTATTCAATCATTTTACGAAATCACCACCCCACGTATTTACATTAGCTTCTAATGAAGCCATTTCACCACTCAAAAACACAAAAGAATTCATAAACGTCCAATATTCGAACGATTAACATCCGCTTCTCTTATTTAGGCGGATTTACTTCCTCTTGCAATTCGTTCAGCGCAATCTCTCTTTGCTTAACTTCATCATTAACCCTTCCCGTAACGTAGTCACCAATTAATGCAAAGACAAAGGTAGACCCACCGATATAATATCTTACCTTTATCGGTAAGCTATTCCACTTGGCAAGGAATCCCATATTTTAATGAAGAGTTTATAAAGAGTATAATATTCAAATTGAACTTATCGCATTACTTAAAATCAAATAATTTTTTTTTATGGAGAATTTATTTCATCCATAATGCCTATACAAAATTCTAAAAGATTAAGCTTAGTCAAAACTGAATTACCACCGTGCTGCGTTAGAATATGCCCGTCTGATAATTCAGTTATTATCTTAGGAACTTATATGTTAGAGAAAGATAGGACAAGACATGGATCAATTGATGTGTATGAATATGATGAGAAAAATGGTAATAAATTGACAATTTCAAACCAGTACAAAGTAGACGGTGCTGTATTAGACTTAAAATTTCATAGTAAGAATGATTCGATATTGATATCGGCTCATTCGACCGGTAACTTAATATTTTGGAAAGTTGATGCTGCAAATAGAACCTTATCTGAGTTGAAAAATTATCAATTATTTGATGAAGAAACTTTAATAACGTCGATTTTTTGTTCTCCAATAAACCAAAATTTATTGTTAGCTACTGCAACAACTGGAGAGGCAGCATTGGTTAATATTTTGGATTATTCGGTGCAACTATTAGATACCGTGCATGATCTTGAATGTTGGACCGGTTCGTTTGGTGAGATAGGCGAGTTATCGCAAGTCGTTTTTACAGGTGGTGACGATGCAAAATTGATTGCTCATGATTTGAGAACTAATCAGAGTATTTGGAATACGGGATACCGCCACCACGGTGCAGGTGTAGTTTCAATTCTTTCACCGGGTTCAAATTGGAACACCAACAACAGTAGTCATTTATGGACAGGGTCCTATGATGATAGCTTACGCATCCTAGATTTACGTGTTATAGACAAAGGAAATCCCCTGCTAATCCCAGGATATATTCCTAAAGTGATACAGGAAGAAAATTTAGGTGGTGGGGTCTGGAGGTTAATACCAAGTCCATTGCCAAATGATAATAGAGTTATGTCTTGTTGTATGTATGATGGAGCAAGAATAATAGAACCTGACAATGATACATTTGAAGTTGCTAGATATTTTAAAGGGGATCACGAGAGTATGTGTTACGGTGGTGATTGGTCTAGTAGTGGTAAATTTATCGCTACATCTTCGTTCTACGATAACATAGTTCAAATATGGTCACCAGACGAGACTGAGTAAATAGAACTTATATATTTGACGTAAAATTTAATTATGAATATAAACTTAAATCTAATGGAACAGATGAACCTCTACCACTAGGATATAATTTAGTATGGTCACCGTTTTCTCCATATCTCCTTGGGTGTGGAATGGAAGATGCATTAATAAATTTGAACCTTTTTCCAGTATCTTCAATTACAATCTTCGAAGACGAATTATTAGCTTTGCCATTTCTATTTTGTGACGTATTAATAGTGTAGGCCAGGGCAGATATTTTTCTTAAAGACTCACCAGCGTTTTGTTGCAGATCTACTAGCATGGAGCTTTTAGCTGCCGGAGGAGGAGGAGGAGGCGGAGGAGTTTTCTTTGTCTTGGAAGTTGTGTTTGAAGCAGGTAATGAGGGAGGCACTGAATTTGGTAGTGAAGGTGTACTTGGAGCCGAGGATGGCGGTAATGGAGGTGCCAGAGATACAGGCGGTGTGGGCAGTTGGACGTTCTTTGGTGTTGGTGGTGGCCTGCTTGGGTTAGAAACAGGCGTCGGAGCAATAGATGGTGGTGTGGGTGGGATCAACAATGGTTTTGCGACATTCGACGGTGGTTCCGCTTTTGGAGCAGGAGAAGATACGTTCAGACTCTCATCAATTATGTTATTATCATCTCTTTTGGAATTAATGTCAGCAAGAAAAGGTAACGAGCCTTGAGGTGCAGCAGGAGGTTTCGAATTCGAACTTGACGAGCTAGAGAAGCTTGGAATTGCAGGTGGAGCAGGTGGAGCAGGTGGAGCAGGTGGTGGTGCATTAGTCTTGGGAATAGGTGGTGCTTTCGGTGCTGGTGGTGCTTTCGGTGCTGGTGGTGCCTTCGGTGCTGGTGGATGCGATATAGGTTTAGGTGGAGCTGAAGTATTTGGTATCGACTTTGGAATGTTTGAAGGTCCGCTATTTTTTGCAGCCCTTGAAGATGAAGGGACAGAATCAACCACGTACGATTCGTCTCTCTTTGCATTAATCTCAGCCAAAAATGGTAATGCTCCACCAGTAGCGGGAGGTGTCGGAGCCAGCGACAGTGTTGTTGAAGCTGAAGGTTTTTGAGATGTAGCTGATAAATTCGGAAAGGGAGGAGGAGGAGGAGGAGCACCTGATGATGGTACTGGTGGAGGTGTAGGAGCAGAAGATGCTGGAGGTGGAGGTGGTGGTGGTGCAGAAGTTGTTGGAAGTGGAGGAGGAGGAGGAGCAGACGATGCTGGAAGAGGTGGTGGAGATGTAGGGATTGAAGAAGGTGTCGAGGAATTCTCATCTTCAAAAGAACTAATTGAATTCACTGAGCCGGATTTCAAATGTGATGACTTTTTTGGTCTGTTTGGCGGCATTTTAGGTGGTACTTTTAATCCAGACTTCGAACCAGGGTCTGGAGCATTGGATACTGGTGGTGGAGGAGGAGCCGAAGGGACCGGTGGAGCTGCAACTGATGGCACCGATGACCCCGATGGTATCGATGGCTTTTGATCAGTATGCCTACTAGGTCTTGAAGATGGCATAGGTGGAGCGGCTTGCGGCTTGTTAGCTTGCGGTCTAGACGAAGGCACCAGGGGAGACGCACCAGAAGGCACCGGAATCTTGGGTGCTGATGGAGGTACTATTCCTGACCTATTATCATGCTTATTTACAGACTTCAATTTTGGCATACCTCCTGCAAAAATGTCTCCCAACTGGGGAATTCCACTAAGAGGAGGAGCTGGCGCACCATGCGATCCTGACGAAGACGAGGGAGGTGCTGGTGTCCCAACGGATCCAGAAGACTTAGAATCTAAAATGGGTTTTGATTTATCAACGGTTGTTGCTTTCTTCAATCTTGCACCTTTTCTAATATCACCGAGTAAAGCATCTCTGCCAGCAGGCATAACTGGAGGTGGACCTGGAGGTAAATTCGACGACCCTCCAAGTGCTGGAGGGGGAGGTGGAGGTGGAGGTGGAGGACCAGCCATTTTGTATTAATTTATGAATACAATTGAACGTGTTTAACAAAGGAACAAGTGAATAGGATGGTGTTAAAGACCGGAGGGATCTTGATTTCTGTTAAAGCCGCCGTAAATCACGTGACTGATTAGACTATCTATTCTATTACTATTCTGTTATAACTATACATGAAATGATATATAGATCGCTATTTAACGCCCCAGGTTAAGTTATCAAAGCCCAATAACCAAGGACCCAAGGTGTGTCTAACAAAAATCATGAGAAGTCCAATTAAAAACTGAAGTATCATGAGCAAAATGCATAATTTATCTTCTCTCAAAGGACCAAACCATACAAGACATAAGTTGATGATTGTCATGTTAGAAAACCTTGTTACCTTGGTAGTACGTTCCACTTTTATGAGCTTGAAAGTTTCTAGTGCCGACAAAAAACAATTTTGGAGTTTTGAGAGCGACTTCAACTCGCCAAAGCTAGGGTACATTAGACCGTCGTCGATGTTGAATCGAGGCATTCTGTGACGTGGGCAGGGAACAACTCCCAATATCTGGGGAGCAGAGTACACGAAGTTAATGATCTGCGGTAACAAGAATATCAACAACGTTTTCGAAAAATGACCCAAGATACCAACGATTGCAAAAACCATGCCACTGAAATAACAATAAGTATCGCCTACAAATACCCTTGCAGGAAACCAGTTGAATTGAAACAATGCCAAAGATGTACCGACAAAAGGAATGAGGAAAATGGCCGAAAATAAATGGGAGTCGTATGCTGCGGCCGATATATCAGCAGAGAAAAGGTAGCAGAAATCATTAATAAGAAAAATGACTGCAAGAACAATGGACTGACCTACTTCAAGGCCATTGATACCAGCAAGTATATTGATTGAGTTTGGCGAAAAGATCGAAATCGCTGACATGTAGACATAGTAGAAAACTCCTAAATCAAGTAATTTGGGAGATCCCGTAGGCAATACGTAGTTGTTGTCCAACGTACGGAACGATAAGCCAGTAACATAGGTGACAACATTATTGCCTGTTTGAATTAGAGTGTTCAACGATTCAAGCAAAAACTCGCCTCCAGGTAATTTGGTAGTGACAAAGCTCGGAACAACAATAGACGTCACACTGAAGTCAACATAGTACACGATCAATAACGGCATAGATGCAACTGCGGGAAGAAAGAACTTGTGGCGCCACCTGATATCAAACAAGTCATCAAACAACCCCAAGAGAGTTGTACTTTGTAAGCACAATACGGCACTCAAGTACTCGGCCAATTTGTTATGTGGAAACAAACGGTTATTCGAAAGCGCCTGATACTGGTCCTTGTAGTTATTGGACATATCTGCATCGTCTGACATTGACGTGAAACTCACCAAGTATTTGAAGAAAACAAACGGAATCAACCAAAACATGAGGAACAAGTATGTCACGGCACATACAACCCCCATAGACTCAGCAATTTCCTTCACGGGAGGTGCTTTGGAAAGATCCTTACCCTTGAGTCCTATTCTAATGAAGCTGTCCATGAGCTTCGGTATCAACGATGCTGTTATAACATACCCAATGCAAGCAAATGCAAACAGCGTTTGTAATGGTTTATTTGGAGCGATACATGCGATGGAAAGTACCAATAATGACACCTTAATTATTCGACCGAGAGACATAGCTGAAGCTTACTACTTACTGCATTGACTAATCCAAATAGTTCTATTGATTGTTTGTATTCAAGTAACAGAAGAAGGCTTGAAAATTGACAAGCTTGACTTAATCTATACTGTATAATGCGCACAATTGGGTATTATCAATTTTATGATATTGATATTTCCATTTAGTCTTATTCCTACAGATATTATCGTAATCGAGAAGATATACTATGAAGCCATTTATAACCGGACACGAGGAGTTGATTCACGACATTAAATACGATTTTTATGGTAAACATATAGCAACATGCTCATCAGATCAACATATTAAAGTATTCGACTTGGACTCATCCACTTCGACATGGGTTCTAAACGACCTGTGGAAAGCACATGATTCGCTGATAGTGAAGCTTTCGTGGGCACATCCGGAATTTTCTAGTAGTAAGATACTTGCATCGTGTTCGTATGATCGGACTGTGAAGATTTGGCAAGAACAACCAGAAGGGTTGCATGGGTCTGGTAGAAGATGGATAAAATTGGCTACATTGGCAATCGAGTCATACGGACCGATTTACGACGTGGTATTTGCACCTAACCACTTAGGGTTGAAATTGGGGTGTGTGGGGCTGGATGGTATATTTCGAATTTATGAATCGTTAGACCCATCTGACTTGACTAATTGGGCACTTACAACTGAAATACCAATACTAAGCGATCTGTTACCAGCGAAGAGTTTACAGAGTAGTTTCGGTATCGAATGGTGTCCTGCTAAGTTCACTAAGACGGAGAAATTTATAATTGTGGCCTTGGACCAAGGTTTTATATATGGCACGGCGACGAGTAATCAGCTGTATGATGAGGAAATATTAGGTGACTTTGGATCGGATGCGGACCAGAGCTCTATAGGTAGCCATTCGAACAGCAAGGTGATAAAATTATGTGATTTGCCCGAACATAATGGGTTGATCAGGTCGGTAAGTTGGGCACCATCAATGGGTCGCAATTATCACTTAATTGCTACGGGTTGTAAAGATGGGTATGTAAGAATATTCAAGGCTGTAGAGTCTGCTACTGGTGAATTGAAAATAGAGACGCTAGCAAAATTGAATGATCATAAGCTGGAAGTGTGGCGAGTTAACTGGAATTTGACTGGGACAATTTTAAGTTCGGCTGGCGACGACGGGAAGATTAGATTATGGAAATGCAATTATTTGAATGAGTGGAAATGCATGAGTGTTATTAGTAGTAGCAATAGACTGAGTAATAGGGAAGTACATGAAGAACCATTAGGCAAAAATGCCACTACAAGTGCAAGAATAAACTAAGTCTTTCTATGACTAAATATTAATCTACATAACGTAAATATACAGTAATTAAATTCTTCTCTTCTTCTTTTCAATTTTAGTTTTGTTGTTTTCTTCTAATTGGTTCCACAATTCTTCTTCGTCACTTTCATTTTCTTCTGCTTCGAGTGCCTTTCTCCTTCTTTTTTCAATATTCTTTTTACGCTTGTCTCCCATCTCAGACTCTGGTTCTTCTTCTTCCTCATCTTCACTATCCAACATCAATACGTCTGAGATTTGCACTCCAAGGTAGACTTTTGCAAGTATGTCCCTGCCGCTAATATCATATGTTCTAAGATACCTATCCAATCCTCCAGTTGAAATTATTTCATCGTTGAAGATGCTTACACCAACGATTGCCCCAGTATTACCCCCAGCGGAGAATTTTCCTAAAAGCTTACTAACTGGTTTGATTATTTCTCCTGCAGAAGCAGAATGTGTTTTAAATGCTTTGGAATCGATTTGTGCCAAGGAGTATTTGGCAACTAGATTATGCGTGTCAGATACGATGATTTCTTCTTCTGAATCAGCGAAGTTCAAGGTAACTATTGGTTTTTCACAAACTTTATAATCTTGTATCGGTCTTTTTCCATGAGTTGTGTCATAAATACGTACTTGACCATATCTTGTTGAAGTCAAGAACTTGTAGCCATCTTTAGGTTTCTGTTCGAAGAAAAGGATGCCACTTATCCATATTGGTGGTCTTAAATCAAGATGGTCATTTTTCACATTTCTTGCGGTAAATATAACGTCTGGCTTGAAGAATTCTTGCGTGTTTCCGGCTTCGAATACTTCTTTAGTGATTTCTCCTTCGAATAATCTAATAATTCTGGCATCATTTTCTTTACCACCACAGGCGAAGACCCCAGCCTCATGAGGGTTATTTATAAATGCACTGATCCCTTTTTTACCAGGTAATTGGATCTCTATTGGATCTAAGTCAAAATTGCCGTTATTCAAGTTAATGACAAATACTTTACCCGATTCGAATGCTACGACAACGACATCGAACTCTTCAAGCTCAATCAACGAAATCGGTTTGTCTTCGTTGGAAATCGATAATTGATACGTGTGCACCAATTCATATTCCTCGTGGTTCAAGTCATAGATCGTAACTGAGCCGCCCAATCTTGAAGCTACCAAAAATGTAGATTTGAAGTTTACCATGTGTAACACTCTAGTTCTGACCGATGCCCCAGGTTCAGAACATATATTCTTAATTGATTTTGGCTGCTTAGCACCCTGCTTCGAAGTGTCGGTTCCTCTGGAGCATACCACTTCTTTAACTGCTCCTGTGTCGTCTGAAGTTACTAAGATTTTCATTACTAATGCCACAGCTTCTCCAAATGAATATTGCATCCATTTGTATAGAAGAGATTTTTTCAAAATATAAATGTCTAAACTCATCTCGACACAAAAATAAACTGGACGTTGGCCGTATAGTAGTCTCAAAACCTTGAATCTCAGAAATTGGTCCCTTGGCCCAGTTGGTTAAGGCGTGGTGCTAATAACGCCAAGATCAGCAGTTCGATCCTGCTAGGGACCATTTCTCTTAATTTACCCAGGGCGTGTGGCGTAGTTGGTAGCGCGCTCCCTTAGCATGGGAGAGGTCTCCGGTTCGACTCCGGACTCGTCCATTTTTTTTAGAAATCTATATTCTAGAGTTCTTTAAAGTTTTTGATCGCTATTCTAGGTAGGGTTTTTTTTTGGTATAATTGGATTACTGAAATATTAGGGCGTAGATTTGCAGAGTGTATAACATAATGACGGCATATGTGTTCCATATGGTATAGATATGTACGTACATTCCTTAGAGGGTTCCAATGAGACCTAAAAAATTCGATGGCGATCGGGTAACCCTGACGAATAATTTTTTTCACAAGTATATAAGGACAATAAATTTCCACCATATATGAAGAAAAAGTTTTTTGGTTAGTAAAAAGGAATTGACAATGACAACTGTTTTAATCGTTTAATATTCAGGAGATTATCTTCTTAATATGAGCTTAGATCTTCT